TCATCATCATGATCATCATGATCAGCATGATTTTTGCACACAACATTGGGTGTGCATGTGATTCAAGGAGGAGGTTGTGGTGGGAGGGGGCGACGGCTCATAGACGGTCTTAAACCGCAGAACTTCAAACCGCACTGACGTACAGTTGCAGGGCTAGTGCTACCGCTGCCTCAGTGCCAGGCGCGCCGGCACTGCACTTGCACTGGTCATTGGGTACATCCCCCGAATCCTAGTAGTACTAGTAGGCTACACAGGCTAAATAAAGATATCCGTGTAAACTGAATAGTCATGTCCCACCGAAACGTACAGCCATCTTATCCGTTTGCTATCCCGGATGCACCTGACTTCTGTAACTCTCGCACACGCGTTCAGTGTCATCACTGACGGGGTACACTCGCAACACTCATGTATGCAACAGCTGTAACACACGTCACCCGCCACGATGACAGAACGACTGCAAGTAGTTAGTTGCCAACACACGGACGCAAGGAAGGAGGAACGACAATGGAAGTCATACCGGTAAATGTACATCATGAACCTGTCGACTACATGTGTAAGTACATGACTGTCTTCATCATGACAAGGAGGAGAGCCACTGTCCGCTGGAGGCTCTCCTCTTAAGATCTTGTCGATTGACAGAACTACTAGTACTACTGTATGATAAGCAGGGGATTTGGGATTATTGGTTCTTTCCTCTACCAAAATTTAATGGTACTGTTTACACACACCCGGGTACTTTCATTTGTTGGTGTTGTGTTCTAATCATTCGCCATGCCACCGTGAATGGTACTCGTACCTTGATCACCCAAGTAGCGTTGAAGCTGTAGCGTAAAAATGTTATGGGGGCTGATTTATAGCGTGGAATTCTAAACAACTCAAAGTTTCTTTGTAAGCAATACTGTGCAGAGTGAAATAATAACTATTACAGTACTTGGTGCTATTATTACAAATAAGAAAAGAAAATGATAACACCCGAAAGCGCTAAATACAAAATTAAGAAAAAAGGAAATCATAAACCACGTAGCACTAAAAGTGCACCAAATTATAATTTAGATAATGAGAAAAGCCGAATGAAAAAACCAAGAAATCATAACAAACAAAACAAACTGAAAATACAAAAGTAAATGAAGCTCATTATCATGGGAACACCATTACCAAAGAAACTGTACATGTATCATGTACACCGTTTATGGCACCAGGGCACATTCAGCAGCCGCCAGCACAGCCGAACCAGACAGATGTCGAGGCGGGTTCCGACGGTGACCACGTAGACTGGCAACCATTGCCCGAACAAGGCAAAAGGAGATCTTCGCCCGTACAAAAGCCATCATGACCGGGAAAGGCTCACGGCGCTTTTCACACAGCTTGCTGGGAATCCTGGCGAAGAGGGACGAAGCAGCTTTCCCCTGCCCACCAGTTGTTGCGAAGACCACGGGAACAAACGAGGAATGCTCCACCTCCAGAACTCGCCGTTCATACTTACGCCGCTTCTCCCGCTCGTGCTTTCTGTAGACAGACGGGATAGTAAGGTTTCGGTTGGAGGGGACAAAAGGGTTAAACACCCGAACATCAAACATTGTCCTCTCTAACCTACTCCCATACACTCCACGTGCTGCCACATCCAGACGAGCATGAGACTCCGTGTTGGCCGACCGGAGAGGGAATGTTTCACCAGAGAGGGGTTTCAACTCTGGCTCCACGCTGACGTCATGCGCAACCACACGCAACAGATTAGCGGTGAGATCTCGGAGCTCGTTGTGGCGCATCCCAGTGAATCCTCCGATGGCACATAACAGGGCATGGATGGTGTCGAAGGGCTTTCCACAGGTGCAGTGAGACGGCAACCGGGGAGGGGTCCAACCGTAGAGCAGACATAGGGCATCCCGGAAGCCAGCCTTGTGGATGGTAAACTAGAACTGGCGAGATGGCCGACTAGTGAGCCAACTGGAGGCACCTTTCTCAGCGGCTAGATCATGAGTCCGCCTGTGGTCGTCACTCAGGGTATCCCTGAGGGAGGGGAGGGCAGTTGCCTGATCTTGGCGATTAGCCGTGCGTTGGGCCGCCTTGGCTGCCTTGGTGGCTGCAACAACTTCCTCGATGGATTCCTCCTGTCGAAGGAGCTGCTCGACTAGAGGTCTGGTGACAGACGTAGATGGACCACCTGGTGCATACTGGCCAACCCTCCCGATTTTCCCGGGAAAATCCCGGGAAATCAACACTACTCCCGGGGTCCCGTGGATTTCAATCAAACTCCCGGAAAAGTCACAGTTTTGTATGATACAGGATTTCCCTGAAAACTCCATGGATTCGCCCCGAATGTCCCGGTTTTTACAACAATATATACGGTGCCCATTCCCGCTTCGAACTCTGCACGGCACCAGCCTAGCCTGCAAGATCTGCACTGCAGGGTCGAACTGTGCTGTACGCAGATCTGCAGAGTCGAACGTTTTTTTGGCGGGAAAAGCTCTTTTTCACTTGTTTTTCGTGCCATCCAGGGATTTTGAGAGAAATCCAGGGATTCTGCATGTCTTGTCAAGGGATTGAGGTTTCGGTGGTTGGTCAGTATGCTGGTGCGCATTCGTCGGAGAGCGCCGGCTGAAGTTGTGTCATCGGCATACCAGGACTGCATGGCCCCAGCTGCGGCGGCTTCCCGGGTCAGTGGCACTGCACGGTGCCAAGCGCATACATTGGCATAGCCAATGGGTCTCCTTGAGTGGTGCCCTCAGAAGACAGGATCACCTCTCCTCCAACATACAGGTGAGCGGTAGGTGTTGATGATAGCTGGTGCGAGCTCAGGACATAGCTGCTGAACATTGCGCAGGCAGACAGCTCTATTTAGGCGATTGAATGCAATAGTTGCATCCGCGAACAGGACTCCCTCCGTGTGGTCATCATCGAAGGTGGTCTTCACCGCATGAATGGCGGCTTCCACGCCGCACTCTTGCCCACCGCATAACTGCAGACAGCCAACAGCACTCTCTACCGCCGAGCCAACAATCTCAAGTATGGCTTTGCCCAGAATGCGACGGACGACTTCTCCGATCCTGATAGGCCGAACACCTGGCTGCTTGTTCAAAGGCACTAGACGGCAAGCCACATAAGCTTCCACTGAGATGGGGTCCACATCCTTGGTAGCTATTCGCCTGGCACAGGTAACCAGAGCATCGCACAGTACATCCGAGGCTGAGTGGAAGGAGGTACAAATCTTTCGCCAGTTGGCTGCGTCCATGCTTGAAGGCCCGGCTGCACCATGCGTGCGCAGTGCAGCTTGGCGAACAACATCCCTATTGAGTGCTGTGAAGATGACCGGATGTGGTTGGGGCAGAGGCTCTCCATCCATAACTGCGTCTTCGTTTAGAGGTGATGCTGCTGGATGCTTCTCTCGAACCGTGTGGTCACCTATGCCATTGTCAAGGCGATGCAGGCCACCCTTACTGTCGCAGTCAAGCATACGTGTGGCAGAGCCTATCTTTCCATCCATGACCAAGACGGCAAACCTCCTTGCTTCACTGTCGTCTTTTGCACGCTCTTCCCTGCTGGATCTGTTTGTAGCCTCTTGTATCTGTTGTTGGATTGTACGAGCTTCAGTCATCAACTCATCGATGTCTCCAGTATCCCAGCTCAATAGTCTGCGTTGGAGGCAATCAGCATGCTTTCGGCTGTCTACCATACGATATGGCTGTTGAAGCAGTACCTGTGTAGCCACCATCGCTACCTTGATGGACATACCCTCGCCTGCCGCTGCATCACCAAAGCACTGGTATAGACGAGCAATGATGCTAACATACTGCTCACCAGTTGCGCCAGAAGGGACACTTAACAGATTCGGGCGGAAGTGGACTGCTTCAGCATACGCTGCGTTAATCACCTGGCGGGATGAATCGAGATCGAACCGTGAATTGTATTCTGTTTGCCCGTACAAGAGGCTTAGGTTACCCCGGGTGACCCAAGCAGGGAGTCGTAACAAAGTTATCTTACGACTCCCTGATAAGAAGTGAGCTACGTCTTTCGCACAGTGTAACAGTTGTTGCCCCATGTCTGGCTGTGAGTTCTGGACCAGAGACCATTCCAAGACAAGTGAAAACTGAAAAGACAACAAAGTCTTCAGACTCGGCCCGATACGTACATTCTCCTTGTTCACCACTCCACACCTTACAGTCTATCATGGCCAACCATAGCCCGGCCATAGACATAGTCACATAGAACGAAGTGCGGTGCTCCGGTTGACTTTGATACTGAGCTCAGGCGGCTGGGCTGTGTTATTGTGGGCACCATCAAGAGTAGTACATGTAGTACTTCGAAGTACGTCTACGGTACATCACTGTTACATGACTGTACAGTCATGTACTCTTGGTGAAAGCTACCGTAAAAGTACGTAAATAAGTACCTGCCCGAAAGAAATACCCCCTTCATTCGTTTGGCTCTGTCTGTTGAAGTCAAGTCAAGCCCGATAAACATACTGCCCGAAATAAGTACCGGTACGGTGCGCACATGCAGCACGTAGCATGTACATTGACATGAAAATGACTTCTCCACTACACACAAGTCAGGTCCGAAAGTCAGTACCCGCCCGAAAGTTAGTACGGGTGTGGTCACTAAATTCGAAAGTGAATACGTACTTATTTACGGACTTTTACGGTAGCTACTGCTTACCCTTTGAGAACATGTGAAAAAAGAAGAAAAAAGAATAATGCAGTATACTATCAAGAGTATAAGCCCCCAAGAGTGTGCAACTCCCGATACCCTTTCTATGGGGTTCGCCGACGGCGAAAACCACATCACGTGGTGCAGTGTCCCAGTTGTTTCACATTTTACACATACATGTCGACATTTAGGAAATGCTTTCGCCATGACTGTACTTGCAGGTGCATGGATTCACACCGCATTGCATGCCCGATCATAATCCAAATTGACAACTTTACTCCACAATCAGCAAAACCATACCAGTATCAAGAGCCGAACGGAGACCCTTGACACCATGCCATACCACATTTGTTCACTTGTTTTCTCAGTTTTAATTTTTGTTTTTGCCATCTCATAATGATCTTGCAATTCATTGGATGAGAGTCATTAAATTAACATGGTGGAGCCTAAAAAAAAAGAGAGGTTGTGCTTCCCTGCTCAAGGGGGTGCTCCCAGCTGCAACTGAGGTTGTACTGCATAGAACAAACAAAGAAAGAGCAAGAGCGCACACATACGCACGCATGCACACATACACATATACACACACATGTTCAGATTATTCGGGACACAATTCGCGCAGCAGGTGTGCCACGCCATATCTAAGACTTTACCTTGCGACAATTCACAAACAGCCAAGTATCAGCAGCATACCGTTAAAAGTTCTTACAAGAGGCTTGTGGCGAGTCAGTGGTGACTTTCCGCATTGATAGAACGCTGTACCCACAAGATGATCTCGGCTCTCGGCTCTCTCTCTCTCTCTCTCTCTCTCTCTCTCTCTCTCTCTCTCTCTCTCTCTCTCTCTCTCTCTCTCTCTCTCTGTGGTGTGTGTGTGGTGTGTGGTGTGTGTGTGTGTGTGTGTGTGTCTGTCTCAAAGTGGCAACCAGAGAGTCACACCCAAAGCAGGATCGTGTACACCCCTGCAGACATCATACACAGCATTCAGGGTGCGTGTAGAGGTGTCATGTGATGTGAAGTGCTGCCGTTGCAAGCCCCATAGACAGCAGTTGCACACTCTTTAGGAGTCGTGTGTCATTCGGCACTGAACACACGATTCACAGCGGAATTCTTACCGGGCTTCATATTGCGCGCCGCCATGTGCTGAATGAACAAGCTGACACCTTCAATGACTGACAGAAGAACGGCACCTGAATGACGGAAGATAGCATGCGAACACAATGTATCGAGCCAGTGAGGAGACTAAGCACTCTGGACACTGGGCACGAGCACTTTCATATGTACACCAGCTGGACATCTTGATAGTGTACAGTCATAAAAAAAACCTGGGTTTGTGCTATGAATAAAGTAACTTACCGACAACAAAATTTCTCGCCATTGCACCACGTCCAGCTAGTAAAGCACAAAACAAGTAGAAAGTTTAGAAACGGCAACATATAATGAAGCAATCACCCGTGCACGCTCCGTGAAGCGAAGACCGGTCAAACAACAAACAGATGAAGTGGGATGACACGTTACCCGCTAGTTGGCATCAGTGGCCGGCAACACAACACATGATCAGGTACAATGCGCTACTGGAGCACAATCATGTCACTTCCCCACCAGCACCCCGGTACAGTAATCAACATGCAGCCAGCGGACCCTGTGTTTACCGGCCACCTGCTGGTGGACAGAGAACCAATCTTCCTGGTGAAGCAAGTGGTTTCCCTGGAACAGTGCACATGTCTACTGGGGCATGGACAATGGTTGGAAATGACCTGCCCTTCAAGAATAGTCCCTTGTTGTAGGGATTGATAACACAGGGGCTACTGTTAGAACTGAAGAAACATCAAAATTCCTGGTCTTCGTTGAAGCTTTGTCATTTGTCATTCGCAGCACAACTCACACACATTCACAGCACAACTCACATACACACACACACACATTCGCAGCACAACTCACACACATTCGGAGCACAACTCACACACACATTCGCAGCACAACTCACACACATTCGCAGCACAACTCACACACATACACAGCACAATGCACACACATTCGCAGCACAACACACACACACACACACACATTCGCAGCACAACGCACACACACACACACATTCGCAGCACAACTCACTCACACACACACACACATACACACACACACACACACCTCACCTCAGACCTGCCCATCGCGGAAGCGATGATAGCGAACAGCTATGTTAGACATAGCAACTTGTGCTGGGATTACACCATTCAACAGCTTGCAAGGCTGATGAATTGACCGCCACTATTTTTAGCCTGGTATCCACCAAACAGCTGATTGAAGTGACTTTTTCTGGCCAGTGAATCCCTATTTTTCATTTTTCCATTTTTTTCTTCTTTTTTTCTTTTTCTACACACACGCCACACCACATACTCCGGCATACACTGGCTGTTGGTAACCACCCAGGAGAATGAAAGAGAAGTCAGGAAGAGTTCGAGAAAGAGAAGAAAGACGTGTGCGACCATAATTGTCGGGAATTGAACCCGCAACCTCACGATTGGAAATCGACTGCACATACCACCACTGCACCATATGGGACACACACACACACACACACACACACACACACATTCGCAGCACAACTCACATACACACACACACACATATTCGCAGCACAACAACACACACACACATTCGCAGCACAACTCACACACACATTCGTAGCACAACTCACATCTGACAGCTAGCACAGCACCAGTAATGCCACCACTGAGAATGGGATTGAGCATGTCTTCTTTCCGCCGAATTCCACTCAGGGTACAGTCGCATGTGGAGAATATGGTACCCCAGGCAGCGAAATTGCCTACATTCAAAAATCACGCATACATGCACACACACATATAAACATAAGCGACATGCTTGGACCCATGAATAGCATAACATGTGCCCTTGTGTAATAAGCGCGGCGGCTTGAACACACAACACGAGTATCACTGTAGTCCAACTGTCCTATGCATAAGCCACACGTGAACTTGAACCACCGTTATAAGGGTGATAGTGTTACATGAATAAGGGCAACTGCTTTATCTCACACATACACCATACCACATTTTCATCTTTACAATGCGAAGAACGAACACAACTTTACCTTTGGTTTTCTCACACCAGTGCATGCACAACATAATAACAACTCACCTCCATACACAGGGGCACGGGCTTTGACGCTTTTTAAACCTCCAGACAGTTTCTTTCCCTGCAAATACGACCCACGCGGGAACACAGGAATGCATGGACACATGCACACACACAAACACACACAAACACACACATGCACATACACATACGTGCGCGCACATGTACACAAATTCATAGTGAAACCCCAAAAATTACCAAACTGGTATACCAGACGCACAGCAATGAAAAAAAGCCCGTGGCATGGACACACGTGAACGCTACACTAAATAATGCACGTTTCTAGCAAACCCATGCACCATATGAAACAAATGCGGAGTTGCACACACTCTTGCGCTCTTATGAACTCTTGTCAAATATCAAAACGTGGTCTTTTATTCAGATGTAAACTGTAAACTGCAAGTGAAGTGAAGAAAAACGTCAACTCGAGAAGTCAAGTGCAAGTGTAGAGGGAAAGGTCTAACATGTGCAAAACTACAGTACTCATCAGTCAGTCAACTACTCCTACTCGAAGTTTTTAACAATTCAAATTTGACGAAGAAAGGAAAAGGACAACATGTTACGAATTATGACAAACTGTCCACCAACGTAACCGGATCTTATACAGTCAGCGAGTGCGACAAAATAGCACAAAACTGACAAGGAGTACTGAGACATTCGGCAACCTGACACCAAATTTTGTCGCACTCACTGACTGTATAAGATCTGGTTACGCTGGTGGACAGTTTGTCATAACTCATAACATGTTGTCCTTTTCCTTTCTTCATCATAACAATTCAAATTTGGTTTGAATTTCTTCGGGACTTTCTTCAGACAAGCTTTGCAATTTTGCTCATACAAATATCTAACTGCAACCAATTGGATAACAAATTATTAATTTCTAAATTTTATATGTGGTATAGATGTGGGCCAAACCACTTTTTTCTTTCTTTCTAAGGATGGTTCAAATTTTCGAAATGCGCTGCATCGGTAGTTTTCATCCACATGATCACATCACATATGAAAAAAAGTTCTCATCCACATTTTCCCAGTTTGATTCAGTCTCTGCGTTTCGGTGGAAGTGCGCGAGTTCGATTGGATTAAAGTAGGAAGGGAGCGTCTCAGCTTAATCGGACCACGACCATTCGACTCAGCACCCCGAAGACTACAACTGGTGAAATTTTAATTTTTGCCTTAGGGCATGTTCGATTGGTAAGGATCGGGATCGGGATCCAGATCTCAGATCCTTCGGATCCTTCAGATTCAACTGGACACTTTGGCTGCATTCGATTGTAGAAACTGGATCCCGATCCCCGCCGACCAGATCACTTTGATCGGACGGATACAATCGAATGTGCACAACCGATAATCCGTTTCAAGGCCTTAGCAACCGCGTTGCTACAGCTCATCCCGTAGTATCTGTACGCGTTGTGGTAAACTCTTGACCTAGTGTACGCATATTGCGAGTTTTGAGTAGATACGAGTCGTACTATCGAAATGAATCCGTCGAATCCGTCTCTGGGAGGTGGGTTGACTGGATCCGAATCCGTGCTCTCGGGATCCGGATTCGTACAATCGAACATGCACAAATTTGGCGAATCCGGGTCCGGGGCTGATGGATTCGTACAATCGAACATGCCTTTAACTTCCCCTTTAAAGATCGCAAAATAATAACATTGAGTGTGTAATTTTCGCAGTAGAATTGATAAACATTCCCAAACAAAGGTGCACACCAGTACAGTGTTGGAACGAGCCATAGTGCTATGAATCAGAGCTCCACTAGTATCTCAAGAAAGGGGTTCTCACCTGAGGTGCATTTCTGAAGCCTTTGATGGCAGAAAACATGCTACCACCAATGGTGCCCATGGCAAAAGCACCGCCCGCATCGTCGACGATACGATAGGGACTGCAGTCACACACACACACAGCAAAGAGAGTTCATCCTGCAGTTCCTCCTCATACACCATGCCAGTCTATCACGTACCAAGGTTCTCTCTCCATGATTAAAAAAAGAAGAAGAGACCAAGTCCTGATGACTTTCAAAGTCACTTTCAGCTCCCTCAAATTATTTCGTCTTCTTGGCTTTGCAAGTACTGAGTACCACATGACCACCCTGGAAACGCTACATGGGTTTCGTTGCGCAATGATCATGATTTTTCGCGATTATAGATGCTTTTTAGCGCAAACTGACGTCATAATGTGTATTGTTGAGCGTGCACGCGTGACATCAAGAGTACATGTACTCTTGGTGACATGCATGCAACACGTGACGTAGGTCTATACGTACGTGTTACGTACGTGTTCTGGTGTTATGATGGATTGATGCTGCGCTGCCCAGCAGCGGTCACCATGGTCACATAAACACCTATGCTCGGCGATCGGATCGGTTGCGGATACCGCCGGTATCCAGGTATCTGATCTGTCACTTGTCAGTCGAGCAGATGTCTCGTCGTTGTGGCAGTTGTGCAGCGCAGTGGCTCGATGTGGCGAGGTGGACCTCCTACTTCCTAGTCCATCCCAGTCCCACTCCCAGGGCCAGAGTCAGACTACCACTACTATACTGGCACTACTGCTAAGTACTGGCACTACCTGCCACAGACGGATAGGAGACTTGTGCTGTGGCATGACATGACACTGACAGTCTAGTCGGTCGAGTGCGGGTGTGTAGAATAATGATACTAGTCTCTAGATACTTTATACTAATAGTACTCCTCCCTGTGACTCAGATCGAGTGATTGTTGAGTTTTGACGGTCGAATGCCGGAATGGTGTGTAGATCTACCACGTAACCGGTGCTCGGATAGAGTCGGTTTTTGATCCAGAAAGTCTGTTTGTTTATTCCAAAGCCGGAGCTAGCATCAGTGCAGTAGCCCGGGGTTGCAACTACCATGTGCCGAGTGTCGTGTAACACCCGCCGAGGTCAACGGCATGAACGCCGAGAAGAGAGGTAACTGCGTCGTTAGTAAACAGCCATGGACATCTACTTCTTCCAGCAGAAGAAACGCCAGAGAATCAAACCTGTGCGAAAGACGATCGACGACTTGAAGGCATCGCGTCGAGAGCGGCCCGAATCGGCGGCAGGAACACGTTTCGTGCTCCACGGCAAGGCGGACAGAGGCAGACAAGGACTTTCAGAGCATCTCGCCCCTGGTGAGTTTCAATCACCACAGGTCTCGCCCAGAGACCCCCTCGCCGCTACAGCCAACCAGGAGCACGCTAGCCCTAGGATACCTAAAGTCTTCGAGCAGCTACGTGCCGGTAAGCACAACCTGAGTGTACGCTTTCCACCGATTGAAGTAACACAAGACAACAGAAAGAAGTTGCTCAAAGTCCCAGGCAGAGGGTCAATACAAGCCGACGAAGAGGAAGACGAGGAGGAAGACCCACAGAAGGTCGCCTTCCAGGAGGCACAGTTTGCAGCACCGAACGTCCTCGCACAGCTGACGCGAATCTTGAACGGCGAGCAAGTTGAAGAGTTTGTCGTACCCGTAGAGTTGAGCCGTTCCCTTGGCCTACGGTACGAGCAACTGGTGTATGCTGGAGGGGAGAAAGGCCAGGACGTTCATCTAAGATACAGGGAGTGGCAGACTGAAGCCTACAAAGACATGTATTTGCAGCGTAAGCAGAGGCTGGAGGAGGAGGCGGCGGAGGCAGAGCGGATGCAGCAAGACGGCGGTGGTGGCGGTGGGCGCTCGGTAGCCGGAACTGCCGAGATCAGTCCTCGGCGACGATCGTCCATGAAACATTACGGCAGCATGAACGGATTCAATGACACCGCGTCGGTCATAACGTCCGCAACCACAGTCACGAATGACAGTAGGCGCATGCAAAAGCGCAGTCTAGACCGGTCGAGAGAGTCCGTGATCAGTACGGCAACACTGGTTGATACCAGTGGAGGCTCGGACATGGAGCAAGGTGGAGCATTCGGCAGCGGTGGCGATTCCGGCCCAATGATCATGCGATACCATCGAGAATCCAGCTCGCCGGTGCATGATGTGCCTATGCCTGTGATGCCGCATCAGGCCAGTCCGCTCACCCGCTTAGAGCGACAAACAAGATCACGAGGTAGGATGTCCCTGCCATTGCAGAGGATTGCTTGCTCGAGTTTGTAATATTCACACAGTTTTCGAATACTGATGGTCCCCTGTGCAGTGGAATCATGTCAAGTGTACTCCTATCCAGGGCTGCCGGAACCGGTCCGATTGGTCAGGTTATCACCGGACCAACTTTTAGCCACCAACACATGCTAACTACTATGGAGGTTGTGTGTACCCGCCATACCATACACAAACTGCATGAAAGGCACTGAAACTGCCGGACCAATCAAAAACTTCTTCCAGCGGTCCTGCTATCGCATGATTCATGCTTCGCCCCCGACAAAGCGTGCACACACACACACATACACACACACACACACACACACACACACACACACACACACACATACACACACACACACCATTGGACCATTGGACACCCATCGCCAGAGGCGATGACAGGCTGAGCGATGCTACAGCAGAAGTCATAGCAGCTTGTGCTGGGATTGCGCCATTCAACAGCTTGCAAGGCTGAAGAATCAGTGACCGCCACTATTCAGGCAGGTCTACACCACACAGCTATGACGCACACACACGCACACACACACACACACACACACACACACACACACACACACACACACACACACACACACACACACACACACACACACTGGTACACGCAGGTGCATATGCATGCATGTGTATGGTATGTTCAGTGCTACTCATTGAAATACGGGAGGGGGGGGGGGGGGTGTAAGTCAGTGAGCACTGGGTGCTGTGCAGCCTCAGATTTGCAAGCACTAAGCTTTGCTCTGGTGCGGGGTCAGCTAACCTATTCATGAGGCTGGGTCAGTTCATTGAGTTCTCTCTCTCTCTCTCTCTCTCTCTCTCTCTCTCTCTCTCTCTCTCTCTCTCTCTCTCTCTCTCTCTCTCTCTCTCTCTCTCTCTCTCTCTCTCTCTCTCTCTCTCTCTCTGCTTCAACGTGACTTTTGGCACATGCAGCCCGCGGCATGAAGCAATTCCATGCCAGAAACAATCATGGCAGAAATATTGACATCATGGGTAAGTGAATCAGTCTGTTTGCATAGTGGCGTAGAGTCGGAGACGAAATGTGGTTGTGACTGGAGCTTGTATGCACAAATTCACTTAAACTTACTACGGTATGTACATCCATTGAAGCCATAGAATCCCGCGGATAAGCCCACCCGCGTATAAGCCCATGCTCGCGCATAAGCCCAGGGTTAGTTCGAACATCACTGAGCTTCATCGTACAAGCTCATGGGCCTAGGTCATACCAAGAATCCATGAATTATGGACTCTTGGTCATACCATGTACATAGTACATGTACATGTAGTTTTTTTTCTTCGTTTTTCGTACATTCCAACACAATCATCGGTTGTTTTTGTTTGCACAGTGGTTTTCAGCAATGTACTTCTCACTTCCTTGGTCCTTTTCAATAGCACACTGTCGGTGTCGGCGTATAAGCCCATGTTCTCGTATAAGCCCATCGAAATGTCCTTGTGAAACAGATAAGTCCATGGGCTTATCCGCGGGATTCTACGGTACTGCACACAAGGGTTTTCGTGAAAGGTACCTAGTAGTAAATGAAACATGCTGCTTGCTGGAATCTTTCTAAAGGTCATTTATTGATGTTTATTGTGGATCTGTTCTCAGTTTGGACTGACTTCTCTCGCGGTTTACGATTCCTGTAACAACGATTTCTCTTGTGTTGTCTGCTTACCATCTCTGGCACAGTTCCAGCGCGTGCATTCACAGTGAACTTTTCCTTGGTGTCACCTAGAGCCATGGAAGAAGGTGAGTCTAAGAGTGCCGCCTTACGAATGCCGTCAGTGGACTGCCATGGTTGCTGCGCTCCGTGTAGTGCCAGTCAGTTGTCTGAGTGGCAGTGATAGCCTTTCCTAGGCTTGCATGCTGGTGTGTGTTGGAAGCAATGTCACCGGCGTCTACCTTCCTATGTTTAGAGTGCTGTGTGCCCGGCGAATATGGCCGTTACATAGCTGCATGACATTGTGCTTTCATCTGTGTGCTAGCATGTAGTAATATGTTGCAACATGTGTTTATAGTACATCTTGTATTTATAGTACATCTTGTATTTATACTCAGTTTACAACAAACTGTAAATACGTCATGTCCAATATTTTCCGTTGCTCTTGATTGGCAGTCTTTGACAAGCAGTTATATCCTGTTATAATCAGTGTTGGCTGCTCTCTACTACTAGGTTGGATCACTGACCACACAAAGCCATTTGATCCGGAGCGAGAGACCATGATTATCTGGCTAAGGGAGCACATGAAACAGACCAAGGCACAAAGGTATGGAAGCTTGGAGGCAGTGGCACACGCCTGGTTGGTGGAAAGCCTCAATTCGCAGGGCTGTAGCACCCAGTCAGGCTGTGGCCGGACCTTATTTCGAAAACGTTGACCCACCGAATTCATGCAAAATGGGGCTTTTCATTGATATAATGTTCATTTCCAGTCAAATCTCCCATTTGGCCGGAACAGCTAAAATCCCAGTGCAGCGGCCCTGATTCTAGACACCTTAGGGACAAGACCAGGCTGCATCTCTGCCTGTCTATTGGGACTGAGGTGTCCTGATCAGTATAGTGGATGCATTAATGACATTTACTGTACTTCTCAATGGGTTGGGAACAGTTGGAACTGAATAAATGTAGAGGTGTCATTAAGGTACTGCATGGCTGTGAGGTGTCCCTTCACCTGCATGGGAGGCTCTATACTATACACAATATCATGTGCAACTTGCACTCACAAACAACAGTCATGCAGAACAGTACAGTGTTGCACTCTTGTAGCGGACTACAACACTGGTAATACGTCTGTTATGTGGCCATCCCGCATTGATGCTCATCATCGGTGCCAATTTCCCCAGCGATTCAGCGTACACACCCATGGTAATCAGTACACATGTTGCATGTACTAGTACTCTTAGTCTATGTTTTTTATAGGTAGCTGAATGTCACTAAAAGTCGCTACCACAATGTCTTGCTGTGTGTTTAGATTGGAAGAAGCCTGCGCTGCAAATCCCGTGGTGCTGACAAGCCATTGGAGATCCGCCATTATGGCGACAGTTCCAGGCAGGAAAGAGCTAGACTGGCTGCATTACGGCGACGGCAGAGGAAACGCTCGGACGGCAGTAAGCCGTACAAGTCTGATGGAGAAGACGAGTTTGGAAAGTTCACCACAAAGCTCTCGGACGGCAGCTGTACTGCCTAGTATCCTTGCCCTCCCCCCCCCCCCCCACACAACTCTCTTTCTCTCTCTACTCTCTCTCTCTCACTCTCACTCTCTCTCTCTCTCTCTCTCTCTCTCTCTCTCCGCTCTCTCTCTCTCTCTCTCTCTCTCTCTCTCTCTCTCTCTCTCTCTCTCTCTCTCTCTCTCTCTCTCTCTCTCTCTCTCTCTCTCCGCGCGATCTCTCTCTCTCTCCACTCTCTCTCTCTCTCTCTCTCTCTCTCTCTCTCTCTCTGTTTCACTCCTAGCTTGCTGTGCACTAGTAGTTTACATGGCTTAAAATACTCCATAGGAGCGTAGCTGATCTGTCATGCAATATGCATTCCGCTTAGGCATTTGTGAGGAAGCTTCACGAGTATTGGTAGCCAAATGTTTTGCTCATCGCAAGTGTAAGGTGTCAGGCCCGGCGGAACTGGTCTGGTTGATCAGGCCATGGTCGGACCAATGTTTAGGCCACCACCGTGTGTTAACTGCTACATAAGAGGTCATGTGTACCAGTATAGCCTCTGTATCATATACACAGTATGGAAGGATAAGGTATGGCCGGACCAATCAAAAACTACTTTCGCCGGTCCTGGGTGTGTATATCGGAAATGCTGTACGATGCTCAAGCTATTGGGGCTAATATGGTTATTTTCTTCTCAAACTCCCCGAGGCTGAGGCATGGCACCTTGACTTTATTGCCGTTTAGCTACCCATCAGGTCGAGTAGCGGTGTGCACTTGCCTGTTTGGACCAGGGAACCAGATTCAGTATACGTACGTGTTTGATGATGACGAGAAAGGGAGTATGCTCGGGATGTTCACCCCAGCAGGCGTGAACTGCTGCTATGACCGTGGTGGAATGATAAGGTTGGTTTCTTCTCTACACTTACCTGCAACAATAGGCCATGCTTACCAACTACCGTAAAGTCGTGTATAAAAGCCATGGCTTGTATGACTCAGTTTTTTTGGAATGATTTTGCAGGCTTCTGCATGTATATCATGTGAGATAGGCTTCTACACAAGACAGGTAGTATTTCTATGTATGTCAACACTAAAACCAGGCTTATTTGCCGACAGTATATCTTGAAATCAGGGTTCTATTCACAAACAGACAAGTTCTATATGAGACAGGCTTTAATACAAGACACTACGGTATTTTGTATATCAGTTTGAAACTTGCCACCGGAATGGAGCTTCTCTTCAGTAATGATCAGAGAAAAAGCGGACCAACTTGAAAGGTTGGTGGTGTAGCCTTCAACATTGCGTGTTAGCAGATTGTACTCACTCAAAAGAAACCGTGATCATGAGTCGTACTGGTGCTATTTCCTTGACCGCAGGGGTGCTGCTACACTGTCTGTCTAAAAGGGAGAGATGGTTTTGACCAACAGCTATATACGGATCGTATCTTTAATTTGGTGATGCCATCCGTTCAGGATCATATCGTTGTCGGGTTTGTCGAAAGTAGGGTACATGAGACTGCCTCTACTACTATCTTTCTCTTCATGTGGTTCTACTATGGCTGACTTATGTTTGGCAGTGTCTAAGCCAGTAAAGTTTAAAAAAAAGAGTAAATTACTGTGTGTTCCCGAAGGGAACTCACGATGGCCGCTAACACCCGGTTAACCCTAGCGGCAGATGCAGCGCCTAACGGTGGGGGTGAGTGGATAAGTCTCACAACTACTGGCACAAGTGCCGAGAAACCCCATTGGCCGCATCCATGTCTAACCCAGTGCAATGGCACAATGTTTTTGCATACCAATTCTTCCTTCCGCCGACAGGCCCATTTTGATTTGGCTAACCGTGACAACTTATGCATGTGTGTCCTCTCTCCAGGTTGCTGACGAACGCAGAAGGTGGTCATTTGGCAACAGAGGTATGGCAGACGGGCATGTCGATGTGGGTTGTCCGCACTGTGAATTTGCCATGTGTGATTCTGGATGTGTTGGTTGTCTATAATTATTCATAATCATGACTGACTGCGGCCGGGGGGGGGGGGGGGGGGGGGTAAATGATCCCACCTGTGTATCTAGTAGCCGCTGACTGATGGTCAGCTACAGTAATATCGGGCGCCGAAGAACGGAGCACCGAAGAACGACCAGGCTAGAATTTCACCAAGCACAGCATACCAATGTATACACAGTGACTCAACCGTGCATAGACTTTAATACATGAAGATAAGAACAGTCTAGGTTACGAGGCTGACCCCCCCCCCCCCCCCCCCCCCCCCCCCCCCACCCCCCTCCCCCCCCCAACCCAATTCTTCGGCACCCAACAGCACTGCAGTGTCACTGATGGTGTCACTGATGGTCAGACTGATGGTCAGCTAGTGGACATGTGGTAGTCACACTTCTGACACAGGCTGGCACATGCGCCCAGAGCCATGGCCAGCCGGGAATCCGGCCTTGTGAGTAAGTTAGCACCCTGCACCAGCACAGCTCAGCTTTACCAGGTCTAGAACTGCACAGTGCCCAGTTCTAGCTGACTCATTGCACTCTGATTTTATTCAGTAGCACTGCATACATAATACATATACATTGTGACTTCCCATTCGCCAGCTCGGCATTGTATTGCTAAGTAATTAGTCATGAATCATGACTCATGATGTCCACTCCGTCTTCTTGATTTATGTCTTGGAGGCATGAGCACGATGTTCAAATTATCCCCGTGACTGTGACCCCCCCCCCAATAGATTTGTTGACTTCGTTAACTGTGTTATGTTGTGTTGTGTTGGTCCTATGTGCGTGTCACAGCGCGGAGTAATAATTCGTCAGTGGGCGTGGCCTGAAGATGGCGGCCGCTTGCTCCCCGCACCGTCGTATCAGCTGAACGAGTTTCTGTCCTGGCACAGCACGTCGTCTGTGACTGCTACACTCCATTTCTACTGCCAGCATGAACTCGTCAAGTTCAATGTTGGCATGGCAACAGAAGAGAACAGGAAGCACATACTGCCGGTAGGTGCCGATGTTCAGAAATGATTCCAAAGCACTTTTAAGTTTTAAATGAGTTCACGAAAGTTTGCTGGAGACTTTCTGCTTTGATGTACCTAAATCACGCAAGCAAAGAGGCCAAGCAGACACGCACCTACAGTGCCCACTTGCTACAGTCCTCAAAACTCTTCCGCTGGGACCATCCCAGACAGTAAACCATGACTTGCCGGTGGTTAGTACTAACTAGCCTGTTGTGGTGGCAGGATGGAATTCTGTAGATGATTTCCGATTGCATCAGGATCCAAGTCGGCACAACTCTGCAATGCGATTGTGTCAACGTGTAGTGTTCACTGCATATCCCTCTGACTGCAGGAAATGACAGGCAAGTTACAAATGGCAAGCTCCATGCCATACTCATCGCACGCAGCATCTCTGGTAAGAACTACTCACAAACCCCGGTTTCCGAAAAAGGTGTGCGTTTCAGCTCACATTGGTCAATATAATCACGGTGTGGAACTGTCTAAGAACAGAGGGTTCGTGCATGATCAATTTGAAGGAGAGAAGTCCTTTTCCCTTTTTGTCTCACAATACACAGGCTAGCGATGGTGAAGTAGAAGATCGACTGGGCCGGAAGAGGCTGAAGGCGAAAAGAAAGGTGAGCAGGTGATCTGGAAGGTTGTTTGGTAGTTATCTTGGATGACCACTGACGGTGAGTTTGGCTTGGTAAGCTGCTGGATTGGTACAGTAACAAGTCACTCTACACTGATATCATGATAGTGCACCTGTGACTCAGTGACAACACGTGTACACAATCCTCTTGGAGATGCGTGTCGGATTGATACCCGGGGCGTTAGTTGCTCAAAGCAGCTTCTGTATGCAGATTTGAGGGTGGATGTGTGTTGTCTGTATAATGTGGTTGCCTGTAGATATCCCGTGCTGGCTCACAGCTGGAGGAGATCCATGTTGCAAGTGTTTACCGACAAGCACTAAGTCGAATGGACGAAGAGGATACTGCTGATCAATCTCCAGACCTAGGCAGCATTCAGAAGAAGATCAAGTAAGGCCACACTGCAGCTACTAGTGTTTCAGTGCAGTGCACACTCCTTTACCTACTGTATGAATCTCAAATTGGAAAATCTAAACAGGCTCCTATGCACAACGCTGCTTACGCCCGACATGCACTGAATCCAAAACCGTGACTCCCTCGACGAGGCCGACGAAAAAGTAGCAATCAGTTCTTGTGCTATGTTACCCTCTTCTGCCATGGGTTAGTGCAGCATTTGTATTATGACTTTTATGGTGCGTCAACCATTCCACAGATCTTGGTAATAGTTGATAACATGTAGCGTGAAAGCAGCGTCGCTGCTGTAAGGCGGCAGAGTGAGACTACAGCTATCTTCCAAATGTATCGATGTACTTTGTGCTGTGTACCAAAATAACATGTGAACAAGCATGAAGACTGGACTTAGACGCATCAACTTGTTGCTTGCAACATTATGTTTCCTGCTTGCTTATCATCACCTTCCAACCCACTAGGAGTCTTGTCAATCAGTGGATGGATCACCTGCGCATTGCCAGTGGAATGAGGCCAATGTCAGCTCCATCTAGCCGTTCATCGACAGCTAGCTCAACGTCCACACTGTCCCTGGTCAGCAGGTCATCACACTCTGCCGGTACGGGCATGGGGTCGCGGGCAAGCACATCAGCAGCTCTCCCATACGCATCCGGCATTGGTGCAAGGCAGAGGAGTGTCACGAGTCGCCACAGTGGAACGTCGACCGGCGCTGAAAGTAGGTTTCATTTGAGAGACATGGAACATTTAATTAAAAGTCACACCACAACACAGGTTCAGCACACTCTATGCCATATCTTTGCTCCTTATTGTTGCATGATGGATGCATGATGGATGCATGATGGCCCGGATGCATGATGGATGCGCGATTTCGCGCAATGGATGCATGATGGATGCATGATGGATGCATGATGGATGTATGATGGGTGATTTCCTTATTCTCACAAGTTCTGACTGCATGCAGGCCTGGCGGAACCAGTCTGGCTGGTCAGGCCATGGCCAAACCAACTAAAAGGTTTTTGACCATCAGCGTGTGTTTACTGCTGAGGAGGGCATGTCTATACCCTCCATATCATACACAAAGTATGAAACTTGGCTAGGGTATGGCGGGACCAATCAAAAACTGCTTCCGCCGCCGGTCCTGGGAGATGACTGATCTGTTGCACGTGTTCATTACTTAGGGCCCAGCTTGGCACGGACACCATCTCGCCAGAGTCAACATCATCATGTGCGACATTCAACATACCCCGTGCTGACGGTTGATGCTCTGTCAGAGAGAACGCCGGCAAGTGACTACATGGCTGCCAAGCAGCGGGTGACCGGTACACCAGCCATAGTATCCACACCACCACCAGACACACACCTACCAGCAGAGTCGCTAGCGCAGAGCAGGACCGTCACACCGCCACCGACAACATTGCACATGCAACAGCAACAGCAGCAGTTGCCTCCATCTCTACACAGTGGACGTGGGAAAACCATTGTTTGCTGCCCAGTGTATCCTCCTCAATCCGGTCCCCTCTCTTTGGTGTGTCATAGAAGCTGCATGACATCTGTAGAAGGAATGTGCTGACCCTGTACAGCTATAGAAATACTAGCAGGATTATCCCCCCCCCCCCCCCCCCTCCAGCATTGTCGGCCTTGCATAGAAAAGTACCCCAAATGTGTGGTCAAGTCTGCCGATTGTACTTGGACACTCTCAGTGCAGGTGGCTTACAGCACCACACAAGCAGTTCTTTTACCCTTGACTTGAAACGTCTTCGGCTGCAGGGCTCTGCGGATTCAACTGACAAAGAGACAACCAGTACAGCCACCATGCAGGTGAGAAGCTGACATTGATACTTTTTTTGATAGTAGTGAAGAAAACAAAGAAAATATTCCCCACTTTTGAGCATGCTATGCTGCCCGGTTCATGCTGAATTTATTCAGTTTCCCCGGTCCTTTCGGCTAATTCTGTTCTCAGCCATACTGCACTATAGTGACGATTTATGTGGAGGGTGTCAGTACCTGCTACCTTGTGAATTACACATGCAGGTTCTGTATGTTCCGTCTGCTAACAGATGCGACCAGCGACACATGCCTTTGGTTACTGATGTTGAGTTTGACCGTTTTATTCAAATACATGCTCCGACGAAACAGCTACTCATTGTCAACGTGACCTCAACAAGGTATGCACCTGTTCATATTGCTAGCCCGGTGGCCAGGTAGTAAGACTAAGTGTAGGTGAATAAAAGACGTATGGACCAGTTGATCAGCCTGTGCCATTCCAGGTGCTCACGACCGATGGGAATACAATACATGTACAGACAGTGGGAAATTGCTTCTCAGCGGCATGGGCGGAGGAATTTTTCCAGGCTGATTGAAGTCTGGCAGTTCACTGTCAGGCTGTACTGCGAATTAAGGGGAGCTTTGGGATACCTAGCTGGCAACGATATAAAACAGCCTTCTCAGACCAAGACTATTCGATTTAGCTGAAAGACTACAGATTCCAGGCTGAAATTTCCATCATATCGCAAACTGAGTTCCTCCTTAAGACCTTAAAACTGGCCCGACGTAAGGACTGATTATTTCTCTCTTCTGGTTATGATATTTCCTTGTTTGTTTGTTTTGGCAGTGAGTCAAGAACAACTCTCTTCGACGCAATGCTCGAGGAACTGTATAACCAAGCGACAAAAACACGGAGAACGGCATGTCAACAGGTACAGGACTAGTGCAGCACTGTGAACATGTAGCCGGACAGGGTGGGATACGCCCAGACTGTGACGTCAGGGTGGGATACGCCCAGACTGTGACGTCAGGGTGGGATACGCCCAGACTGTGACGTCAGGGTGGGATACGCCCAGACTGTGACGTCAGGGTGGGATACGCCCAGACTGTGACGTCAGGGTGGGATACGCCCATACTGTGACGTCAGGGTGTGACACAGTCGGACCTCGCTTAAAGGGGAAGTTAAGGCAAAATCAAAATTTCACCAGTTGTAGTCTTCGCGGTGCTGAGTCGAATGGTCGTGGTCCGAGGAAGCTGAGACGCTCCCTTCCTACTTTAATCCCAATCGAACTCGCGCACTTCCACCGAAACTGGGTGACTGCACCCTACTAGATGGGGATTTGTATGCAAAATGTCACTAAAAGCGCCATTTCGTTCTTATAAAAGCATGGATGACCACGATTGGCCCATATGTTGTAGTCTTTTGGACGCTGAGTCGATTGGTTTTGGTCCGAAAAGGCTGCGATGCAGCGTTCCTCCTTTATTCCCAATCAAACATGGTTGAACAAGCGGTCACGTGCTCCTGCGTACACCAGTCACCTGGTCACCGTGCCTGCAAGGTACAACTTACTAGCTTGTTTGACGTTTTTTGGGTGCAGTCCTGTCACTGGAGTTGAACTCGAGTTGAACCTTGGTGTGAAAGTTGTCGCCTGCTGGCGTGGTGACCAGGTGATTTGGGCACGCAGGAGCACGTGACCGCTTGTTCAACCATGTTCGATTGGGAATAAAGGAGGAACGCTGCATAGCAGCCTTTTCGGACCAAAACCAGTCGACTCAGCGTCCAAAAGAGTACAACATATGGGCCAATCGCGGTCATCCGTGCTTTTATAAGAATGAAAAGGCGCTTTTAGTAACATTTTGCATACAAATCCCCATCTAGTAGGGCGCAGTCACCCAGTTTCGGTGGAAGTGCGCGAGTTCAATTGGGATTCAAGTACTTCGAAGTAGGAAGGGAGCGTCTCAGCTTTCTCGGACCAAGACCATTCGACTCAGCACCCCGAAGACTACAACTGGTGAAATTTTGATTTTTGCCTTAACTTCCCCTTTCTCCCACCGCTTAGGAGCTGCATCTGCGCCTTGATCCAAGAGGGTGGTGGCGTTCCTGCGGATGCGGAAAACTGGGCCTTTGGCCGAGTCTCACGCGAACCGTGAAATTTTTTTTTTCCCCTTTATTATAACAGTTCACATCCTTTACATGATGATTGTACAGGACATAGTCTCATAGACATAGTCATTGTACTCTTGACAGTACAGATGAAGAAAAAAACTGATCAGGGAATACTAACAAGAACTGAATGTCGTGTGGCTCTCCTGTTGCCCCGCAGGTATCCCACCAAGCCTACCGTATTGTACGCTATGCACTGTGCAGTGCTATTCAGGACACTACTCGCACGATACCCCTTCTCCAGCAGCGACACAATGTTGTGCCTGGAGTCTGCCTGGTGAGGATTCAATGAGGCGATGATGTATTTGAAGAATGACATTGCATGCTACAGGCTAACTATGTTTGCCATGCAGACAACCCATTTATTTTCAATGATTCCAAAGACTCTTAGAGGAGACTGTGCCTTTTGAGACACCTCAACAGCAAAGAAAGTAGACCTAACGACTCATAATCGTGGCCATGTTTCACTCACACTACAATGTCATGTCATGTTGCGGAAGGAAGCCGCATGGCCAAGTTCGTTGCGAAGCCAGGGCCAATCAAAATGAGCTGTTCTTTTGTTCTCGTCCATTGCCATCAAGTTCCCAACTTTTTCATATCGGATCGGGGTGTTACAGAGGTGGCTCCGAAACACAACAGCACATAGTTGACTTGAAGTTCGACCAAAACTCTGGAATATCACTATCTGCCTCTTGCTCTGTGTTGTCCAGATGTACGCTGATGGGAAGCTAGTGTTTGCTGGCAACAGGTTCAATGGATACGGCACAAGTAAACGAGATTTCACAAAACAAGTGAGTGCTAGTACATGTGCACAATGCATATTCGATTATTTCAGAGACAGACAGACAGACAGAAAAGGGTGGGGAGGGGTCACTGACCATCGTGTCTCTGTCTGTCCAGTTATCATTATACATACAAGTACATGGTGTATGTGCATCCATGAAAACGGAGTGGTATGTTGACATAGGACCATGTGTACGTAAGCCAGAGTGTGCATCTCAGACTATGGTGGGGAGAGCGTAATTTTGTCGTTCAGTGTCATATTTGATGACAAGGCACGGTAAAAACTGGTGTCGAAGATCCTATTGATGCAGTGCAACGGTAGAGGCACGGATCGCAGCTCCCATGATCCATTGAAAAGATCGATGTGCGCAACAAATTCTATAGTCCAAAACCCGTAATTATGCAGAGTTGCCCGCTCTGGTTACGTAGTCTTGGTAGAACTGAAGGACAGGTTACCATGGTTACCACTAGTGCATTAGAATAACGCACGAGACTGAGCTATCTTTTTTCCCACTTTGCAACAGGTACAGCAAACTCTCATCGATCTCCGGCGTGACTCTTTCATCCCAATGGACTACAAGCTGGAAACACGCACCCCATCACCCATCCTGCTATCCCCTCAAGCTGTGAAGGCATCACCGCGCTTACAGCCACCTAGCCCCGAGCATGTCAACATGCTAGGTAGATTCTCAAGTCTGAACGTTGCGGCTGCTGGTATGGCATCGCAAACAGGCAGTATAGTCGATCAGAGCATCACCATGTCCGACCTCACGCTGTCACCATCTGCTTGGGATGCGTCACAGCTCAAGCTGGCCGGGGTAAAGTGACGACATCCTCAACTGCATTTTAGCAGTATCTTGCAAATCACTCACGAGTCATTATGATACCAGAGGCATAGACATATCCGTGTTGTGTTGACAATTAACTGTAATGTGCAGAAGCCATGCATTCCTTTGCTGATTATAGAACATGACTATATCTTGCTTGAGAGATATGAATATTTTCTTGATCTTGAGAGGTTTAGGTTCCCACATTCTCCCAGTAACATACATTCCTTCATTATCATACGATTGTATGAATGACCTCACACTTCACTGCACTTCACAGCGGTCACTGCAATGTATTGCTGTCATTGTTAGATGAGTGAGACCCGGCAGATTACAAGCAGACGGGCTTCATGCACTTCTACAAAATCTTCTCTGGAATGACTAAGTATGGATTATACTGCCATACCAAAGGACAAGAGGAACAGTTCTGAAATGTGCCTAGCTGGTCATGGTGTTCGCTAGTTGAACACGCTTACATACCTAAGCTAAGCATCTAGATGTGAGCGCATGCATGCATCATGTGTATTTCATTGGAGACAACGAGCAGGAATTTTTACATAACAGTGAAAAAGAGGCCCAAGAAAGTGCAAAAGATTGTTGAAGACGATCTGATTCATGGTCCCCCAATTCAGAAGTGATCAAGAAATGAGCGGAGCGTACTTTGTTCCTCAACGTGCAAACTAATTAGAAATGGGACAACTGACAAACAACGGGTACTTCAAGAATAAACATTGGACCATGAATTTTGGTGCCAACCAAAGACAAGGTGGACAGCTAGAAGTGCAGACGTAAACAAGACGAAGAAGGAAAAGAGAAATGAGAAAGAAACCTACTACGCGTCCTTTGGCACACGTGCTGTTGACTACAACAAGACGAGTGTCAGCCACGTCCTCTAGTGACTGCTAGCTGGGTGTTGGTGCTCTCCTGGTGTGAAAAGTACTATTCACATACACATACACACGCACACAAACACACCTACACCATCATCATCATCATCATCATCATCATCGTCAAGACAGGTATTCAAGACAACACTGGTGCTACACGTTCTTGAAGGTCGGCAAAGGACCGTGTGCCGCATATACGGAGCAGTGGATGTCACACTGCAGTAGTCCTGATTGCCACCTGTTGACAGTTGTCAGTTGCCAGCTTATGTTTCTTCAACACAGCACAAAACTTCAAGTAGCGACTAGCAGTACAGCACACATGTGCTCCGACCGCGAACCTAAGATCGCGGCTGAAGCGGAAAAAACGGATGTCGCAACTCGCCTCACACATTTCATCCGGGCGCGCTGCTTCTACCTATGAAACAACATAGTTCATAGAAAACCTGCAGGGAGAATGCAAGCAAACAACACAAGCTCTTGTAGAGGTTATTGAAAACTCTTAAAAAAAAGCAATGGCATTGTATGCGTTTCTAGCTGAATGTCTGCCCTCTTTCCAGCTCTCCCTCGTTTGTTTGTATTGGCAGCAGCAGCTATACACGAGATATCGTATGGATACTTGACTATGTGCTTGTACGCAGGGCACAGTCACAGTCACAGTCACACACAGTCACAGTCACACACAGTCACACACAGTCACACACAGTCACACACAGTCACACACAGTCACACACAGTCACACACAGTCACACACAGTCACACACAGTCACACACAGTCACACACAGTCACACACAGTCACACACAGTCACACACAGTCACACACAGTCACACACAGTCACACACAGTCACACACAGTCACACACAGTCACACACAGTCACACACAGTCACACACAGTCACACACAGTCACACACAGTCACACACAGTCACACACACACACACACACACACACACACACACACACACACACACACACACACACACACACACACACACACACACACACACACACACACACACACACACACACACACACACACACACACACACACACACACACACACACACACACACACACACACACACACACACACACACACACACACACACACACACACACACACACACACACACACACACACACACACACACACACACACACACACACACACACACACACACACACACACACACACACAGAGCAATGGTGCGAGCCCACTTACCTACTCAGCTGATGTGGCAATGCAGCAATGACTGGCCCATAGCCTGAGGTGTTGTCATACAGCTCAAATATTGGTGCAGCAACTAGCTTGTAGTTTTTAGGCACCGCAAACTTGGCTGGGTTGAAACAAAGACAACAAGACAGAATATACGGCAAAAAGAGTTCTCGGAAACTTTCGAGTCAACAGCTGCAAAAATGAGGTGAAACCTTTCTACGAAAAAAAGTTCTTCACCAGATAGTGGAGGAAGCATGGTGCAGTCAATCACCATGATCACCATTTTCGCAAGTTTGTATGCAAAAAGACATGTGAAAAAAGTTCATTACAGTTGCCAGGCCAGGTTCTCGTTCGTAACCACAGCGGTTCGTATGAAGTTCTTCAGAAAGTACACAAAAATGATGATGAACATTCGCCTTGCAGAACCATTCTATTAGGGCACGCACCTGTGCTGACACACATATCCATGATCGGACCAGCTACTTCGTGCATTGTCATCTCAAAGTGCACAGGTAACAGAGTTCGGCATGCCAACAGATTCCACGTCCAGAGCATTGCCATGGAAACAAATCAAGTGTACCGCATCGCACGAGGCCACAACCAGCCACAATCATCATCATCACAAGCCCATAGCCCTAAGGCCGTCGGGGCGCCACAGAGCAAGTATGAACAAGCGAGCGCCATAAAAATCGATCGCGTGCAGCAGCTAGCAAGGACTGCACGTCACAATACACAATGTAATTACCTTTTTCTGGGAGTTGCACGATGTACAGCCGCTTCTCCTCCTTTGCTTTGGTGACATGGGCAGGTACATAGGGGTACTGAGTAACACAGACAAGCACACACACACACACACACACACACACACACACACACACACACACACACACACACACACACACACACACACACACACACACACACACACACACACACACACACACACACACACACACACACACACACACACACACACACAGATAGACAGACAGACATGCACACACAGATACATGCACACACAGATACACGCACGGACGAACGCACACACAGACAGCAGACACTATAGCCGATAAACTACCATACAGAAGAGAGCAAATTCTAAATTCTAACACTTTCCTGCTAGAAGTAACGAGCAAATTAGTATTGTCTACAGACACCAGACACCATTCAAATATTGCTCGTCATAATCTTAGCAGGCTCACACCAGTCGGTGAGAATACAGCTGTTGAAGGAAAGAACATGTTCCCATGTCTCCCACCCAGAATCACGAAGTACTGAATCCTTACCTGGGACGCCTCAAAGTTTGGTCGAAACCACTTTGCAACTAAGTGATCCACTTGCCAGTCAACAGCCGCATCCTCTTCTTCACCCATAAACTGAAGAAATCACATGAGCAGCAGCAGCAGCAAATTGGAGCATCCATTACCACTGCTTTAAAATCGTACAAAAAATTAACAGATCAATAATGGGGTCGAAAACTAAACCGAAAATGCACTAGAGATGTAAAAGATCGTGTACCATGTGTAGACAACTCCCGTTGATAGTGCACAATACAATACTTCACAACTCCCGTTGATAGTGCACAATACAATACTTCAAGTACAACACTACCCATTCGCAGATGATGGCAGGTCCTGGAAGGACCGACAGCATTTCAGTCACGGAGAACAGAACATCATGTGGCGAGTAAGGTCCCGGCGACAGTGAAACTCTCGGCCACATTGGTAACTGAAGTCCCGAGACCCAGGTTTAGGCGGCTGGATGGTGTAACAGGCCAGTCTCCACACACGACGGTCCTTGGCTAGGCTGCGTCAGTCAGTGCAGTTCTTGGAGATCATGTACAGTGCGTGCGTAGTCTGTGACGAGGGAGGGTCTTCTACACCTCCCCAAACAAAAATGCATTCCGGTATTCTGTCGTCGTCGATGTGTCCGACATGCCCCAGCGAGCGAAGGCGGCGTGTTGTCAGCATCTCCACCATTGACTGTAAACCAGCCTGCTCCAAGATGGCGGCGGTGGAGAGATGCCCATTCCATTGCTCTGACTTGTTGACGTCAAGAATGACGCGAGAACAGCGGTTGTGGAATGCTGACAGTCGACTGGTCTTAGTTGCCTTGACTGCCCATGACCCACAGCCATATAGCAACGTTGACAGAACAACTGCGGTAAAACCACACGTCTTGTTTCGAAAGGAGATGTGGCGATTCCCAAAGACAGCAGAATGCAAGGCATCAAAAGACTGGGGAGCTTTGGCAAGACGTGAGTGCACCTCAACTGACTACTGATCATTACCAGCAATAATACAGTTACCGAGGAAAACAAACTCCTTCACAATTTCTACCAACGTGAAGCATCCGGTCCAGCCGGATGGTGCACACACCCACACCCACCCACAAATCGATCGATCGAGAGAGAAAAACAGGGCATCAATCCTGCAGAGTGGCCAGGATAACTTACATTGTCGAGAATTCTCTTGAGACCATCTGTATACTGCTCACCAGGTTTCAACTCCCCTCCAGGCCTAAAGAGCAAGAAAGAAAAAGCAAGAAAGAAGAAAGTAAGAATAAGAATGTTCTATACGTGTGAGGGCTACGGAGGTGAAGTGTGTGCACTCCCAGCACACTGGGTGCAGCCTCCGGTGACGTGAAGTGTGACAACATAAAGTAACAAGATGAAGTGTGATTGTTACACATACATGCGCGTGTGAACTAAAAACAAGGATGGGAAACAGAAGAGACAAGCCAGTAGCCACAATGGAAATGCTTCTAAAACAGTGCGAAAAGTGTCGGATGTTAACTTAACCAACTTAACCAAGGCAACACTTAGTCATACTGTGAAGTATTTCCATTGTGGCTACTCACTCGTTTCTTCTTCTGCTGTTACCCATCCTAGTTATAATTTTAGTTCACATGCACATGTCCATGTGAAACAATCACACGTCATCTCATTCAAGTAATAATGAAGCTGGCATCAGCTGACAAAACTGAATAGCTGATACTAGTACACGTGTTATGCACATGCACATGGCTTTCAGTAGTACATTTACGAAATTTAGGGGGCTCCACGGAACCCCTCCTGGCTGACAGTCTACAAAGCACCTCGAAACAGGGCAGGAACACAACAATGACAACCACAGCCATGGACTAACTACAACTGGTACGCAATACTATATGTATTTCAATGTACAAGTAGAATGGATGGGGTTTCACAAGACACCCCTAGCCTACCCTTCAAGTGAAAACACTGATGTCCATGCACCTTTCAACATTAACAAAACGCCAGCTGGTGCAACTCGAGAGTGGATGCAAATCAGCACAAACACATAAGGACGTACAACTTGAAGAACGTCGTGCCAAGTTGTAGAAGCAGAACGTGTGTGATGTTGTGCTCGTGCACCAGCAGTATTGCCTCCACGGAGCGGCGCATGCCATGCTTCTGGTATTCCTCCCTGCAGAGTGCACGTACAATGACAGAATTTTCAAGTACAAGCAAGATAATCAGGCCAGCATACTGGTATACACATACATGCAGAGTGTACATAAGATCATCAGGTCAGAGTATACACATACATGCACCTCAAAAGTCCTCATACTGGACATAGGCGACAACCCTGCCCATTCTGCAGTGCCCGACAGCACATGTACTGCACCTATACTCCCATGGTACTGTACACGGACAAGGCATCAGTGTTCGCAAAATCAGGCAGGGTTCAGAATTTGCGCTATACCCAACATCGCAAGTAGGGACGTCACAAAATACACGATGTACACACGCACACAGACCAACACACAAAACAAGTCCAGTGTATACATGTACATGTATGAAGATAAGAATCCTTGTCTGCTGATTGCCTAAGGGCATGAAGCTACTAGCTACAACGAAGATGCGTGGTGCTCTGCGACTTGTGTGTTTAGGCATGAAGATACACAATTGAACATTGAACATTACACACTAAAGCACAGCTTACTTCATCCGCTGGAACCTTAGCTGGACCGACCTAAGGAATGTGCGGAAAGAGAGATAGAGAGAGAGAGAGAGAGCATACAGCAAATAGTCACATGCCAGTATCCAGAATATTTCCCAAGCCCAAGCCTATGTGGAAGACAGTATTCGGGAAACTCAGAATCGTGACTTTACATGCAGGCTTGGTTTGTGGAAAAGTCAACAGACAAGCAGTTAGAGACATTCAGCCAGGTTTTTAAGAAATCAGGACAGGTATACCAATGTACTTTGAAGCAAATTGAATTGAGAACCAGCCCCCAAACCCCAAAGGTTCCCACTTAGATATGGGGTTTGAGCATGAATCCAGCCAAAATGTTTCACAGCCAGCAAGACTATTTTATCTGAACGGCTACTTACGTGTCCTTTTCATACTGTGCTTCCTTTGTACCAAAAGTGTAATTCGCTAACGAGTACCTGCAGCGAGTCAACATTACACAACACAAACTGTCATCAGTGAGAGAACCCAATGTCAACCGGTCACGAGTTTGAACGAGTGATCTACCATTGCACGGCTGCAGGTGCATTCTCTACATGACACGTGTATTATAATCGCAGGCATACATGATTGTTTTTGTCTTGTACCACTAACTCTCCACTCTCTCGTTGGATTGTCCGGAGAAGCTGGGGTTTGTGTTTCTGTCGCGGCCTGGCCTAGCCCAGCTTCGGGAGGTTGCCAAGGATAGATGCAAATGGGGTTCATTTTCATGCTGCTAGCTATGACGCGATTCGTGACAGTTGCCGAGTTGGGACAAGAAAATGCCTGTCTCGAGCTGTCGCGTGCAGTCGCAAAGCACCTGTCACATAAGTCGAAGACACCTGCGAAGCTCGTCGCAGGTGTCGCACGTCGCGTCGCAAAACGTATTGTGAATCGGCCTTAAGAGTGAGAGAATGTATGTGTGTGTGTGTGTGTGTGTGTGTGTGTGTGTGTGTGTGTGTGAGAGAGAGAGAGCAGCTCTGCCCCCCAGCTGCCCACATTGTAAACGCAATTTCCGCCGGCAGCAGGACCTAGCCAGACATTCGCGGTCCTGCTTGTGATCCGACTCCCGTTTTCTGGTCCCCTTTTCATAGGGGTGACACTTGCCCATCTGGGCAGTCATGCTGCTAGTAGTAGTAGTAGGTATCGTCCCCTTCGGCGCTGAAGGTGAGGACTTTGTCAAGGAACTTTCCAGATTGATCAGCCTTTTCACAGATGGACCAGGGGCTCGGGCGTTTGCGTGGTCTGCTGTGATGGTTGCGTGCCACCTTCTGCTGCAGAGGCCGTTCAACACCTCAGCCGCCGCTGACCACAGGAAGTTTCTACGAAAGCGGCTTTCGTTGTGGTCAGCTGGCAATTTATCGGCCCTGCTGCGGGAGTCTCGGTGCATCCAGGCGCATTTGCCGATGCCTCGTTCTGGTGGCTCTGCAGGTGGTGGATTAGATGACGTCCAGTTCGCTAAGCTGGTCTATGGTGATCGACTTGGCACGGCTGCCCACTACGTAGAGGAGGGTGGTGGTGGTGGTGTCTTGCCTCTTTCATCTATTGTGGATGGACAAACTGTACTTGAGACGTTGAGGGCAAAGCATCCGGATCCTGTTCCCCCTGAGCCAAGCGTTCTGCTGCCTGACGGTCCGCCTCCACCGGATAACGTGCTTTATGAGGCCATAACATCAACAAAGGTACGAGCTACCATCATGGCGATGAAGGGCGCTGCTGGCCCTTCGGCACTGGATTCGGAGGCTTGGCGGTGGATGGCTTCCATGTACGGTGCGGCGTCGAAGGCACTCTGCACATCCCTTGCCCACATGGCCAGGTGTTTGTGCGTGGAGGAGATTGACCCATCTCATCTCCGAGCTTTCCTCGCCGGTCGACTAATACCGCTTGACAAGCAACCTGGCGTAAGACCGATAGCGATCGGTGAGGTTTTCCGGAGAGTGGTCGGGAAGGTGATCATGGCCGTGATCGAGCATGACGTTGCGGCCGTCACTGTCCCACGGCAGCTGTGTGTCGGCGTCCCCTCCGCCTGTGAGGTTGCTGTCCAAGCCCTCACTGGCCTGTACGAGCGAGATGAGGACACTGTCATTCTCCTCGTTGACGCTTCAAATGCGTTGAACCGTGCAGCCGCAATCAACAACATACCAAAGGTTTGCCCTGCAGCTGGTCGAGTGTTTGTAAATACATACCAGGCCGACATACCACTTTACCTCGATGGCGGAGAGGTATTGTATTCGCGCGAGAGAACTTGCCAGGGGGACCCTCTGGCAATGGCGTTTTACGCATTGGCCACCGTTCCTCTTGCTGCACAGCTTGGTTCAGCATCGGAGTCAACAGCTCAAATCTGGTACGCAGATGATGATGCGGCTGCCGGCAAGATACAACCACTGCGTCGGTATTGGTCTGCCATTGGGGAGGCCGGCCCTCAGTACGGGTACTACCCCAATGCCAAGAAAACTGTGCTGCTTGTACGCCCGCATCTTCTGGCTGAGGCACAGGAGGCTTTCGCCGGCACGGGCGTTAGAATCCAGACTTATGGTGTGCGGTATCTGGGTGGAGCCATTGGCAGCCAACAGTTTCAGAATGACTTTGTATTGGATCGGGTTGCGGGCATGTGTCGGTTGGTGAAGCGCCTTGCTGGCTTGGCTGTGACGCAACCGCAGGCGGCTTATCGCCTTTTTGTTGCGTCTCTGCAATCCCGGTGGACCTTCTTACAGCGTGTGGTCCCTGCTGACCCAGCCGTGTACTCACCTCTGGACCAGGCCATCAATGACGATCTGCTGCCGGCGCTGACTGGCCACACGTTCAGGCCTGACGGTGCGCTTCGTCAGCTACTATCTGTGCCCCTACGAAACGGCGGTCTCGCTATGCGAATTGGGAGTGTGCGTGCCGAGGCTGAGCGTCTGCTCTGTTGCGATGCGATAGACCCTATGGTGACGTGTGTGGTGGTCGGTCTGGGCGAGCGTCGAGTCGCCGACGTAATTTCAACCAGCAAGGCATTGGCAGTTCAGGCTCGTGGCCAACGCCGGTCTCAGCAGCTGGACATCTTGGCTGCGATCAAGCCTGATCTGTCGGATCAGCAGCGCCTCCTTGTGGATGTGGCAGGTGAGGGTGGTGTATCCACTTGGCTTGGCACTCCCCCTTCCATGCACATACCTGGGTCAGTATTTAATAAATCTGACTTCATGGATGCACTCTGTCTGCGGTATGATTTATCGCTGGATGGGGTTGCATTGTCCTGTGTGTGGAAAGGAGATGTCAAGCCATCACGCACTCACTTGCCCCAGTGGAAGCTACCCTCGGCAGCGCCACAACGAGTTGAGGGATCTCCTTGCGGACGCCCTCGGCAGCGTCGTTTGTGATGTGGCGATCGAGCCACCGCTGATGCCACTCCAGGGCGAGGCAGTCTCTGGCAACTCAGCTGATGGCGCTCGTGGCTTCTGGACCAGGCAGCAAAACGCCTTTTTTGATGTGCGGGTGACTCACCCAAGGCCGTCTTTGCTGTCTGGATCGGAAGTGGCGGGTCAGTTGTCCCAGCATGAGCGCCAGAAGAAGCGGCAGTATGCAGACCGGATTAACCAGGTGGATCGCGGGTCATTTACCCCTCTGGTTTTTGCAACGAATGGTCAGAGCGCGCCGGAGTGCAGCAGATTCCTGAAGACGTTGGCGACCCGTATAGCGGATAAGAATCGGGATCTTCAGTACACCCTTGTCCTTGGTCACCTGCGATCGAGGATAGGTACCTCCCTAATCCGGTGGCAGATAACGTGTTTTCGGGGTTCAAGATCGTCGTATGCCCGTGGGGTCTCCGGTACAGGCCATCATGGTTTCGTAACCGAGTGCCGCGCACTGGCGCACATGTCGCGTGTGCAGTAACTGGACTTGTCTATCGAATAGCATTCTTTTCCTTTTTGTTGACTGTGTTGTTATTCTATTTTCGCTGTTGCTTTGTAATATTCGAATTCGTTTCTCTCGTTGGTTGGAGTTTTACTTGGATCCTTTGAAATTTGTACAATTACACGACCTCATTGAGCCTATGCTAGGGATTGAGTTCATTTTTGCCTCCTGGGTGCAATGCTTGAGTTCTCTTGGTCAGGTTTCTTTGTTCTTCCTTTTTCTCTTCTTCTTTCAAATACAGCCTTATGTTTCCGGTGTTCTTTCTTTGCATCATCATTTTATGTGGTCAATAAAAACACGCTTCCAAGTAGTAGTAGTAGTAGTAGTAGTAGTAGTAGTAGTAGTAGTAGTAGCAGCAGCAGCAGCAGCAGCAGCAGCAGCAGCAGCAGCAGCAGCAGCAGCAGCAGCAGCAGCAGCAGCAGCAGCAGCAGCAGCAGTAGTAGTCAAAGACCTTAACAATTGATTACTTCTCTTGACATACTAGTACTTTCTCTCTTTCTTTCTCTTTCTTTCTTACTCTTTTCCATTACTTGTGTGCTTACCGTGGTATCGTTTTCTGCCCGTAAAAGTAGTAGTAGTAGTAGTAGTAGTAGTAGTAGTAGTAGTAGTAGTAGTAGTAGCAGTAGTAGCAGTAGTAGTAGTAGTGTGTGTGTGTGTGTGTGTGTGTGTGTGTGTGTGTGTGTGTGTGTGTGTGTGTGTGTGTGTGTGTGTGTGTGTGTGTGTGTGTGGTGTTTAGCACTTAAGAGTCAATGTCCGTAACGAGCAAATATCACCCGACATGGCCAAATTTCCGATTTCGCTCAAAGTTGGCTCCTTTTATCCCTGAGTGGACCTTGTTCGCCCACTATGACAGTTTGGTCCAGAGACCCTCCGTTACTTGGATATTGGGCAAATAAATAAATCTAAAATACGCACTGAAACAAAAAACAAAAAGGAGGGGTCACAACAACGCAGGGCAGCCAAACCAACTATGTTCGCACACCGATCCAAGTCACCTAGTAATGTTTAGTCATCCAACTTTCGACTGCAACAGTAGTGCAAGATGGCCCAGATTGGGCCAGAACGATCTCTTGTGCTGGGCAGCTACACGCGAGTTTCACATGTGTGCTACGCTCCCATCAAAAAAATTCAAAATTTCTCTCAGGTTGCTATGAGTCCATGTACTTCCAGTGCATGCGCGGTTACATCATGCATTTTTTAGGTACCGGACTAACCGGAGGGCCGCGGCTGCGCCCCAAAGAGAACTTTTTTCTTTCTTTCGATTCTTGATTTTCCAACCGCAATGCATACCTGAAATCCTCGAGTGCCCAACTGCTACGTCGTGATTTTCTACTTGTACGACGAGGCATCAATGTACTCACGTGAAACTCATGTGCACTGGCTGCCCTGTACAAGCAGTGTTGCCACATCATTCTAGCCAAATATCAGTAGCATGAAAAAATAAAATGCATCATCCGGGGGCGAACCCCCCCCCCCCCCCTCCCCTATATAGCGACCTCGATATACACACATGCGGCACTGATAAGAAAAAAACATTTCACGGTTTTGCGTGACACACGGGCTGAGTTTGCCGATTTTCACCGAGACGGATGATGATTTCGCTTAGCGCCTCAGGAGAGAGCTATGGAAACACTCGTGCTGCGCAGTAAAAGTCAAAAATCTGGATCACGACTCCTAAACCATCCATAAGGTCAAACTTGAACACTTTCATGGCTGTTGTCCCCAGGAGAAGGTCAATTGTCTGCAGGTCGTGACATGCCTCAAAAATCGGCAGGCTACTGACATGTCGGCAGGTGTGGCAACACAGTGTACAAGACAAAATCTTGGGCCATCTAGCGTTACTGTTGCAGTCCTTGCTGATTTGTTGTTGTGGAGCAGTTCTTCTTTCTAGTCATGTTGGACTGTTGTTCAGCAAGTGACGCTTCGTGGCAATTCAATCGAGTTTCTTCGAGGGAGGGATTATTCCCATGTCTCAGTGCTGGTAGCGTAGCCAAAAAGGTATATGGAGGTGCTCCGTATGTGCTTTCCTGCCACGAGGTTGGATTCGGCTAGTGCATGGCTGTTGGAGAGTTCAAAATTGAATATTTCCCCAAGTGATTTTTAGTGGATAACTTTATTCAAGACCACTTGTTGGCGCTTGGGGACATGTTGTAGCAGACTATAGTGGTGGTCTACCCCCAATTTCAGGACGTAACCCCGCTGTTACTGGCCCTTGAAGATGGCCTTCGTAATGGCCGCCATTAGACAGGCTGAATTGATCGATTCATTCAGGGACTCAGCAAGTCGGCAGTAGGCTTTTCCACATTATGTTTTGCATAATTTTTGTATCTTGGGGGTAAAAATGAATCCCCGTTGTAAAAATGCATCTTTCGTGATTTTTGCCAGATTTTCTTCAAAAACAACAACGTTTGCGTGTTTTTGCCAGATTTTCTTCAAAAATAACAAATTTGGCATGATTTTTGCCAGATTTTCTTCAAAAACAACAAGTAAGTTCAAGTTGCAAGTGTTAGCTAAACCAAGTTACTTTAGCCTACAGGCTTTTTCTTCTGCTGGCAAGACTTGACCTTGCCCCGCACCTGACGTAACCTGACTCTTGACAGTCTTGTCAGTCTCGAAATATGCCCGGCACTGGGGCAGGCAGGCGGCATGATGATGTGCATGCACAGGTACATGTCCTGTACTACTCTTGCTACTACTAGTAGTAGTACTAGTACCATGGTGTACTCTGTAGGGTTCCCTGAGCTGATGCCAACATGTACATGCTTCGAATCAGGGAGTCGTAAAATACCGGTATTTTACGACTCCCTGCTTCGAATGAATTTGGCAGCCATCTTGTTGCCATGGCAACGGGTGAATAATTTTCGCACATTGGGTGATTTTTTGAATTTTTTTAGATTTTTTTCAAATCTATCCATTTTTGAGAATAACATCATTCCCCCAAAAAATCGAGTTTTACATCCACATCTTTCCGATATTTTTTCGAATAATGTGGAAAAGCCTAGTCGGCAGTCGAAAGTTGGATGGCTAAACATTACTAGGTAACTTGGATCGGTGCGAACATTGTTGGTTTGTCTGCGCTGTGTCGTTGTGAGCAGCAGTGAACCTTCGTTCGTGTACCTTGTTTGTGTTGTGTGTTTCAGTTCGTATTTTTATCGATTTCTGTTATTCTGGTCAATAGCTAAAGAACGGAGGGTTTCTGGACCAAACTGTCATAGTGGGTGAATGAGGTCCACCTAGGGATAAAAGGAGCCAACTTTTAGCGAAATCGGAAATTTGGCCATGTCAGGTGATATTAAATTGGTCGTTACAGGCATTGAGGGTAGCTCAATAGGAAAAACCTGGTCCGAAGATTGTTCAAAATGTTATGAGTTATGATTAACTGTCCACCAACGTAACCAGATCTGATACAGTCAGCGAGTGCGACAAAATGGCACAAAACTGACAAGGAGTACTGAGACATTCGGCGACCTGACACCTACATATATATCGCTCCAACACTTCTCCAAGGCGCAACCCAACAACTTTCCAACTTGGAAGGCTCAGGTTCGGAACGGTCCAAGAGGGGAAGGAAAGCGCAACGCAACGAAGCACTCACTGACTGTATAAGATCTGGTTACGTTGGTGGACAGTTAGTCATAACTCGTAACATTTTGTCCTCCTTTTTCACCATAGTTTAATTGGCTCACCATCCGAGTCGAAGATTGTTCAGTTTTACTTTTTCCACACCTTCCTACATGTGTACTGAGTGAAAAAAAACATTCGGGGGTGGGGGGTAATTGGGCAAAATCTTGCAGTATGGTGCCTAGAAAATATACGATTTTGCGATTTAGCGGAGTTTTATCACACATCTCTTCAGGAAATATTTTCATTAGAATGCTTTATTGTGTCTTTCTTGATGCTCTACTTCGTCCAGGGATGCCCCTGGAACAAAACTGGAGCATTGGGGAAGTACTGCTAGCCTTGAATTCAACTATTTACGAAATAGTGGTTGCGACTTCGGCGATGATTTTTTAGGAATGAGTTTGCTCCCACACTGGAGCTCGCGCTTTCCGCCGACTTGACTTGACACTGTGTGCTCTGGATGGCAGTCGTGAGTCAGTCAAGTGTCAAGTCAAGTCGGCGGAAAGCGCGAGCTCCAGTGTGGGAGCAAACTCATTCAACTATTTAGTTTCAAAAGCTTTTGCGGGTTGCAAAATTTACGTCAAATTTGTTACAAGGATGAAATTTCAAAATAATAATTGGTCCGAAGATGTGCATGTTTTCCTTCTTTACGATCAAGACCCTTACTGAGCTGGAAAAAAAAAAGTTTATGTGGGGGGGGGGGGGGTAATTGGGCAAAATGTTGCTGATACGGACCATTTTCATATATCGGACATGTGTATTCTGCCTCCAAGACACTGTTTTTCATGCAAAACTTGATAGAGGTTCCATTGGTTATCAAGTTGGTACTGATAGAACATTCTCTCTCTCTCTCTTGGTTCCACCTTAAGTTGCTGGCTGCTAGCCCGGTGGGTGCCAATCTCCTCCGGCCTTTGGCTGAATGCTGATGGGTAATAATATACAGCCTCTGTGGATTCAGAGGAAGCGCGAGTTTCGAAATCTGAAGAAAATGTTGAATGGTCGCTGCTGGGCTGACAGCTACACCATAGATTAAAGGTAGAGCATCACTGGCCATAGGGAGGGTCTGTGGTTCGAGTCCCGGCGGTGACAGTTAATTTTTTTGATTTTTTTCTTCAGACTTCCCAGTTCAACTCCCTCAACCGTATGAAGAATAATCAACTCTCTTTTCTTCTCGCTTTCTGGCAGCTTGCTTCCCTGACTGTTACTAGTATCAGGGGCGTCGGAAGGCATTTTAGTGTGCTACGGTCAGCCATCTGAAAGCACAATTTACTCGTGGGGGGGGGGGGGGAGTGGCTGAGCCGAAAATTTTGGAAATTTAGAGCCCAAATCAGTGCATTTTATTGATTTACGGGGTACTTTGGGCAAATAGTGGTACGGTCAATACCGTAGTGACCGTACCGTGTGCGACGCCCCTGAGTATTCAGCTAACTTTGAATTCAAAGTTTATTACAATCCCACTCAAATTTAACTCTCCACCCATACATCTTCATTTTCTTGCTTCTTCACCAAAACAAACCAAAACGCAAAACAGGTATGGCAGCAAACAATGCAGTTTCGAATTCAGTATACAGGAGTCAGCAGCAAGACTTTCAATTTTTCTTTTGCATCGTTTCTTTCAACTATACCATGTATCTAGATCCTCTATGTAGGTCCCATAAACATTCAGGAAACTCCAAAAATAAAATACAGTACACGTGCAGCACTTATCTACAATGCACGGACACACCTGTCGTAAAATCAAGACTTACAGATGAACGGTGCTGTCTTCGTATTCGGCATCCATTTTCAATTCAGAATAAAGATGCGCGGATGGTCGAGAAAATTCTCACTCCCAGGAGATGAAAACAGGAATTGCACTAGTATTAATTTTGTTCAATACGTTACAAAATTTGCAACGATGAACGCGGAACAGCACGGTGAGTTAGTATTGGTACTCTATTTCTCTACAGGACCTACATAAAGAGGAGAGCAAGGAACGTCCCTGGGCTAGAGCTTGAACCTTCTCCTAAGTTGTAGTCATTTCACAAATATTTTGATGAGATGAATTGATGAAGCATTTTTGCGAACTGAAAAGAAAAGCAGTTTTTTTCCATTATTTTTTACTCGTACATCGGCAAAAAAACCAGCTGGAACATGATAGATCTCGAGATCAACACGACTCGCGAACGGTTTGCACTTGCAGAGCCTACAAAACTGCCGTACCGACCGTAGAGCTCACCGCGTACCGGTGCACCGCGGTACGACGCTCGTACCGGTAGTCCGGTACCCGCGCGCGCGTAGACCTACGTAGATCTACTCGGCAAGCGCACACGCGGTGAGCTTGCTAGCGCCGAGTAGACCCAGGTGCTCGAAGTCCGTACATGGTATCCTAAGTTCGTACGCCCATAATTTCATGTTCTGTTATTGTATTTGACTCAAATATTCTATGGAGGGGACAGTGTGGTATGTTCTCCTCGCGTAGCAATTTTCAGGGATCTACGATAAGCAGAAGTCCCAAACCACGCGAGTGGGTTTTCGAGTGTCCATACGAAATACAAATTGGGTTACATTTCATGCAAAAATCAACTTTGCCAAGACCGATTTCGAACGGACACAGCGTCAAACAGACCTTCACTCAATCATCAAGAGCCAGCTTAGAGCTGACAATGGCCAGAGGAGAAGAATTTACAGAGAACCACCAATCCTTGCAGAAAGGTTGACACTCCTGGCATCTCCACCACTGTTTCCCGCGGTTTTCACAGCGCAGCTGCTTCTTCTCTGAGCCGACTAAAAACAGCTTGCATTTCGGCAACAAACTACGCTTTTGCAAGAAATACTGGTGGAGCCACATATCCCTTCGGTGCTTTCGTCGTAACCGAGGGATTGCAAGTTAGCAATTAGCAGAAATATGTGTGTATTTCGAGTCACCTCTGATCAGTACGGACTTAGAGTACCCTCTGCGACACAACAATTTGATATGAAAAATCAGCGAACTCCAGAGAAACAGATCGGATCGAAAGATGGCCTGGTTCAATCGAGCCTGGTCTCAGGGCAAGATACCTTCTTCCATCCACGAGCAGGATTCTGGCAAGTGATCATTGCTAGTGACAGTACTAGTGTGATATGAGTTTCAGCTCGGCAAACACACACACACTGTAAAACTAAAAGTGTACGGACTTCGAGCACCTGGGTCTACTAGTAGCGGCTTAGCGCACATGCGCATTATGCAGCTCCGGCTCCACCTACCGTACGTAAGTTCTTGTGCACCATGCATGCACGCACTGCATGGCCCTCGACTCGCGCATTTGGCTTCTTTAGAAAAAAATTTGATTTATAGGGGTTTTTCAAAACACTTTCCATTTCCATTTTAGACCAAGAAAAAACGCATAATCCGGAAAAGCCTAACTCGCGGCCTCGAGTCTCCGCTTCTCCACTCGCGGGCTCCGTACCGGCGTGATCGCCTGACCGCATATCGCGAGTTGGTGCAGTGAGCATGCATGGTGAGATACAGGTGACTGTTGACGTGAGTCGCCCACACCAGCACATGCATGAATGATGATGAGGTCTGATTATGTGTAGGTAGCTACTGCCGGTACTGGGCTGCATGCATGCATGGTTGTAGACTGCAGTCCGCATTTTTGTCAGCAAGGCCAAGAATCCATTGAAAGGTTTCTTTGAGTTTGAGAGAAAATTTAGTACAAGTACAATGTAGTTTTGTCAATTTCTCATCTCCCTCGAAGTGTGGAGGCTACTGTTTATTTGGAGGCACATTGGTTTCACAGAGTTATTCTCCTTGTCTTTGGAATATTTTCAATCATGTATGTGAGCCGTCCCTTCATTGCCATGCTGGTCCGCACGAGTCCTAATTTCAGTTCAATCAAAAACTTCAACACCAGCTAACAGAAGTGGTTTTCATATCAAAGGATTTGTTGGAGACCTTCTTCCCTAGCGTGGACATGGCCGCAGCTGCGGCCGACACAGAGGCTGATAAAGCCGTGCCGATGGAGTCCGAAGTCACTTGTGTCAGTGGTAGGAACGCCGGTCGTCGAACGCGAAATGATAGTTACTGTTTGGATGGAGATGAAGAAATGACAGCTGTTGATCGCAGCCCGGATGAACGCTATCTTAAATTTCAAGATATGGTTGGGACCGGGTCGTTCAAGACCGTATACAAGGGCCTCGATACTGAGACGGGTGTTGCAGTTGCATGGTGTGAACTGCAGGTGAGAGGCAGACTGCTTGATTGCAGTTTGGGCAGTTTTGTGTAGTGTACTAACTCTCTCATTGTCCATACTACATTAATAGTATTAGTAGTACCTGTACTATAATGCAACACCTAAAATTCTCGATGAGAACAACTGTATCTACTGGTAAAGTTGGTTCTTGGCTAGGTGGATAACTGCGCTCTGAAGCGGGATTCACAGAAGTTTTTTTGCAATGTGCCATGCGCCATGCGATGCGAACGCCCGACATGCCATTCACAGAAGAAGTCAGCGATGCGATGATGCCTTGATGGTGCGCCTCAAAGACCAATGCAAGGCCGTACGTCAGCATGGTGTTCGCGTTGCTGGGTACAACTTGTTCAAATCTACAAACAACTCTTGAACCGAAGGACGGAGGCAGATTAGTCTTTAATTTAAGTGTGTACTATACGCGTGCGTCAAAGAACGAAAAGGTTCAATACGAATAATTGTGTCTTTTTGGCTGGTTGTGCGAGATAACTCTTGAACCTTTCGTACAACTAATTGTAAAGGGTGCTATCGGGATTCCAGTTTCGTGGCCATCACATCGCACTCGGAAATGGAGAAATATGATTCATTGGGGATTTGAAGTCAGGAGACAATGTTGGACAGTCGCTGCTTGGAGGCTGACTACACCATAGCTTAGTTGTAGAGCATCACTGGCCATAACTTAAGCGAGGGTCCCTGGTCCGAGTCCTGGTAGTGACAGTCCATTTTTCTTCACGCTTGTCCCGTTTGCACCTGTCCCTCTAACTTGTGAATTGTGTTTATTAGTTTGAAATGCCCTTATGAAACCCTGTGTTGTATTGAGAACCGTCCCTCGCTGTCTTCTAATGGCCAGCTGTATTATGTTGTTTGGTGAAAGCCACCATTCTTACATCAGTATTTTATTATTGTGTGTGTTTGTGGGTGTGCGATTGTGTGTGGATGTATGTGTGTGGGTGTGCGATTGTATGTGTGTGTGTGTGTGTGTGTGTGTGTGTGTGTGTGGTGTGGGTGTCCATGTGCATGTATATGTCAATATTATCCTATAGTCCAAGCACTTTAAAAAATCAGAGTATACCAGATTCAAGGACGAGGCCAAGATGATGAAAATGCTAAGGCATCCGAACATTCTGCATTTCCATGACTACTTTGAATTACCATCTGAGGACAAGAAGCATCCAACATTAGTGTTAGTGACTGAGCTTATGACATCTGGAACATTGCGAAAGTGAGTATTTTTCAAGCCAGCATCTCAGTGTTGCAATAATGAATTGTCAGTATGCAATACGACCGTTCATCTGTAAAGCAATGCAATCTGCATTGCTGCCCAACTAGTTGTTATGTGGCATAGTTCTTTGCTTTTTCTTTGCCGGAATGCTTTCATGTTACAACGCTAATGAGGATGTAAACACGTGTTCAAAGTGTAGGGGATGGGGGGGGGGGGGGGGGGGCAGATTTGCAACCTTGTTTCGGGTCGGCTGACCATGTCATTTCCCCCAAATTCTGAAACTTGTTTTGGTCCTGATATGTGTACAATACGTGCCTGAGAGCCTGCTATGTAGGTAGTTGGGGAAACCGCTCATTTGCATCCACCCTTTTTCGTGCATGCATGCCTGCAGCGTGCCTATCCAGAAAGTACTAGACATGCACACTGAGCCTATCAGGAGTACACAGTCTGTACGAGTATAGTCAGTCAACTGTGGCATTGATCCATACCATCTGCATATCATGTAGTATTGTACATGTACATCGAGTAACTGTATGTTGATCTGCTTTTGGCCGTCGCATATAATCACCTTGTTTCATGCTGTCAATCTAAGAACAATCATGTACGTGTACATGTATGTAAACATCAGGACCATTGATAATAACAACCTAAAAATTGTCAGAAAAAATATTTTCCCGGCCGACCGAGTCAGTTTCGGGGGGGGGGGGGGGGGAGGGGGTTACCGACCTGAAACAAACTTATTTTTTGTTTTGGCTGAATTTGTATCTCAATCTTGTTCTACCCCGTCTTATGTTCCTTTCCAGTTACTTGAAGAAATTCCGTGTCAAAATCACCAACAAGCCAAAGATTGTAAAGAACTGGTGTGAGCAGATCATAAAGGGCCTCAAATTTTTGCACAACCACAACCCGCCAATCATCCACCGCGACCTGAAGTGCGATAACATCTTCATAACCGGACCCACCGGAACTGTGAAGATCGGCGATCTCGGCCTTGCCGTCCTGAAGAGACGTTCCTATGTGGCGAGTGTCATAGGTGAGTGCGTTGGTCTAGTTGGCGATGATTGGACCGGCATCTGCAATGCAATGTGTGGCTGAATGTCGATGGCAGCATGAAAGTAGCATGTGACTTGAGCTTTGCTCACTACAGTACTAACATTCTGTGCGCGGGTGTTTTACTTCTTTCTTTTTTTTACTTCAGGAACACCGGAGTTTATGGCTCCAGAAATGTATGAAGAGCATTATGATGAATCCATTGATATTTATGCATTTGGAATGTGCTTGCTGGAAATGGCAACGCTAGAGTATCCGTACGAGGAGTGCCAGAATGCTGCTCAGATCTACAAAAGAGTGACAACGGTTAGTTAGCGTTTCCTACTTCAAGTGCTCACCTTCCAATCGTGCCAATTCTCTCCTGTGGCTGTGTGTAATTTTTGGTGGCTGCTTGCTTGTGTGTCCGCTGTGTGCTTACATCTGTGCTTGCCATTGTGTTTGGTAAGGGAGCTGGTATTCTATTTGCTTAGAGCTGAACTACACTGTACCACCGTGTTTGCCAGTGAAATTCTCCCTCGTGAATACGGTATCGCCGGCCATCGCATGGCCCTGCCACTACAGACACTAGGCTGTGCACTTGAGCAAGGCAGTCCTTAATCATGAGGACGAATTCCACTGGCAAACACTGTAGTGTTGCTGCTAGCACAATGTAATTGGAATTGAATTGAAACGCAACCCTATTTAACCCAAGTCCTATCTCACAGAGGGTCTTTTCACTTTTGTGCACTCGTTTTCCTCCGATGTTCAGGGCGTCATGCCGGCATCTTTATCGAAGTTAGATCGTCCCGTACTTAAAGATCTGATTTCTTGCTGCCTGCGCTCTAAGAGCTCTGACCGGTAAGTTTTGGAGTGATGCCATGGTTGACAATGTGTGCCTTCCTTAGCAGGATCACTGTGTTTTGTTAGGTGTAAGCTGTCCTATTTGAGGCTAATGTCACATTCCAACTTGTATTGTTTCAACTTTCGACCTGCATGAATATTCGAATAACGAGACACAAGGCAGGTTTCTGGCTTAAAAAAAAATATTTTATTCAGGCTTTTAACCCTTTATTACCGGATTACTTGCACAGCACGCACCATAATTACGAATTTCAGTACAATTTCCAAATTCCCCAGGTCATATCTTTGGTCTCCTTCACTTGATTTTCACAATCTAGGGCTCGTTGGAAAGCTCTTGGCGAGAGCAACACCAGGGTACCAAGCTCCATTATCCAGTTGCCACAAATCAGGCGCGGTAACACAGCAAAGTCGTCTCCAAGCCTGATATGCAAGCAAATTCGTCCCATCAATGCCATTCCACTCTCCTTCATCGTAGAACGCCCAAATTTGTTTGAGACGATTCAAACTTCAGCCGACTACGTCATTATCATGTGCTTATTCGCTCAAAGAGCACACGAAAAGGGATTTTCTCCAATAATGGCGAAGTGATCGATCAAAAATTTGAATTTGCCGAGGTCAGATTACGGCGCGCGATATCTCTGACCTCCGACATCGCAACTTTTCGGCGATTGTTGCATTGGATAGCTTGGAGTTTTCGCTACCAAATAGACCTTTCGATTGTTGAATTTGCACAACAAATGATGGAGTTACGAAGATATTACTGGCCTGCAGACTTTCGATCATATATGATCGAAAGTCTGCAGGCCGGTAATAAAAGGTTAAAAAAAGGTAGAACATGTTATTCTTTGTCAGCTAGTAAGCACTTACCTGATTATATTTGTCATTTATTCGCAGGGCAACTCTCCAGCAAATTCTTGATCACGACTTTTTCAAGGAAGACCCGTTTAAGATAACGGTGAAGTGGGTTGGACCTACTAAGATGGAGCTGAGCTTGAAGGCCCAAGATGACTCCACCCAGATTTCATTTGACTCCAAAGATGCGAAGCCGGAGGAGCTGGTGAAGTACATGGTAAGACAGTGTTCTTATTGCGACTGACATATTTACATGCCACCATAGTGCTTCATGGGCTATCGATGATCTTCATTTGATTAAAACAATGGATCGATGGCATTTGTTCGCAATAACGGGATCTCTTCTTATCCATATTTTATGCCCAGTGAATACACAGTGATTTATCTAAGGCCACCATTTTTACTTCTATGTTTCGCGTCAGTTCAAGGCTCATCAGAGGTGCATAGCACCGTATATAGCACCATAGCTCGTGCATGGTGTACATTCGAAAGAGAAATCGTACATAGAGGCACAAAATCTGGGTTATCAGCATGAGTAAATATTCACTTTGGCCAGAGGAGGGAACCGTTGATGTCCATGCTCCGCTGGGTTATTGTACTCAGCCTTCAACAGCGGTGCAAAGAGCTCCGGAACGACGCATCCTCTCAGCTTGAGGCGATCGATGTGGTCTGGTGTAAGCTCATAGAATACTGAACGCAGTTGCCGAGCAAACGATTTACCAACGCTGGCCTCGAGGCCATTTCTGAATCCCAGCTTCGACGTATGCAACCAGTCCACGCGCATGATGACTCGCACGATTGTACACTGACTGTACATGCGCATGTTCAATTTTTTTATTTTGTTCCGAAAAAATCAAAACATATGCGCGGACGACGCGAAACATAGATACCTATATATTTCGCTCCTGCTCTTGTAGCAGTTGAGCATTCTAATCGTGCAATAATAGATACATATATAGGCAGGGATGAATTTATTGTCATATTTTTGCATAGCAGTTTCTGCCATACAAAATCACAATTGTGTAGCAGTCTTTGATTTTGATTAGCATTTTCCTTTCAAGGTTGGGTGTTTACCACATTGTCCTTCTTGAGAGTGATGCCTGAAAGCCCATTTGCAAAAAAACGACAGAATCATACATGTGCACGCAGATTGAGAGTGCCTGCACCACGTATACTGCACTGTATGCATGTTACTTGACAGCACAGGCTAGGCATGGATGGTCTGATTGAGTCACGGCGACTTTTGAGTAGCAGTTGATCGATTTTGCATAGCAAACTGCGATGCGATACAGGATAAATTCATCCCTGATAGGTATAAAGAATGATGGCCTAATAGTGCTCAAACTCCAAAAGAGAACATTAGGCCATGGTAAAAATTATCTTTGATTCTCAAGTACGCGCGCACCGATTTTTGGCGGCGCACCGACGATTTTTTAAATTTCTATGCATGCATATGCGCACATGAAAACGGTCAATGCGAAAGGCATGAATCAGGGAGTAGTAAAATACCGGTATTTTTCTATTCCATGGCCTGAATAATAAAATAATTATATGAACCTGTGGCGTACATATGTGTGACCCTATCTTTGGAAATTATAAAATTGTGGGAATAAAATAAAAAATCGCTCGCTCGCACCGATTTTCACAGGCTCATGACCTGAGAATCAACTTTATTTTTTACCATGGCCTTATGATAACTTTTTAGTATTTTACCGATTTGATGACTCTTCCATTGTTCTTCCATTGTGGATTTCTTCCTCTCAATCATCGATACCACTATAATTATGTTTCTTGCCCAACTGTATTTACGATGGCTACTTTTCAGAGCTTGTAAGATTTAACCTACAGCAGTTTCCATTCCTCTAACTAAACGAAAGGTCAAATGTACTTGTACATATTCTTTTGTGGATTCTCTCCTGCAGCTGTCGAAGAAGATGTTCAATGACGGTGACCAGGCTATGATTGCACCTCGGGTGAAAACTGCCATCAATGACTGTTTGACGAATAAAGAGTATGTCCCACCAGATGCCAATGGCATGTCACGGTCCTCTAGTTTCTCCAATGCCACCAGTCAAGGTGCCAGCAAGCGCGTTCATCAGTACAAGCGAGACAGGGTGACAAGGCAGGGCAGCATCGCTGCAGCTATTGACGTACGTACATGTACCTGTGCTTTCTGATAACGTCCGCTATTAAAGGGGAAGTTAAGGCAAAAAATAAAATTTCACCAGTTGTAGTCTTCGGGGTGCTGAGTCGAATGGTCTTGGTCCGAGGAAGCTGAGACGCTCCCTTCCTACTTGAATCCCAATCGAACTCGCGCACTTCCACCGAAACTGGGTGACTGCGCCCTACGAGATGGGGATTTGTATGCAAAATGTCACTAAAAGCGCCATTTCGTTCTTATAAAAGCACGGATGACCGCGATTGGCCCATATGTTGTAGTCTTTTGGACGCTGAGTCGACTAGTTTTGGTCCGAAAAGGCTGCGATGCAGCGTTCCTCCTTTATTCCCAATCGAACATGCTTGAACAAGCGGTCACGTGCTCCTGGGTGCCCAAATCACCTGGTCACCACGCCAGCAGGCGACAAATTTCACACCAAGGTTCAACTCGAGTGACAGGAGTGCATCCAAAAAAGGTCAAACAGGCTAGTAAGTTGTACCCTGCAGGCACGGTGACCAGGTGACTGGTGTACGCAGGAGCACGTGACCGCTTGTTCAACCATGTTCGATTGGGAATAAAGGAGGAACGCTGCATCGCAGCCTTTTCGGACCAAAACCAGTCGACTCAGCGTCCAAAAGACTACAACATATGGGCCAATCGCGGTCATCCGTGCTTTTATAAGAACGAAATGGCGCTTTTAGTGACATTTTGCATACAAATCCCCATCTAGTAGGGCGCAGTCACCCAGTTTCGGTGGAAGTGCGCGAGTTCGATTGGGATTCAAGTAGGAAGGGAGCGTCTCAGCTTCCTCGGACCAAGACCATTCGACTCAGCACCCCGAAGACTACAACTGGTGAAATTTTAATTTTTGCCTTAACTTCCCCTTTAATCATTCTGTTTCATAGCTAGAGGAGAGAATTGGCTGGTTGTACAGCCAGTGCACGTGCAAATAATAATAATAATAATGGAAACCTTACACACACACCATCTTCAATCCAAGTGGTCTCTTCGCTGCAAAAAGACCGCTTGGATTGAAGATGGTAGTAATAATAGGAAATTAGAGGCCACATGCCACATACTGCTCTTTTCTCTCCGAAACTCAACAATTGCAAGCCAGATATGAAAGAAAGAAAAAATCATCAGTCACACCACCGGGACTCGAACCAGGGACCTTGCTATTGCTCGCGAATAGCAAGGTCCCTGGTTCGAGTCCCGGTGGTGTGACTGATGATTTTTTCTTTCTTTCATATCTGGCTTGCAATTGTTGAGTTTCGGAGAGAAAAGAGCAGTACGTGGCATGTGGCCTCTAATTTCCTAAAACTTTGAAATTCTCCGTGAAGTCCAAATTTGAAATTGAAGTAACAATAATAATAATTCAAACAGTAGTTTGGAGGCGGTGGGAAAACAGTTTCGTAATAAGTATTCGCATGCAACGACGCAAATCCACACAATTCAGTAGACACTTCTTTTCTATCAAACGTTTTCTTTCCCTTCTCTTCAGGATAGTACAGGGAATGTTGTAAATTTGAAAAAACACATAACTATATAGAGAATGAAAGAAAGAAAAAAGTCAACACTTCAACATAGGTGTTAAAATGATTAAAGTGTTAAAAACTCAAAAACAAACAGCTGCAAGTTGTAGACAAACACGTTGAACACATCAGGGAACACTTGTCACACTTTCACGAGGTGTGACACCAAACAACTGCAACGATAACACATTCTCCTTCTGTACACATAGTTCTGGATCTAGTTTACGAATATACAGAGCTTCTAACACAGCAAGATGTAACTTAGACCTTCCACGAGTCAAAATCGAAAAGATATCATCACTATACAACTTACGACAACTAGCACTGCCCGACAAATGACGCTTGATGGACGATGTCCGATCACTTAGCTCTGTCACCTTCGACGCCTGCCGTTGTTCTCTTCCGTTAGGCTTGTTTGGTTGGTTGCTCCGGTCCACACCTCCAACGTCCGATGATTTCATGTCCGTTTTTGTTGATTTCATGGCCGTTTTCGTTTCACTTCTTGGTCTTCCTCGTTTCCTCTTGTTGATCGTTGTTGTCACTTCCATTATCGACGTATTCAAATCCCCAGTACTCCGTCTCTTCACCTTGCTTCTGGTAACTCTTCCGGTGTCTATGAGCTCCAGTGTCACATTGGGTGGTTTTCGAGACGGTCTCCCTCACTTCCTCACGCTAGTCTGAGATGGGCCAAGCTCCCCGCCCGTCGAGGCGGAGGCGCGCATGCGTACATCTACACTGGGCGCAGACAAAGGCGTTCCAGTATCGGACTGCACAGCACATTTTGGAGGACGGCCACTACGAGGACGAGTACCACGAGCGTCAACAGGGACAAGACCTAACGGCACATGTTGACGGATGCGTGCGCCCAGGTGTTGAAGGGTTCTACCTACGTACCGATCTTCACATTCTCGGCACTGAAAAAAATAAATAAGGTTGCTTCTACTAAGGGTAGGTAGAACGTCCTTCACACTGAACGCACGCGTCGTTCCAAATACTAAATACAATTTCACGCACTGGTAAGACGAACAGACAATGTTGCGCACCTCCTTCTCGACGCGCGCACAACCAGCACCCACCCAGGGTAAGCGGAGTACCACGTTGCACCTGTCCGGTCCAAATGGTTTCGGATCCTGCGTGATTGGTTTGTTATTAATAAGTTTTGTTAGTAGTGACGAGGGGTATCCATTGTTTTTCAAAATTGATGTGAGCCGCCTCAGTTCTTCTTGAAGAAGGTGAGGAGAGCAGATTCGATGGGCACGATAGACTAGTGCTTTGACAAGGTGAACTTTGGATTTAGTTGGTGTGTAGCTTCCCCATGGAATATACAAGCCAGTAAAGGTGGGTTTTCTGTAAACCGTCATGTCTAAACTCTTGGTGTCGTTGTTGCGGGTAATATTGACATCTAAGAAGGATATCACACCGTCCCGTTCACCTTCTGCAGTGAATTTTAATGCAGGATGTAGTCCGTTTAGGGTTGTTAAAAAGTTCTCGCAGGTTTCTTGGTCCTCGTCGTGACAAAAAACATCATCTGATATCTTTTTGATTTTGACTCGTGGAAGGTCTAAGTTACATCTTGCTGTGTTAGAAGCTCTGTATATTCGTAAACTAGATCCAGAACTATGTGTACAGAAGGAGAATGTGTTATCGTTGCAGTTGTTTGGTGTCACACCTCGTGAAAGTGTGACAAGTGTTCCCTGATGTGTTCAACGTGTTTGTCTACAACTTGCAGCTGTTTGTTTTTGAGTTTTTAACACTTTAATCATTTTAACACCTATGTTGAAGTGTTGACTTTTTTCTTTCTTTCATTCTCTATATAGTTATGTGTTTTTTCAAATTTACAACATTCCCTGTACTATCCTGAAGAGAAGGGAAAGAAAACGTTTGATAGAAAAGAAGTGTCTACTGAATTGTGTGGATTTGCGTCGTTGCATGCGAATACTTATTAGGCCACACCAAGTTATTTCATTGTTTCTCGTCACCTGAAAATCTCAAAAGGAACGCGGGCGGGCGGAAAAAAAACAAAATAGGGTTTGAAAAACAAAAAACTGCTATTTACACTACAAAGGCCCAATTTATGACCTAAAATCAGACTATACACCACGCGTGACAGTCAATTGCAACATACAGCCAGAAAACCAGGCTCCTGCACCGGCCTCTGGTGAGGAAGTCCAGTGTTGCATGTTATTTAAATAGGAAAGAAAGCAAACCAAAGTTATTATACAAGGGGTACATAAAAGAACAGCCAAGTGCGCGCTTGTGCTAAAATTTAAAACAGAAACCTTATGGGATAAGGCATGGCTCTCTGCTATCCACAGTCACAGCGAAGCTGACTATTTCAGATGCCATCGTCGCCCACGACGAGATGAACTGATAAAGAACTCAAGGAATCACGGCAACTTCACAGTGCTTGTAGTCCGCAATGCCGCAAGTTTACCGATGCCCGGAACACTGTCAGTCCAAAACGGTGCACTGTCATGCACTGTCTTGACTTGTACCGGAACTGTGTGTAGCAAAGAAGACGACCAGGTCGTGTGGTGGTGTGGTACTTGAACTACCGGTATGCGTACATACACGGTGCAAAAGTCGTCCTTCGGTTCGTGCACTAGCACTGCACTCCAGATTTGACGCCGCGCGTACTTTTACAACGCCTTTTTATGCGTGTTTACCGGGACGCGAGATTTTTTTTTTGGTCCAAACCTCAAGAAAGGTACGCGCGCGGTGACGAGAAACAATGAAAAAACTTGGTGTGGCCTTACGAAATAATAATAATAATAATAGTTACGAACTTAGAAGTTGCGACTTCGGCGGTAATGGTCATGAAGTGAAGTGTCAAGTTCGGCAAGAAGCGTGTGTTCCTAGTTGGAACAATCAACTTAATAATAGTTACAGTTCGCATGTCACTCATGGAAGGATCCATGGGCTTAACGCATCTGTCAATGAAATCCAGGCAGAAGAGCCAACAAAAGGCATCTCAATATTGTAACAAGTAGAACGTATCGCAGTTAGAACAACTACGCAAGCGCAGCACATTTTTCCACAAGCATCAGCCATTTTTTCTTGTCTAGAGCCAGTTCAAACCAGTCAGAAATATCAATATTGGCGTGCTTTATATCATTTTTAATATTGTCAATCCACCTGAGATGGGGTCGCCCACGTGGGCGCTTGATGTCCCGGGTATTAATTGCCATCTTCAGTGCTTGGTAAGACGCTGAGTTAGGTCCTTCGCGAACAACATGGCCCAGCCAGAGCAGTTGACGTCTGCGACAAATAGTGCTGACTGGGTCTCGTCGCGTTGAGGAGTACACCGTGGCATTTGACATGTGATGCAAACCTGCATGCTTTTTCTTGTGTGGATCATACGCTGTGCATGTGCAGTTGTGCACGCTGGGTGCACTCACTGTGTCTAATATGTTAGTGTTATGCTAGTAATGGCTCACAAAAAGTATGTTGTTCTTGCTCTTGTTCTTTGTTGTGTTCAGGCTACGCCAGAGGAATCCATCATTGCCGAGAAGCTACGTCGTGTGCCCAGCAATGAAAAGAGTGATGCTGAGTCTTCCACAGAGAGTCATGAAGCTAGCACTATGCAGTCAAGCTCGGCAACGCCATCCTCAGTACCCCCACCGACGGCAGCAGCTCAGCCAGCTCGACCACCTACTAGCAATGAGCCAGCCATAGAGAAAGATCAAACTCTCGGCCAGCAGCAGCAGTCGTCGCTTGATAAAGCGGGGAAAGCCAAACAAAAGGCGAAGAATGGCAAGGGAAAGTCCGCGAAGGATATTCGCTTGGCGCTTAGGAATGTGCATGGCGGCCTAGTGTACAGTGCTCTCCATTATCAATCTGATGTCATCGAATTTGTCTTCTCGTTGACAATGGATGAGCCTGCTGATATTGCCAAGAACTTGGTAGGTAACTGGTTGTTTATTGGGACCTCAATATAATATGTTGGATTCTGAGCAGCTGCTTACCATTGATGTGTTTTTGAAGTTGCTCGGATGCACTCGTCCTGTATGGTGGATACTTATTTTGTGCAATGTCATGCACCATGCCAGTGGCTTACGTAAGTTCCGCTCTAAACGTTCCACACTATATAGGGCGTATATGGGTGCAACAAGTTGGTACAGTGGTCTAGGCAGGGCCGCGCGATGAAGTACCCACTGCACGTACGAATATTTAGCGCATCTGGGCATTCTATATCACTTACTAAGGTTTGTGCATGCAAACCTAGAGGCAATAGCGGAACCAGTTTGACCGCAACATCCTGACATGTGATAGCATATTGGATGGCATTGCACAGCTTGGTAATGCATTATCTCACTGCTTCCATTCTCATTTGTGCAAGCAGCAATATCTTGTGTGTCCTTCTGTTGTTCAGTCTTTCATTCCCGTGTCTCCGGTGTGTTTGTGTGTGGGCGTGCGTGCTCGCTCGCACGCGCGCGCGTGTGTGTGCATGTGTATGCATATGCATGTTGCTATGTAGGTGGCGAGTGAGCACATTCCCAACAGCTATGAGCAGATGCTCGATCAGATGCTTCGCAAACTGATTAAGTGTGCACATGATCAGGAGAACGAACGTCAGACACAGATGGCCTTGGATAACCTGAACACTGAGGCAAGTCAAGTTCCATGTCATCCTCTTCTTGCTATCTTCCTTTTCTTTATTACCGGGCAGTGTTATTTTTACTTCTATACTAGCCAATATTGCAGTACTAATGCCAGTTGCTTCACATGCAATTGCTTTGTGTGTTGCTTATGCAGCTGTAGTAGCGCAGCATAGACATTTTAGGTGACACTGTTTAATGCTGCGGATGGGGTTCTGTAACTTTTCTTTCTTTCAGTTACCGGTGGAATCCTGATAATTGGAATGTGGCTTAATTCGAACATGCCGCTTAATTAGAGGCTTCTTCTGATAATTTGAAGTTAGTAAAGCATACTTCGAAGTAATTCAAAGTTCACTGCACCTTATACAAGTCAGTTCAATGTCCATGCAATCTGTGTCTCAGGTGCGTAGCGCAACTCTGCTTGACAATGCGAGCATTTTGACATGCATGCATTGTGGGTACATGTTTGGATAATTAATTAGAATCCAGACGATTTGATAGAAAACTTTTCCCGCACATTGGGGTTCGAATTATCAGGATTCCGTCTGTATTATCTTCTTTTCTCTGACTGGAATAGAGTTCAACTCATTTCTGCTGATTACTTTGGCTTTTGTGTGTTGTGCAGGTCCCTCCCTTATCAACCGAGTGTGCTACGACGTCTGTCGCTTGCGATACCAAACAGGTTCCGGTTGAAGCTGTTGTGCCCACTGATGCAGCAAGTACGAACACTGTCAGCGTGCTAACTGCTGATCACTCAGTGACGACAGCCAGCGGCAGCAGCTTGCCTCAGCAATCTTGTGAAATTTCCAGCTCAGTGGGTCCGACGGAATCCCAGTATTTGTGTGCCGCACGAGGCAGCGGTGCAACGTTAAATGACGACGGAACCATGATGCAGTCTACTACTACTACTACTACTACTGCCGGGTGCTGTAACTTGAATGTAGCAGAGGCACCAACCTCATCTAGCACTGTTTCGGCTGACGAACAACAAGGCTCGCCGGTTACCTTTGGTGCAGATTTGTCTTCTGTGACAGGTTTGGAGCGGGCTTCCGTCAGTCTGCCATCTTCACCTCCGCCTTCAAGATCATCAGATATGGGGAATCATGGTGTTCGTTCTGCCTGCTCGTGCTCTTCTCTTTCTGATTTTCCAGCCCCACCCACTGTTCGTGATGTTGAACAGGAACGTTCTACTGGAAAGTGCAGTGACGGTGTTCAGCCTTCTATATTTCAAGATGGTGCATGTTGCCAGCTCAGCTCTCCTTGTCTTGATGATGCAGAACAGGAGCACACAGTTGCTGCTGCTACTGCTGATAATGGCGATGATGATGATATTTCTGTTGTTCAGTTGGGTCGATTTGAATGTGCGGCGGTGGAAAATGATCCTTCCCCAGTATGTGATATCACCAACAGTGACGTAGATATCAGTCATTCTGTGAGCGACTTTCTGCGGCCAAGGCTGTCTGAAAGTGCCCAGGCAGATGGACAAGAATGCCTGGCGTTGGTCGAGAGTGATATGCCACTTCACGAGGCAACACCCAGTAGCTCCCCATTGCCATTATATCGGGACTCTGTGGGCCCCACGCGGATTATATCGCGCTTCTCAGTCTGTGACATTAATGACAACTTTACACTCTACAATAAGCCTGAATTTTCGGACGACTGTACGCACTCGTCTGCTTGTGATGACAGCTCTGCTGTATTATCCACATGCCACGAGTCAACGGCAGGGTCCGTGTCGGCTGATGAGGTGCCTTCATTACATGACAACCTCATTAGTGGCCAGGGCACTGCTGTTCTGGACTGCTGTTTAGAGACGCTCGCCACTGGTTGTCGCCCGGAACTCGGTGTCAGTGATGACGTGATCGATGTTGTGATCCAGGAACCTTTGCCTCCAGACGCACCAGGTTTGACCTGCGCCAGAGATGGTGATGCTGGGGAGACGAGTGAGTCCGATGAATCTTGCCATGATGAGTTTCCAACCCCTGGAGATAGCGGCAGGACTTCCGGTGTTGTCGAGCAGTGTATCGATAGTATTGCATCAGTGAAGGACATTGAACACCCTGCCAGTGTCGCCAACATAGACTCGAGTATGATCAGTAGCAGTGGCGATAATACTGCTGCCAACAAGCAGGGTATAAAGAATTTCGCTGCTGGCCATGGCAGATCATGCTTCCGAGTGGTGCGTATGTATCCGACTGCCTCCGTTGACCCTGCGACTGCCTCCGTTGACACTGAGGATGAGGAAGACCCGGAGGGTGGTATCTTGGAGATTGTTGAGCCGGATTCGAGCCTCGAGTCTAGAAGAGCTACATCACAAAGTCTAGGAAGTACCTGTTCAAGTAGTTGTGGTCCAATGGCAATGAACAAAAACACGGTACCTTGTTCATCCCTGACTGATGCCGCACAGCATAGCGATAGCTCAGCCACGCCGCTTGCGTCATCATCATCGGCTCTTTCCACTGATACGATAACATCAGTTGGCGAAGCATCTCCTGGCATGTCATCCTCACTTCATGCGGCTTCTGCCATCAGCTCAGCCGGGCAGACATCTACCTTGAGTAGTGCGAGTACGCCTGCTAATCACGATGCCGAGCAATCTTCTCCATTGGACAGTAATCGTGTACCTCGAAAGTCTGTGTTAGCCGGAATAGTGCAGTCTGAGGTTAAATTGAACCACTCTTCATCGTCGTCCAGTGACAGTAGTGACACGTTGGAGGCAGCGCAACATCATGATACAGCCGCAATTTCGTTTTCTGCTAGTGCATTAGCAAGGAGTGATAGCGGTAGTAAATCCGATGATCGGTGTGATAGCACATTGGTGTGCATGGCTCAAGTGATGACTGCAGCTAAAACGGGGTCATCTGAAAGCGGTGGTGCTCAATCAATGTCCCCTCCAGCCAGTCGCATACACCCAGTAGTGACCGGTGTAGCAGCGGGTGACAATAAGAAGAGTCCAATGGATGTGGTTGATGCCACCAGTTGCCTTCCTACTGCGGCGTCTGTAAACATTGCCGGTGACAAGCCTGCCGAAGTGGCTGTGCTTGATCACTATCAGGATGTCCATTTACCTGATGACTGTCAGATTCTCTCTACTACGACTGACCTTAGTTTGGCACAGTCAGAGACCAATGCGGCGGGTGCCAATAGGTCATCTGCTGTGACCCACGCAAGAAGGGACTCTTGTCTGCCTGCCACAGGGCGCGAATGCCACCAGCCAGAGATGGAGCAGTCGACGGGTCTTGCGATCAATCGGATTAGTCTGTCTGGTTCCAGATCAACCATATCGTTGCTATCTCTGTCTAGTTCTGATGCAGCAAGCAGTCAGCTGCAAACCTCCTCATGTGATACAAGCCCAGATACAAGTACAGCACCCTCCTTTACTGCATGTGCGTCTAGTGCCTCGATCAGTAGCACAGCCGCGGTGTTGCCGGGACAGAGTATCCATGGAGGACCAGCTATTACTCTGCCTGCTTCGGCCCACAACTTCAATTCAGTGGCAGTCTCCCATGATACTACAGCAGGACTTAGTCATGTCTCATCTAAAAGCTCTGTAGTGTCCAGGTCCCGCTCAGTATCGCCATGCACAGTGCGGACACATTCTCGAGTATCAGCCGCCGAGAATGCAGGCATCAGCGCTTCACAGCCGGTACAAGGCCATGGTGTTGACGTGGTGTCAGCTGTGCAGGACTTTCAACCAGCGTTCCCGTCGCGCCCATCTGTGGCCACGAGGGGCCTGCCATCGTCATCCTGTCTCTCTTCGATGTCTCAGGTGCGCCGTGCAACTGTACACGCTGGTCCTGAACTGCGTACATCTAGCCCGCCATATCTGCTACCACAGCAGCAGCCGCAGCGTATGCCGCCACAAGAGCAGCGGGCGCAAGCAGACTTGCCGCACCGACAGAGTTTGGGAGGCATGTTTTCAGCACAGCTGCAGCAGCAGCAGCTTCAGGATCCCTATAGCTACAGTTCTATGGTGGATTTTAAGGAAGCATGTTGTTATCGTACATTCAATGACTACGTAAGTACCGGTACTAGCCAGTCTTTTTTCCCTTATCTTAATTACTACAGTGGTGTTGTGGATTACATGATGGGAAAATCATGAGGAAACCAACTCCTTTGGGGTGCACAAAACCTCCCTACATATACATGCTTATACTTCGAAGTTTAATGCAAGCCTTGCCTGATGGGTAACATGTTTTCACGGTGACAGCGTGAACAAGGTCAGGAGCACTGTTTCCCATGCCGTGTGCCCTCGCCTTGTTCACGCTGTTACCGTGAAAACATGTACATGCGTGTACATACATTGTGGTGCTCAATGAAATCCAATAACATGATTCAACTAGTGCTGGTCGATGTACCACCCAGACGCGCGAACACTAGGCTGTGCGCTAAGGCTTCGATCACGCCACGTCAAGTTTGATGCTGGACGCAGCGTCGAACCCCAGCACTAGATGCAGACGCGGGGTCACACTGCATTTTTGTGTTTGCTGTCGCGGCCTGACTCACTTCACAAAACTACTCTGGCGAACCAAATCACTATGATACAGTACGGTACGTACGCTTTTTTCGAAAGACACTGTTTTTTCATGCAAGTGCTTGCAGCGGCAGCGTCTACGCAGCCGATTTGCCCACGTCAGATGCTGGTGCGTCTGATGCTCAGGTTTCCCACCTTTTTGTCACTTGCCATGGAAAACTCATGATTCAGACGCTGACGCAGCATTTCTGCCGTAGTGTGACCAGGGCCTAATGGTACTGACTCATCCATGAAATGGCATTTCATTGAGCGTGACTGTACAATCTTTGTACCAGTACATTACAAACAAGCTGCTCAAGTGTACAGATATTGTTAGGGATCTCAGCGCGTTCGTGTTTGCGCATACATTGCGTCATCGAGTTTTGAGTGCAGCTCGCGGACACAGCAGAAAAATGGCGACGGTCGATTTTCGACACTAGGGGACGCGGTGGACACTAGCGGAATCGTCATCTTCATCGTCGTTCGAACCATACTTTGTAATTCCCGCCGAAGGACAGCGTGGCCAAGGCGATATTGCCCCGGTCGATTTTCCTATAATTTTCCATGCGGCAAGAACCCACTTCAGAGAGGATTCAGTCAAAAATTCTGACGTTTTTTGCGAACATCGCCGCCATTATCACTCGGAGAGAAGACATCGCGCTCAGTAGAAGAGGTGTTCACGCTGCGTCCAAGAGTGAAAGATTGTGCTCTTTGACCCTCCATAGTTCCTCTGAGAGAGTGTCTGGGAGATAGGTAGCTTGGAGATGGCCGTAGAACGTGCTTCCCTGGATGCAATATTCAGCCATTTCTACTGTCTTCTTCAACTTGATTTATTTCGAAAAAATGTTCTTTTCCACGATTTCTGCACTGGACGCGTTTGGGATCGAAAATCTCACCTGCGCAGACTGGCTGCGCAGTTCACGCGCTGAGATCCCTAATATTGTATGAAAAATTGATTTGAATGGAAGCTTACTCACTTGCCGTACTACACCGATGCTTCGGAAAGTGTGTGTGTGTCTGTCTGTGTGCGTGTGCGTGTGTGCGTGTGTCCCATGGTGCAATGGTGTGTGCAGTCGATTTCCTATCGAGAGGTTGCGGGTTCAATTCCCAACGATTATGGTCACACACACACACACACACACACACACACACACACACACACACACGTCTTTCTTCTCTTTCTCAGTCTCCTCCTGGCTTTTCTTTCATTCTCCTGGGTGGTTACCAACAACCAGTGCATGCCGGAGTATGTTGTGTGAAGTGTGTATGGGAAAAGAAAGAAAAAGACCAAAAAGTAGGGATTCACTGGCCAGAAAAAGCCACTTCAAATAACTGTGCTGTGTAGACAAGGCTGAATAGTGGCGGTCAATTCTTCAGCCTGACAAGCTGTTGAATGGTGTAATCCTAGCACAAGTTGCTATGGATTCTGCTGTAGCATCACTACCATCGCCTCTGCGGGGAGTCAAAGATCAAAGGTGTGTGCACATGTATACAGGCAAGTATAGTGCCCTTCCTTGGTATATCACTAGTGTGTTCCACGATGTGCATTTGCTTTTGCTTTCGGTTATTTCTTCTGTTTCACAGCTTCTATTCATTCGCAAGACATCCTTTACTGAGGTGTCCACCGAAGAATTCGACGACATGCTGAGAAGTTTCCCGGATCTTTACCAAATATTGCAGCGGTAAGCTTAACCCTAAGTTTACCGCCCAGGCTTAGTTATTTCAGCAAGTGATAGCATTCGCTCTAAACTAAAAAATATATACAGGTAGAATCCTGGTAATTCGAACCTCAATATGCCAGGAAACCCTTCTAATTGTCCAAACATGTACCCACAACACGCGATGTATGTTGAACGGAAAGAGCCAGTCAAGTTATTTTCGGCTTCTAGCTTTAGAGGATTTCTTCCGATCTTTCATGAAAGAGTGCGTCTTTGACAGTAGGAAATGCGATCTGATTTTCTTTGGACCCAAGAGTTGATGATTTTAGGATGCTAGGAAACCTTTTGATCATTCAGGCATCGACCGTCTTGTTGTATAAGTTACCATCTCTGCAATACATGTATACAAATTTCCACAGTGCATATTATATTATAGTCGTTATACTCGCTGTTCTGGTATTAGTTTGCTTGGATCCTGTCCTGGCTGCTTCAGCATTGACCCACACATCTGGAGTAGCAGCCAGAGCAGCTTAGGCATTGCGTCGATTGACTCAATTCCCTTTGCTTTTCCGAATAGATATCTGAGGTGAAGTACTCGAGTTTCCCACCAAAGGCCACCACACTTTGCCATGCGTAGGTGATGCGTTTATCTGCAGTTGACGGAATATCCCTAGCGATAATCATCATTCAGTTTGCTGAATGCTGTAATGTTGTTCCAACTGTTCACCCCAGTTCCGGGCCATCAAATCATGAAATGCTAATGTACCCGTATTGTCCCAAGGAGATGTGGGGTCTGCCTCCCAATTCTCCGGATCTTGACTGATTCGAAGCATGATGTTTTCGCTACTCACTACCTGTGTGTGTGTGTATCTGTGTGTATCTGTGTGTATCTGCTCTATGTGTTCATTGGTATGTACAGGCAATTCAGGGAAGGCTTTGAGTTGCACAGTCGGCAACTGGCCGAAACTCAGGTGTATCTCGAGGGTTCTGTGGCACCGCAGAAGTCCCCGCTCAGAGTGCAACATTGGTTTGATGAGCAGCACATCGAGAGGAGTATGAGCAATAGCATGTTGTCCTATGTTGCTACTTCTACGCCGATCAGTGGCCAGCCTGTTATGGCTGGTAACATGGTGTATCAGCAGCAGCAGCAGCCTCGCTTTGCTACAGTTCCCAATGGCTTGTCTCGGCAGGCATCACTCCCCATGTTCCAAGCACCTCACCCAGTGCATAATAACATTAATGCTGCATCTGCCGGTGTTATGCCTGACGCTCACCTGTTACCTGCCTATCCTGTGTATGGAGACAGCATGCCACAGAATGTACTAATCCCCGGGGGGATGATGGGGCATGGTGTTTCCACCCTGCCGTCCCATACCTTGATGCCGCATCAGCTCTTACCACAGCCAGCAGCGCTACAGCAATTGCAGACAAATCAGCATGCTCAGCAGGAAGCGACCCAGTCTCAGAACCAGCCTCGCACGATGGCATATGCTCAGCAGCACCAAAATCCAGTTTATGTCACACAATCGGTCATGCCGCAGAAGTCACAGCCCGGACAGCTGTTGCACCATCATCAACAGAATGGTATGGATGTGTATCATCAAGCACAGCCACAGCAACAACAGGTTGTGCAGTCTCATCAGCACATGGGACAAGTCTACCAGCAGCCTATATCACATCGTCAGGCGGAGCATGTAGTGCCGCAACAACAGCAGCAGCAACACCATACCCCGTACCTATCATCTCAGCAGAATGTGCAGCATCAGCCACAGCAGCAACAGCAGACGTCACAGATGCAGCCGCAACCCCAGATGCAGCCACAGCAGACGCCACAGATGCAACAGCAAACTTCCCAGATACAACAGCAATCCCAGATGCAGCAACAGCAGGCATCACAGATGCAACAGCAACCCCAGATTCAGCAACAGCAGGCGACACAGATTCAACAGCAAACTTCCCAGATTCAGCAGCAACCCCAGATGCAGCAACAGCAGGCATCACAGATGCAACAGCAACCCCAGATTCAGCAACAGCAAACTTCCCAGATGCAGCAGCAACAACAGACACCACAGTTGCAACCACAGCAGTTGCAACAAAGCCAGCAACAGCAGACTCTGCAATTGCAACAGCAGCAACTTCTCCAGCACCAGCAGCAGCAGGTACAGATGCAGCAGCAACAACAACTGATTCAGCACCAACAGCAGCACCAACAGCAGCACCAACAGCAACAGATTCAGCAGCAGTTGAATGCGCAACAAGCTCTTTATTACCAGCCAATTACAGCAGCGCATCAACTCCAACAGCAGAGTGGGCAACTCCAGCCCGTCATACAGCAGTCTCAGCCAGCACCCACTCAACAAGCCAGTTCTCATGTTCTTGTTGACAATGGCAATGCTCCTCAGTCACACTTGCCGTATCATCCGGTTCAGGCTGCTGCTGCTGCTAATATGCCTTACCAGACAGTTTCGCATCCAAGTCATTTGTTGATGCAGCAACAGAGCACTGCAGCTGATCAACATGCTTCTACAGGTTCTCAGCATCATCAGCAGCCGCAGCAGCAACAGCACCACCAGCAACAACAGCAGCAGCAGCAACCGCAACAACAGCAGCAGCAACCGCACCACCAGCAACAACAGCAGCAGCACCACCACCACCAGCAGCAACAACAGCAGCAGCAGCAGCCACTGCAAGGCGAGGAGGGTTCTTATCGGCGTACATCACCAGAGGGTCCGATGCATCTACCTATTTCAACTCAATCAGGTGGTCAATCTCCAGACAGCAATCGACAGTCTCCCCTTCCATCCCCGGCAGGGTACCACGGTAACAATGAGGCCCAACGCATGCCTGCCACTCTGGATTCGCATCAGCCACAGTCAGCGTTTATGGCTCCTGTGGACAGTGGTTATGTCCATGGTGCATCGCAGGGTCTTAGCAATGGGCATGCGGGTGTTGGTGTGCAAGCCTTAGCAGCAGACTCATTCTACTACAGTAGACAGATGTATGGATAAGCGTACCACTCTGCACACGTACCTGCATGAACCGATATTGGCTTGGGTGGCTGGCACACTACTAGCCAAGCACATTTTGCGTTTCTCACAGTATTTTTTAACTATGGCTGACTGGTTGCAGTCAGCTCCCCGTCCCCCGCACCTCCCCCGCACCTCCCTCTCTTCCCTGACATATTGGACATTGGACATTGTCTTCTGGATGAGAATATAGTTTAAATGCTTACTCATAACCTCACCATCGCAGAGTTGTAACCCCGTGTTTGTATCTGTTTCTTTTATTTAGTATTGTGCAACGCTCCCTTGTTGTGCGCCTCCGTCCGTTATGGTGGGGGGTGTCTCTACTGACTCTCTGTACCAGCTACTTCCCTGACAGTTATCACCGTCATTCTCATCCACTCCAGTCTCTATGCCGGACTCCATTGTCATTATTACCAGCAATCTTCCTGGTGAAATTGCTCTCACCGTTTCTTTTCTCCAACAGCTATCAACCTGTACATCCAACAAACAAACATTTGCGCTCCCCACATGACTGTTATTTGTACTGAAGTATACACAGCATGTCCACCCGTCTCCACAGTACAGTATGGTGACACATTGTATATCGCTGCTGCTCGCCAAGTCGTGTAAATAGCCCCTCATAAAACATAACAGTGGGTTTTCCGTGATGCCATTCCTGATTTTATCCCATCGCCTCAATGTTGTTCTCTATCTAGTCTTTCTTGTCCTGGAATTCGTTTACTGCTATCTCTCTCTCTCTCTCCCCACGCTTTTGCAGTGGAACAATCTACTCAGTTGGACCCGCTGTCTTGGTTCCGCAAGTGTTGCGTGAATGTGGTCTTGAATGTCCTTGCATGGCACGTGCATCGCACCACTGACTGTACTTTGTGGCCCGCATCCTGTGGCTTGTAAGTCCACGTAACTGGCAGGGCAGGGTTGGGCCTGCATCCTGTGGCTTGTGTTCGGGTCAGGGAGCATGCTGTGAAATATGTATTTATGACGTACATGCAGTGCTATCGTGTACACTGTACCAGGCAGTCAGTACTTCTGGCTTTTGGTCAACAATTCAATTATTGCAGTGCCTATTAAATAGTTATTATAACTTATTATCCATTTCAGTGTGCCGTTACACTTCGCATCTCAGGCAGGCCCTGGGGTTACTTCGTGAAGTAAGGAGTACTGAGTCATGTAGTTGGTGTTATGTATATGGTGGGTTTTAACTTTTTTTTCGTTAAAAATTTCACTGGTTGAGGAAATGGAAATAAAGCTACATCAGGAACGTCAGGAAGTCGTAAAATACCTTGTACAAAGCTACAAATATGATTGTACGACTCATACAATGTTTATTATTTCTAGTCTTCTGTCGTTCTGACTCACTCATGAGTCATTAGGGAGGTTTCGCTCTACGTAATTACGTATGAAAATCCGTATGTCGTACGCGCCGGGGAGCGAGGGCAACTTTCATACGTAAATCTCTCTACGGATTTCCGTAGGAAAGCTCTTTCCTACGTTGGGTCCTCCGTAGGACTTTTTGAAATATATTTTCGCATTTGTCCATGGCAACATTCAAGCCGCGCGAAACACAAGGTACACACACCGTACACCACGTGCAAAATATCATGGAAAACGCGGTTTCGGTTCATGGTGCATACGGTGGGCGCATGCAGCCAACGCGTCTCCAAAGCAACAGCGCATGTTGAGCAGTCGTGGAGAAATCACGTAGAGCGAAACCCAACAGCTCTGATTTTCACGTATGAAAATTCCGTGCAGTTCATACGTTATTTTCATACGTAATTCCGTAGAGCGAAACCTCCCTATTACCAAGAGTACATAACCGGTTAACCCCAATGAGGCCGACATTATGTACTCTTGGTCATTACGTAGTGATCTCATCAAGACAGACAAGAGTACATAACCCCCGTTATCATGGTTATCAAGAGTACATAACCCCAGGGCCCAGGGTTATGTACTCTTGCTCTCATCAACCTTGCACTTGACTTGGCTTTGGCCCAAGCTTGCAAGCGGGCCAAAGTTTGGGACTTTGGGCACAGAACAAATTTCCTTCCCACATAATTATGCACATGTACGACTCGTACTATAGTATTATGCGCAAGAGTCCCAGTACGCAGTCCCAGACACTGAACCAGGGAGTAGTGGGAGTAGTATTTTACTACTCCCTGCACTGAACCATGTGAACCAGGGAGTACTCCCTGATGTGAACCAGCCGCATCTCTTCGCAGATGAGATGAAGTCGAGGCGATCGAGAGCTTCATCGATCATCATCAAGAGTACATCAATCGCGTGGGTTCAAGGCAGGTACTGTAGTAGAGTAGTAAAATACTGGTATTTTACTACTCCCTGTTTGGAAAGCGAAGCAGAAAGGAGAAATGGCGTCCCTATCAAGGTAATGAGCTAGATCTCTTGTGGGAGATTTTTAGTATTGCTTGCACTTGTAGTTTGGCAAGGAGACCTTACTGTACCTTGGACATTAACTCATCCTCGAGGAATCCAATCGGTCAGACAATACCTTAATTTTGAAATTTCTGGTGGTTTTGTCAAATGTGCATTATGTTCTACAAGTTTTCATTGCATAATGCATGTCTTATCGACTCTTAGTTGACCCGATTCGTCCGCCTTATTGTGTTGTGATCATTGTTGATATTGTTTGTTGCGCCATCCTTGATGGTTAATGTTGATCGACATGCTAACTGCGTTGCACGACTAAACAATTTTGCCATTTTCGAAATAGACTTTCGAAATGTTCAACTTTCTTGGGTTATTCTGTAATTCTAAATGAAGTTGGGGCACTGCACGTAGAAGAATAGCCCACATGATAGCTGTCACTCAAGTCTTTAGATCGTAACTTCAGTTCTACTCACTCAAATGAACAACTTCTTTCTTCGTAGTATTGTTCATGTATTCATGTCTGTATTGATCTATATAATGAATGTGGGGTAGAGATCTAATGTGTGTGTGTGTGTGTGTGTGTGTGTGTGTGTGTGTGTGTGTGTGCGTGTGCGTGTGTGTGTGTGTGTGCGCGCGTGCATGGGTGCGTGTGTGCGCATGCGGCATGTGTGTGTGTGTGTGTGTGTGTGTGTGTGTGTGTGTGTGTGTGTGTGTGTGTGTGTGTGTGTGAGTTCCGTTGTCTGTCTGTCTGTCTGTCTGTCTGTCTGTTTGTCTATGTGTGCGCGTGTGGGTGAATGCACGTGCACATGATATGGATGTTGATGGTGTATGTGTGTGATGTACTAGTGTCTTACCGGCTCCTGCCCAGCTTAGCCAGTTTGAGCTGGATGCGGAAGCGGACGAGGCCGAACAGGTAAGGGAATGGTACATTGTGAACGCCCAGTGCGACGTGGGACAAAAAGGGAATGGTACATTGTGAGCACCCAGTACGGCGTGGGACAAACAGGGAATGATACATTGTGAACGCCCAGTGCGGCGTGGGATAAACACTGACTGCTGTCTGCAACTTTACACTACTACAGGTCTGCTCTCGATATAACAACTCTCACTTGTACATAAACCTCGTTAGTACATAAAAAAATCAAATCCCGCGCCGAAACAGCATCACTCCCACACAAAATTTGTTCTACACAACATAATCCTACATAACATAAACCTCGACATAACACACGCTACGGCGGTCCCCGACGTGCGCACTCTCGATACAACATAAATTCACGTGCATGGTATGATCAAGCCGTAGCTGTAGCTAGGCAGTTTAGGCCAGTTTAGTCCTACATAACGTAAACCTCGGCATAACGCACCCTATACGCGCAGTCCCCGACGTGTACACTCTCGATACAACGTAGATTCATGTGTGCGGTACAATCAAGCTGTAGCTGTAGCTAGCCAGTTTAGTCCTATGTGCACATATTCTGCGGCAGAATATGTGCACATAGGACTAAACTGGTATCTGATGTCGATGGTGGTACAGTGTGTATATGTTTGCACGGTTGAACCCGCCTTGTAATACCCTTCATTTTGAGGTGCATCTTGTATTTCACCCACGGTTTTCTACATAACATAACTCTCGATATAACATAATGTTTGCGTGGTCCCAGAGATTACGTTATATGGAGAGTAGACCTGTAGTATGCTTCTGTCGTGCCATCTTTTGGTGCATACGCATACGTGAAAAAGACCCGCGCGCGGCATCTCCATCATGTCATGAACCTATCCCATCCTAAGATCGGCACCCCCCTGCCCATCCTTAGATCGGCACCTGCCCATCTCAGGATGGGCAGAATCGACGGAGGGGCCGGAACACATACACAAGCATGCACGCACGCACACACACACACACACACACACACACACACACACACACACACACACACATGTGCACACCCATGCGCACACACACACATGTGCACACCATGCACACACACACGCACACACGCACACAATGCTGTTCTCGTTCTCATCTCTGCTACATTTCTCCAGTCTGATTTTTGGCTTGGGGCCCATCGTCAGGATTGGTCTACTTTGATGTAAACCATGTATAGTCTCTTTGTCCGTTGCAGTCTTGTTTGTCAGTGACCAGTGATCAGTGATCTGTGTCATTGCAAGCAGTCGTCAATTTGAGGGAATGAAAAGGAAGATGAACCTGTGTATTGGCACAGTGTGGTTTGTACTGGAGAGGTTCTGCGAAACGAAAATGCGTACAAACTTTCGCTCTATGTCATGAAGTGAGAAACTTCGCACGAACTTTCGCAACTTTGGACGCGAAACTTGCAGTGAACGCGAAATGAACTTTCGGGTCATGGCGTACGTGCACTTGGCGCGTGCAAAAGTACGAAAATGTGTAGAACACAAAGTAATTAGTTCATGCGAACGCTCGTACACATTTTCGCAAGGCCCGTCACGAAACTTCGTTCGAATTTTCGTTTTGCAGAACCTCTCTACTGTGTATTGGACTATTGGTATTGATGTTTTGCTGTGAGTAAGTCGAGACATTTCATGAACGACCCGCAGGGTATTCACGATTTTGCCTGCCACTATCTGTATGCTTGCAATGGTTTGTTCATGTTGGCTGTAGAATGTGCCTGTGTTGAGACACGCTATACCACCGTATGGGCGAAGGAAGGGCTGGATACCTCGCAGCCAAGCAGTAAGTTCTTACGGTATGGGCGGCTGAAGGATTCGATATTTTTTCGAGCAACACGCTTTGAAAGCTGATTGCACCCAACTTTGAAGCTCTCCGTTTTCTTGCCAACTGACTGGACACTTGGCTGACTCACGACTGCCGTCCAGAGCATATTAGAACTTCGGAAGCAGTCAACTCTCTTAATGCTACCGAAGGTGCCCCACTATTCAGTAAAAAAACACACTATATTTTGCCAGTATTGGTCTGTTAGACGTATTCACATCCTAAATTCAATGACTACCGTATTTCCTTGGTCAGCGTTGCAACAGTGTGTAAGCTCTCAGAGGTGAACTATCATATTGCTGCCTGCGTACGTTTGTACAGGAAATATTGATTAGGCAAGACATAGGTCACAGAGTGGATTTCTGTCCCATTCTGAGAAAGACACATAAAGATGCTGCTTGGGCCCCAGAGAATGTGACATTGAACTTATTGTGTCCGCTAATCATTCCTGTCTCTGTTTGGGGCTCTCTTGTTTAGGACTTTCAAGATGGAGGTGCGTTTCCTGAGGTTCTGGTTGCGCAATACCCACTGGGCATGGGGCAGGAGAAGGGCGTAAGTCAAGCCTGGCGTGGTGTGTGGCTGGGTATATCATTCAGATCTTGTCCGCTATCGTTGCTGTAAGAGAAAATCTGTGGGTGCACATCCAGTGCATTTGCGGATTTGCTTGCTTCTCTTGCGACGGGCGTATACATGGTACATGGTGTGTGTACCCGTGCGCGCGCGCGCGTGTGTGTGTTGTGAAGCTTTTTGTGCTCATATCCAAGGTAGGATTTACTCCGGCTTGACTGGTCTCCGTATAATGCCACTATACTTGGTTGGATCTTGGCTTAACCATGTGTCCTCTCGTCACAGCACATAGCTGCCTGCTTATGAGCCTGTCAACCCGGCTTCACAGTGTCTTCATCATCTCTGTTCCGTATGGCATGTATATGTTTGCTGCTGGTTTTACTTACAGAAAGCTGTGAGCACCCAAGCTTTGGCTCTGAGAGGTCATCACAAGGATAGGGTAAGGATTTGCCCACCCTGGCTGTTCTCTAACCATTGGTGTGCCCCAGCACTGCACGAAAAGCTATTATAAGATGTACAGTTGTGGCAAGTGAAATCCGACACTTGGCATAAGGGACTGCACCATGCAGTCTGCAGCCCCTGCAGCCCTGCATATGTACAGTACATGTGTTACATACAACTTTATCTGTCTGATGACAAACCTCGTACTCATCACAGTCAAGGTTCAAAAGGTGCTGGCAAAAATGAATGGGGATTGGATACCAATACTCCTTATGTGTACCATGTTTGTGAACTGTGTGTATCTACGCTGTGACCTTTCAATCTGTTTGGGATGCATACGGCTCTATAGACAGGTGCAGTGCATTACATCATTGATGTCCATTTGTGGCGCTGTCCCCTATGGCAAGTGTCGGATTTCACTTGCCACAACTGTACATGTATGCATCTGCTGCCAGTCCCGGGTTTCCAACTTGACTTGTACCATAGGTGTGTTACAGCCCATGCATTGTCATATGCCCTCTCTCCAGGTTTTGGCAGTATTTGAAATCCATGTCGTTCACAGAGTTGTTGAGAATACTTACCGGTATGCAGTTCTGAGAGAACTTCTGCCCCCCCCGCATAAGGAACGGGCCGAGAGCAAACGCGCAGTAGGTGTTGTACTCGCATCGTGCCAGCCGCCACCCCCTGCTCTAGCTGGGGCTGGGTTTCCCTGGTTCTACAGTCCTACGTGCAGTTATCTTCAGAGTAAACATCGAGGGACTGCTGGAGTTTTGCGAAATGAAAGTATCATCCATACTTCTCTCACATGGATGTGCAATGAATCCAATGAATCCCCAATGATTGTGCCAATAGAGTGGTAGATGTGCTGTGATTGGGTCAACGAGTCGTGAATACTAGGTCTTGTAATGTAATGTGAACGTTTTCTGATGCGGCGTGCTGGATGTTTGTCTGCGTTGGTATATTTTGCCTTTCAGGTTGTCTTCTCCAAATTCGAGGATTTGCTCCCAAAGCATCTAACCGAAGATGATCCTGAATTACAGCTGCCTACTGAAGAGGAAATTGAGGAAGTAAGTATCTGAATATGGATGGATGTATTGCAAACAATAGGAGGACAGAGGAAGTGTTTTTACTCAGAGTTTCACGCACTAAGCGATCATCAGAAAACACTGTTTTCTGATGATCGCTTAGTGCGTGAAACTCTGAGTAAAAACACTTCCTCTGTCCTCCTATTGTTTGAACCAGCTCTACCACTCGGTATTGAGCACTCTCTTGGACAGCCTGGAACCTCTCTGTTTTATGGATGTATTGCTATTGTTGATGCGTAAATAAGTAAAAACTGCGAGAAATTCAAAGAGTTTGTCAGAGCATTCATGTTCTTTGCTGGTCTGACTCAAGTGTGTCTTGTTCTGTTTGCAGTCAACTAATAAGACAAGAGAGGCTTTGGATGCTTTGGTGGCTAAGAAGATTGCTGCTGCTCAGCCCAATCAAATGGCCGAGAAGCTGGCACCGGCGCAATATGTCAGGTAGGCACAGCAGTTTGTGGGTGTGTGTGTGTGTTGTTGTTGTTGTTTCTTTATTTTACTTCACCATATATATTGTGTGTGTGTGTGTGTGTGTGTGTGTGTGTGTGTGTGTGTGTGTGTGTGTGTGTGTGTGTGTGTGTGTGTGTGTGTGTGTGTGTGTGTGTGTGTGTGTGTGTGTGTGTGTGTGTGTGTGTGTGTGTGTGTGTGTGTGTGTGTGTGTGTGTGTGTGTGTGTGTGTGTGTGTGTGTGTGTGTGTGTGTGTGTGTGTGTGTGTGTGTGTGTGTGTGTGTGTGTGTGTGTGTGTGTGTGTGTGTGTGTGTGTGTGTGTGTGTGTGTGTGTGTGTGTGTGTGTGTGTGTGTGTGTGTGTGTGTGTGTGTGTGTGTGTGTGTGTGTGTGTGTGTGTGTGTGTGTGTGTGTGTGTGTGTGTGTGTGTGTGTGTGTGTGTGTGTGTGTGTGTGTGTGTGTGTGTGTGTGTGTGTGTGTGTGTGTGTGTGTGTGTGTGTGTGTGTGTGTGTGTGTGTGTGTGTGTGTGTGTGTGTGTGTGTGTGTGTGTGTGTGTACTGTGGTGCATTCCTGTTCGTCATGACATGTTAACGGTTGAGTTGCAAGCTCTTACATTCACAAGCCCATGGAGCTCGTTCATGCATATCAGATCATGTAACACATCTGTAAGTTTCTGGGGGGCTTTCTCATTCTGTGCTATGGTGGTCACAGTTCTGCTCACTTTTCTGTCCTTTCCTCTTTTTTTTGGTTTACAGATATACTCCGGCACAGCAAGGTGTGGCTTATGCTAGTGGTTCAAAGCAGCGCGTGATTCGTATGATGGAAGCACAAAACGATCCAATGGAGCCTCCCAAGTTCAAGTATGTCCTTGCATGCTTTCTTTACTCAAGTATATCTTTTGCTAGAATGGACTCGGATGGAGAGCCAAACATTATTATAGCGTATTAAACTTGTAGTTCCTGGGTCCTTTTATTTTTATAAATATATCTTGCTTGTCACATATAGTGTATGCCTCCACTCACAATTACACATTCGTGAGATCAGGTATCATTGAACACGACTGTATTTTACATTGACCTAGACTGCACCAAGCTGGGCCCATATTTTTGCCTCTTACAAGTTGTCATGTGACACAGCTTTCTAGTATACGGAGCACTAAAGTTTTAAAAAGTACTGTCCGTTATTTCTATTTGCTCCCTCAGGACTAACACAAAGATCCCCCGCGGCCCACCGTCACCTCCCGCACCGATTATGCATTCCCCACCTCGCAAGGTGAGTTTTTTGTTTTTGTTGTTGTGCGATTACATGTATAGACGGCGCGCATACTAGTGTACATGTACCTGCCTACCTACCTACCTGCCTGCCTGCCTGCCTACCTACCAACCTACCTACCTACCTACCTACCTACCTACTTACCTACCTACTTACCTACCTACTTACCTACCTACCTACCTACCTACCTACTTACCTACCTACCTACCTACCTACCTACTTACCTACCTACTTACCTACCTACCTACCTACCTACCTACCTACCTACCTACTTACCTACCTACCTACCTACCTGCCTGCCTACCTACCTACCAACCTACCTACCTACCTACCTACCTACCTACTTACCTACCTACCTACTTACCTACCTACCTACCTACCTACCTACCTACCTACCTACCTACCTACTTACCTACCTACCTACCTACCTACTTACCTACTTACCTACTTACCTACCTACCTACCTACCTACCTGCCTACCTACCTACCTACCTACCTACCTACTTACCTACTTACCTACCTACCTGCCTACCTACCTACCAACCTACCTACCTACCTACCTACCTACCTACCTACCTACCTACTTACACGCTTGTCATCTGAACCTTTGTGTTGCATTACTTCTGTTGCCTCACGGTAGCTATCGGCTGCTTTCTTCTCAGTGTTGGTTTGAGCTGATATGCACACCATGCAGTGTTAGCAGCCTTCCTTGATTTTCCCACTTTGCGTTTTTTCCACCTTGACTGCTAGCCTACGGTCAAGGACCAGCAAGACTGGAAGATCCCGCCATGCATATCCAACTGGAAGAACGCCCGTGGTTACACCATCCCTCTTGACAAGCGCTTAGCAGCGGACGGTCGCGACCTGCAGGATCCGCATATCAACGACAAATTCGCCAAGCTCGCCGAAGCCCTGTTCATCGCTGACAGAAAGGTATGTGCCGTTGCTGCTGCTGCTGCTGCTGTGTTGGTTGTACACGTTCTGTTTAAATTGTGTAGTCATGCATTTGCCATCACGCTCTAGCATTGAACACCGATGCTGAGATGATGATGACTGCAGTACCATCATTGCGAGTGTGGCTTCACTGTTTGTTGCCACATTTGAATAGGAGTACAGTTATGGGTGTGCCTTAGATTAGATCGAAATATGTGTTGTTGTTGTTGTGTGTGTGTGCATGCGTGTGTGTGCGCGGGCGTGCGCGCGCGTGTGTGTGCGTGTGTGTGTGTGCGCGCGCACGCGCGCGTGTGGTACATGGCGTGTGTGTGTATTCTCTTCTCATTCAATAACCGCTAGGCCCGTGAAGCTGTAGATCATCGTTCTTCGATTGAGAAGAAGCTGGCACAGAAAGAAAAGGAGAAGAAGGAGTCTGAGTTGCGCGACTTGGCCCAGAAAACACGTGACCAGCGTGCTGGTATTCGACCCTCTCGTATGGGTGAGTTCCCTTGCTGGATTCCATACAGTTGTGCACCCATACACACTGTTACACAATGCAGCTCAGGTGCTTATTGCTCTCTGTGGCCTGTACAAGTAGAGGAGTACAATGTACTGTACCAGGATTGGCAACAGCACCTGGTCTTCTTCATGGTCAGTTTTACCCATACTGTCCTGGTTGTTACTCCCGTACATTCATAATTATGGTGTGCTTCAGTGTTGAATACTGCAACCTTGTGACTTGTCCGTGCTTTGTGAACAGATGAGGAAGACACTGCTGCCAAGGAGAGAGATGAGCTCAGACATGAGCGCCACAAGGAGCGTGAGAGAGACAGGCGGATTGCTCGGGCAGCTCCCGACAAACGGTTAGCAATGACTTTAGTGGTGTTATTCGTCTGTACTATGTCGTTTTCAGCAGTGTTCAGCATAGTGTATCTTTGGATGTTGTATGGTGTATGTTGTTGTTCTCTCCATATCAAGTCGACAAGCAACACCAGCTAAGTTGTGTGTGTGTGTGTGTGTGTGTGTATGCGTGCGTGCGTGCGTGCGTGTGTGTGTGTGTGTGTGTGTGTGTGTGTGCTTGCATGTGTGTGCTTGTGTGTGGGTGGGTGTGTGTGGGTGTGCGCATGTGCGCTGATATGCACTCGTGCATCTCAGGCATCGTCTGGAGCACCAGAATGACAGAGATGTCAGTGAAAAGATCGCACTTGGACAGCCCATCAAAGCGAAGTCGGATGACGGACAATTTGATCAGCGATTGTTCAACCAGTCACGGGTATGGTTATGGATACAAACTCTGTGTCATGCAATGTGCCCCCATCGAATTCATGTGTATTTTGCATCACCCGTGTGTGTGTCTGTGTGTGTGTCTGTGTGTGGTGGGGGTGGGGGTGTACGAACGTCAGTTGATAAGGCTGTGTTTACATGAGAATTTTCAACCCGGGTTGAATGTCTGTACGATGAAAACAATAGGTGGGTGTTACATGAAAACAATAGGTGGGTGTTACATGAAAACAATAGGTGGGTGTTACATGAAAACAATAGGTGGGTGTTACATGAAAACAATAGGTGGGTGTTACATGAAAACAATAGGTGGGTGTTACATGAACACAATAGGTGGGTGTTACATGAAGACAGTTGACCCAGGTCTACTGGTATGCCACCGAAAGTCCACTTCTGGAGTCATGTATGGTCACCTGAATGCTTTCACGCAAAATTTGCCTGTGCAGTGCTGTTCAAACCTGACACGAGATACGCACAGAAGTATGGTACAGTGTAGTACGATCTCTCGATTTCAACCCAGGTCAATTGTAATGCGTCATGTAAACGGTCCAGCCAATCTGTGTTCATGGCGGGTTGAAACTCCCGGGTTGAAACGCCTCATGTAAACACAGCCTAAGTGTATCATGGAGTGGATTTCGCATCTAATACTAACAGGGATAGTTTTGTAGTCTATGTTGGGCAGGAAACAGAAACATGGCTGCTTTGCTAATGTACATGTACATGATGTAAGATTACATTCTCCTGTTTGTTGTGCCGGTGCAGGGTCTTGATTCTGGCTTCCAAGGCGGCGAGGACGAAAGCTATAACGTGTACAGTGAGCCGTGGAGAAATTCGTCGCAGTCTATCTATCGACCGCGGAAGAATGCTGAGAAGGATGTGTACGGCGGTGATGTGGATGAGCTACTCAAGCAGCAGAAGCGGTGAGATTGGGTTGATGCTGGCTGTTTGAAAGGGCTTGAAGACCAGCTCTGTCATGCCCCTCATGGATCAGTACGGCTGATTGTGCAGAATGACGTGACTGGATTGTTCACATCTTGTCCCTCTCTTGTAGTCTGCTAATACCGGTACATGCATAGACCATGGGATGTTGCGTGCAGCTACAGTGCTACAACAGACCATGGGATGTTGCGTGCAGCTACAGTGCTACAACAGACCAGTGGCTATGCACATGTAGTATAGTGTACCACTGCACTAAGTTCTCCATGCTCTTACTGCTTGTGTTTCGGCTAGGCTTTTTGCTCGCCTGGCTGTGTTTTGCTAGTGTTTGACCTATTCTGCTCGCCGTCTGTGTGTGTGCGCGTGCATGCGTGCGTGCGTGTATATGTGTGTGTGTGTGTGTGTGTGTGTGTGTTTGTGTGTGTGTGTGTCCATACATGTGTCCTGAAACAGCTTTGTTCCAGACAAAGGATTTGCTGGTGCTGATGGCAGTGGTCGTCGTGACGATGGCCCAGTGCAGTTTGAAAAAGAAGATGCGGATCCGTTCAACTTGGAGAACTTCTTCCAGTACGCGAAGAAGGGGAAGCGCTCCCAGGAGGATGGTGGTGGTAGCAGGTAAGACTGAACGGAGTGTTGTCTTTTTGAAGCCTAGTTTATTCTGACCGAGCGTTATAAAATTCTTCGAACAAGGCCCATAAAGGCACATTGTTTCGCATAAAATTAACTTTCCTCGATGAATACACGCTCACCATCGGACATTGGAGTTTAATGAGAAGAAAATAATCACAAGCCACACCACCAAACAGCAGACCCGCGTTAAACCCCCAACTCAAACTTGGGGCATTCACTCCGGTCGCTTCATGGTTCCCTTTTTTTGGCGCTACATTCTGCCTAACGCCATGGCACGCGCCCTCACTTCACAGAGCACAATGCAATGGCACGCTACCTTCTGCTGCTTCTTCTCCGTGATGTGCTAGTTGCACCTTCTCTCTCTCTGTCCCCCCCCCCCCCCCCCCTTCTGCATACTAGGTGACATAATTCGCATATTTTTTTGGCGCTACACTCTGCGTATAATTATACTTCTGAAGTATACTGCTCTTGTGTGGTTTCCGCGGTATTCATTGTTATTACCTGATGATGGCCAAGTGCCGAAAGGTTGTAAAAATAACGGAACTGGTTCGGATGTGCAGCGATATGGGAATGGGTGTGTCCACCCGAATTCCTTTCAGAGATGAAGCTGCAGGAAGCCTCAGCCCTTCTTCAAACTTAGTACTGTAATTTCACAATTTTTCGGTGTGCTTTTATTTTCGGTACTTTAGGTGCATCTGTTTCATACCTAAAATTTCAATACACCGAACAAACACTAACACACATAATCCAATAGGGAACTGCTTCTTAGTACCTACATTTTCTGTTCACCTAACCTGGCCTTTTGCCCTCACACCGAAAATATTGAGTACCGAAAATTTCTGAAATTAGAGGAACTTATAGGTCCTTTTCTCTTTCCATATTACTATTGGCTCAACATCCGAGTTTTTATAATAGATATTATCTATGATTCTATCTGTCTATATTTTGTGTGCACTGCAGCTCGAAGAAGTCAAAGCGGTGAGAACATGTTACTTGTGTTTTGAGATCTGGCCTGCCGCAGCCTCCCTGAGTCGCATCCAGTCAGTTCAGCAGTTTGATGGTCGTGTGTGTGCCATTTCCCACGGTATGATCATCACTACCACCACAGTCGGGAATCTGTTTGACTATTGTGCAGGTTTGCAGAAAACTCGCATCGTTTGCTGGGCTGTGTGCTTGCATCCATTGAGCATACATAATACTTGTCCTTGTCCGTATCATACTGACGCTCTTTTCGGGCGTTCATTTCATACTATCTTAGCGCCATTCTAACTGGTCACAACCTTGTGCAAGTCCTTGTTTTGTCTAGAAGCATTGAGTGTGACGTTTTGTAATGTTCACACCGTTCAACCACCTGTACACATCACGTACGTCCGGTCATGAAATCCTTTTTAATTCAGAGCATCATTGCTAGTACTAATATTGTAAGAAAAGCTCCTGTCGTCCTAAGCTGATGTACCCTTGCCGCTAGTACTAACCTTACGACCCAGTGCTGCGTGAGGCATCCCTGTACTTGTCCATACTGACAATAGCACTACGTGTAGAGCTTGCATTCTCTTTTTCAACCCATGTCTTCACTCGTGCAGTTCCGTCCGTGCACGCGTCCTGACATTATATTTTGCAACCCAGCATTGAACCTGGAATGTCACGTCGGGTGTGGTGCGTGTTGTTTCCTGCATTCGTACAGAATGCTTTGAAATGGCTTGCTGATGTGTGGTGCGTGCTGCTGTGACGGCCGAGGTCTGTCTGTTGCCAGTGGCAGTGGAGCTGCTACTAGTACTAGTGGACTCTAACTTGTATGTAGTCAAATGGGCGTTTGCTCTGGCCATCAAAAATGTCATTTATATCACGAGTTGGCGTTATGATATCCGAGGTCTTTGTTGGTGAGCTTGACTGCCATTGTTTATCCTTTGAGATGCAGTTTCGAAGTCCAATGGCACCGAAATCATTGCCAATTTCTGCTGGCTTTTTCGTGCTGATTTATAGCTTGGTTATAATTCTAGACATGACAAACAGTGTTATGACTGTGTGTGTTGGCTGTTTAATAGCTCGTGCCGCCTCTTGATCTTGTCCACGCAAACAGCATTACAGGTGCAATGACTACACACACAATCAGTGTAGATGTACCATGCAGTTGATCTTGCCCCTGTTCATGCCAACAAGAGTACTCTTATGTACTCGTACTCTTGATGCGAATTATCCCATGCCAAGAATCTCATGTCGTGGTCTTTCTGTATCCTGGCAGGTCATTATGTTCGTACTCGTGTGCATAATCGAAATAGTTTTAATATTGTATTTTATCACTCCCTTAGTATTGACTCGCATAGATTTTTGCCATACCTAAGCAGTCAAATATTCCTGCATATTTCACTCCTTAGGGCTATATTGACTGCTTATATTTGACTGCTTAGGGGTTGCGCAGTTGAACGGTGCCTAGTGCAGCATTGTCACTGCATGAGTAGGTGGGGGTGCAACGGTTGTGCAATCATAAAACCGGGATTCATGAGCTTATCGTTCTGGAATTTGAAATACGGACTGTTTGTCGTGATAAATCTAATATTGACTTCGTACTTGGTCAGATAGGAAATAAAAAAACTCGTAAAAGACCTCGGCTTCGCCTCGGTCTTTTACTCGGCTTTTATTTCCTATATTGACCTCGCACTCAGTCAATATTAGATACTTATTTTTTCTGGCGGCTACAGCACACGCTGTAGAACCAACACATGCTGTAAAACCAGCATACGCTGTAGAACCAGCACACGCTGTAAAACCAGCAGAAGTTATAACCGACACTGCTACGACCATGACTACTATGGGACCTGCAAGACTACCGTTGCAGGATTGATTGTACAATCATGTAGATCTACAATCCTGCAACATTACTGACCAAGACAGCAAGAGTCTTACAAGTTGCTCTTGTTCACTAAAAAAACAAGAAGTAAAAGACAAACAGTTCTCAACTAATTCTCAAGTCAAGGTTGTCACCACGACATCAGCTCTTCTAATTCCCTAGTTTTCTGTTATGTATGTCTACCAGATGTAGAGGTCTTCCAAAATCGACGACCGAGTCGCAGGAGCAGATCATCTGCTCCTGTTATCATGGTTATCTTGCATCAGACTATCGCAACGTAGTACCTACTCGTCAGTGTGTGTTCGCTTACTATACGCCTCTTGCACTGGCGTTGCACTGGGCACTGCATCAATTGACTTGTGGGCAGCAGGCCTGTCACTGGCCTAGCGCCTGGCACGTCAACTGAAATAACTGCAAATCAATGACTACACTATATGCCTGTGGTCTCCGTTTGAAACGTGCAGTTCCACAGCTCCAGCCTGCCTGCTCAGCAGTTCATTATCTACTTTTCGTTATGTTACAAACCGTTGCCCGTTGTCTGCTTTGTCTTGGCTGTCTCTAAGTAATAGTTGGTAGCATTCAATGTCCGTTGAAGAGTTATAGCCCTTCTTCAGTCGTTCAGTACAATTCTAAAACGAGTCAACATGACGAGAGCCCAGCAACGTCGTTGTCATTGTGTCTGGCACTGTCCTCGACTGCAATAGTCTTCAATTCACTCATTGAGTTAATATTTTCTGTGGACGTCTTGTTTCATGTCGGTATAGTCCCGACAAGCCACGATTGTGATATCGTACTACTAGTCCAGCATCCTTCCGTTCACTAGCGTGCGACACAATGCACCAGCGCGTCAATTGCGTGGGCTAGTGTCATTCCCAAATTGGGAATCGAGTAAGTTTTAGAATCATTAGTACATTACATTACTGGTACTAGTGCACTTCACTATGTTTCTCAATCTACTTGACTTTTAGTGATATTTAGAAGAGCAAGTCGAGTGCAGCGTGGACGAATGGTGTTTGCTGTGCTAGAAATGTTAGTGGGAATAAAGGAGAATACGAGTATGGCAGGAAAGTAATGGAAACCATCCACGGTTCATTCATTTGTGTGAGGAAGTTGAAAAGGGGGATATGATTCCAACATAAAGGATACTGAAATAAGGAATTCGGATGGACACACGTACACCCATTCCCATAGCGCTGCACATCCGAACCAGTTTCGTTGTTTCACAACGTTTCGGCACTTTGCCATCATCAGGTGACCAATGAAACCCGAATTCCTTATTTCAGAGACTCGGGGGATGTTGAAGCTGCAGGAAGCCTCAGCCCTTCTTCATAAAGAGTACTGCTGCTGTAATGTTTGAGCTGTTGCAGTACTGGTCACAAAATGTTCCTTAAAGGGGAAGTTAAGGCAAAAATTAAAATTTCACCAGTTGTAGTCGTCGGGGTGCTGAGTCGAATGGTCGTGGTCCGAGGAAGCTGAGACGCTCCCTTCCTACTTGAATCCCAATCGAACTCGCGCACTTCCACCGAAACTGGGTGACTGCGCCCTACTAGATGGGGATTTGTATGCAAAATGTCACTAAAAGCGCCATTTCGTTCTTATAAAAGCACGGATGACCGCGATTGGCCCATATGTTGTAGTCTTTTGGACGCTGAGTCGACTGGGTTTGGTCCGAAAAGGCTGCGATGCAGCGTTCCTCCTTTATTCCCAATCGAACATGGTTGAACAAGCGGTCACGTGCTCCTGCGTACACCAGTCACCTGGTCACCGTGCCTGCAGGGTACAACTTACTAGCCTGTTTGACCTTTTTTGGGTGCAGTCCTGTCACTCGAGTTGAACTCGAGTTGAACCTTGGTGTGAAAGTTGTCACCTGCTGGCGTGGTGACCAGGTGATTTGGGCACCCAGGAGCACGTGACCGCTTGTTCAACCATGTTCGATTGGGAATAAAGGAGGAACGCTGCATCGCAGCCTTTTCGGACCAAAACCAGTCGACTCAGCGTCCAAAAGACTACAACATTTGGGCCAATCGCGGTCATCCGTGCTTTTATAAGAACGAAATGGCGCTTTTTGTGACAATTTGCATACAAATCCCCATCTAGTAGGGCGCAGTCACCCAGTTTCGGTGGAAGTGCGCGAGTTCGATTGGGATTCAAGTAGGAAGGGAGCGCCTCAGCTTCCTCGGACCAAGACCATTCGACTCAGCACCCCGAAGACTACAACTGGTGAAATTTTAATTTTTGCCTTAACTTCCCCTTTAACAATGATCCCAATGGCATGATTTGTCACCCCAACTTTTGACTTTGCTAAGCAAAGTTGCTGCCCAGAGGTTTCTGATTGGCGGATGTGCCGCTCAGATTAACTGACTCAGATTAACTGAGCAATCCGTATACATGTACATGGAAGCTTGCCCATAACTCAAAATTGTCCGGAACTTGGAAATAATACACAGCCATGATGAATGTGACACATCTCTTCGGTTGGACTTACTGAACCAAGACGGTGACTGGTACAATTCACAGGCGTACACGATAGGAGCTTAGGGCTGTGTCCTTCAATTAGTGGGGGAAAGTTGTTCAGCTGACCGTCATGACCTTGAAGGAAGAGTTTTCAAGATTAGACTGCAGTCATGTGCCTGCTATGGCAGTGGCTGGTCACAAGTTGACGGAGGTGTCTGCCGGGATATAGGTAGTAACTGGCAGAACTGAGCTCTAGTGTACATGTTCATGCAGTATATCACAGTGTTTCAACAGTGTTTCAACAGTGTTTCAACAGTGTTTCAACTAGCAGTGTTTCAACAGTGTTTCAACAGTGTTTCAACAGTGTTTCAACAGTGTTTCAACAGTGTTTCAACAGTGTTTCAACTAGCAGTGTTTCAACAGTGTTTCAACAGTGTTTCAACAGTGTTTCAACAGTGTTTCAACAGTGTTTCAACAGTGTTTCAACAGTGTTTCAACAGTGTTTCAACAGTGTTTCTACAGTGTTTCAACAGTGTTTCAAGTGGTATATTTTGCTTTGCCTCCTTGCAGTAGGCTGAACAGAACTGTGCGTGAGTCATCTGCATGTGTTTCTATGAATAGATTCTGACTCGCCACCTGAACTTATTGACGGCACATTGAAGCGGGCATCTTTTGAGCCCAACGCCACACGTGGCAAGTGACGGAGTCTTGGTAGCGGTGCACAACAACACAATGAATAATACACACGGAGACCTAGCTCAGCTACGGGCACAGGTGGCAGGCGAATATGAGGAACAGACCAGAGCTGCAATGGCCAACCTCCAGGTTGAGCTTGAGAGTGTGCACGCCCAGCTAGAGGAAGCCAATGATGAGAAGATTAAAGCAGCCCAGTACGGTCTACTCGCTCTGGAGGAGAAACAACAACTACAGCAGCAGTTTGATGAACTAGAGTCGGCACATTCCAGCACAAGGAAAGAACTTGACTCCACGTTACAGGTTAGATATGCACAAGAGAACATAACACCCCAAGAGTGTGCAACTCCCACCTACCCTGCTAGAGTACATAACACCCCAAGAGTGTGCAACTCCCACCTACCCTGCTAGAGTACATAACCACCCCAAGAGTGTGCAACTCCCACCCACCCTGCTGCCCCGACAGAATTTCAAGTTGACGTCATTATTTATGATGCAACGCTCCTTGCACCAGTGATTTACAACATGTGTACGGGTGTCAACGCATCACACTTTTTTCTCTGCAATAATTTGTACATGATCAGATCGGCTTTGGTCCACCACACGTTCCGGATTCGTCTGATAATCCGTGCACAGTGCGCATTGCGTCATCAAAATGACGTCAACTTGAAATTCTGTCGGGACAGCACCCATAGTCGAGTTGCACACTCTGGCCAGTCTGGGGGATTATGCATTGAAGTTTCACTCTAGTCACTGAATGTAATGTTACTTGCCTGTGATTGGTTGGGACATTTCAAATGCACGGCATGCCGTTTATGTGTTCCAGCTGCTGGAGGACTTACAAAGAGATCGAGATCGCCGAGAGCAACAGGAAGAAAGCCTGCGTTCAAGCCTAGCTGCAGAGTGCGAGAGACGGGAAAACCTCTTGGTCGACAACAACAGTGAGCTACAGGATCAAGTCAACTACCTCAGACAAACGCTCGGAAAAGAAACCGAGCGTAGGCAAACGGCAGAAACTGAGGTGAGGAGGACAATACTGAAGTGCAGTGGATAGTTTTGAGTGTTTCAGATGATGACTCCACGCATCAATCACATCATCGCATGCACTCAGTTCCATTTGAAATAGTTTCCATTATTCCTTACACATGCAATGAGACTGTCAAAGTCAGTGTGTATGCAGGGGGGGGGGGGGGGGGGGGGAGGGGAGGAGTATATTGGTAGATGAACTTGGATCAAGGGTTTTGTTGCCGTTTGCTTTTAGAGAATGATCTTCCCTTTTATTGGGAAAGCAGTGCAGTAAACCTCTCTATCATGAGCATTCTATGGACAAGACATTATATGTCTGATGCATTGAGTGGCGTGTACTGTTAACAGCAAAAGAGAAGGCGTAACCCATGACTTGACCTTGTTTGGGAATAGTTGGGACTGATTCAGTCCCGGAGTGAACAAAGGTGACCCACTCCGGGATGTGGAAGTGGCCTTTGTTGAGAGGTGTCCAGGACCACTAACTAAGGGAGGCTTTACTGGAGTTTCCTTGACTTCTTCTTACGTCACAAGGGGAAGAAGATTCATTGAATGGTACAGCTATCCATACACGCCCAGTCACACCAATGATTTCATCACAGCTTCTACTATGACAGTGATATATCGGTTACGGTAATGTTCCCGGCACTGATGACACTGATGTTCACAGTTGCATCAGGCTTTCGTTGTGTCTGATCTCCCTTTGGATGAGCACTGGATGAAAATGTTGGTTAGAGCAGATGATGATAACGGAATTGTGCAATGAATATGGGTGGAATTTAACCTGTATCCAAGAAGAATACTGAAATTGCTATTTCTATCTGTTCTGTTCCCGTGATGTGATGGTGGAGTAGTTGAGACAGCTGCAGGAACGAGAGCATGACCACTTGCGGGCCAATCACAGTGGCGTTGATCGCGCTCTTGAAGCTGAGCGGTTGCATGAGAAGTCACTGCAGGAAGTGGATCAGCTGCAAGGCCAACTTTCCTTGCTCGAAGGTGTTCAGGTACTAGTAACGCAATATGCTCACAATGTTTAAAAACAGCTTTCAAAATGTCGGTTGTGACTAGTGACAGCCAAACTTAGCCATTGTGCAAATCATGATCAGTCACACCACAACTGCACAATGTGTTCTCGGCCTCTTTGCATCCACTGGTGAGCTCCGTTGGAGTGAAGCAGCTGTCTGGAGGGTTTGTAATATCAAAATTTCCACAGAATTGCTCTCGCCATGGTGGAGATATGCAAGTACAGTCGAATGTCACTTATCCGGTCGCCAGTTATCCGTCAAGCCCGGGAGTGGTAATTTTATGACTCTCAACAGAAATTTCTAATTTTTTTGTTTGTCTGTATATTATACGGTGAAATACGCATTTACTTGAAGTAGATGTGGTCACGTATGCTAACATGTATGTGTACATGGAGCAATTCATGAATATGCATGAGTATATTTGGGTATTGTGTACATAAATCAGTGAAATCCAGCCATATATGCACATAAAAAATGATATCATGCAGTTATCCAAAGGCCAACATATTCAGTTATCCAACATGCCTGATTCCCGAAGTGGTCGGATAAGTGACATTCGACTGTAGAGTGTGGGTTGGCCAAAACTATGCATTGTGGAGTGGTGGTGTCATTACTTTGGTGACAGGTGGTCGGTGACTGGTGTTTGTTGTCTTGCTTCCGGGTAATTGATTTCTCTAACTCAGTGTGCATGTGCCTGATCACCATTGGCAGAGTCATGGGCATCCTTTTGTTACCATGTCAGACTTTCTAGATTTACGTTTTAAAAGACATGTTGTCCCTAGTATCACATTCTCGGTGTGTTGTGTGATTTTTGTGTGTCTGCTGTCAGGCAAGAGCAAGTAACCTGGAGAAGACCATGGCATCTTGTGAGGCCGAGAAAGACAATCTATCCGAGCTGGTCAATCGGCTCAATCAGGAGCTGGAGCAGTCACAGGTGGATGTGTCGATGGCGTTTGCCAGCCTGAAAGAGGAGCAGGAGAGGTGTCGGCACCTTGAAATGAAAATGGAAGAAATGGAGATGACATCATCATTCTCCGCCGGACTGGGTCAGAGTACGGGCAATGTTATGAATGAGCTGACTATGGCCACAATGAGCACTCCAGAGCCTGCTGATGACGTTGCAAACGGACTTGCCGGTGACCCAGATAACATGATGCCCTCAGTTCCAATCACTCCTGGTCGTAACGCTAGCCTGCTGGATGAGATCCAGAACTCGATGGAATCCAACCAGTATGAGCGTGTTGCAGAGCTGGAACAACAGCTGGAGACTCATAACTCAACCATCGCTGACCTGAAGGCTGAACTACAGCGCACGCAACTGAAGGACTCTATTGCATTGCAGGGCATGCGCAAAGAGACGCAGGAAAAACAGCATGCGATCGACAGGCTACAGTCGGAACTTGCCGAACTTAGGCCGCAGATGAATGAAGCTGTGTGTGTTGGAGAGGAAAGGCTCAGTACCACCGCTGCCAGTAAGCGTATCCAGGATCTACAGTCAAGCATAGATCAACTGCAGAAAGATGTAGCACACGAGCGAGAGGCCTTGGAGAAAGCCAACCAGACACTTGAACAGAAGGGTGAAGACGTTTCTGGAGAGCACTCAAATTTGTTGAAGCGCATCGAACGCATGGAGGCTGAACGTGCCACCCGTGTCCTGGACAGTGAGGAGAAGTGTGAAAAGCTACGGATTGATCTGTTCAACGTTCGGGAAGACAATGACAAGCTGCTAGCCATGCGCACTGAGCTGGAACAGAAGAACGCAGACATTGAAACTCGCTTCCGGTCCGCGGAAAACTCCTCTGCAGAGCAGAGGGAATCCCTGAGCGCACTGAGCCGTGAGATTCAGAATGCCATTGCTGATGTGGAGGGCACAGCCAGGCTTGCTGCATCGCTGACTAACGGTCAAGGTGGCGGTGATTCTTTATCTGCTGCAGCAGGCTCGCATGCAGCCACTTCTCCCAGCAAGGTATCTATGGAGCCAGGTCAGCTGATGAACACACTACGTGATAAGGTGCGCGCTATTAAGAGCAATGTGGAAAGTGTCCTGCGTTCCTCCTTGGAGAAACACACCGTTACGACAGGTAATCCCACTGCAACAACAGCGGGTAGCTCTGCAGCGCAGGCATCAGCAGCTGCCACTGACAAGGAGTGGGCAAATGAGGGCAAGAAGCAAGCACAGGTAGGAGGTAGTGTGCCGGGGTGCATGGCGGTGTTCTATAGTCATGCCATGATGTGCCACTCTCATTTCTGTCAGGTACTTTTGGATAGGGTGTAATACCTCTCTTACTATGAGCATGTAATGGAGTTCACCCTTTGCACATGGACGGTAGTGCTTGGTTCAATTTTGGCATCGTGCTTGTCACAGTGCAGATTTAAAGCTCATGTAGTTATTTTGGTTGAAGACTACCACATAATATTATAGTGTGTACATCCAAGCGATAGCGCCGAATGAAGTAATTGTGCATCCGGGCTTCCCAGCCTACTGTATCAGTGAGGCACTGACTTAGGTGACAGGAATGCAACACTAAAGTCCTGCAAAGAGACCACACGGACTGGGTGGTATGTACTGGGAATTTTCCCGTTCAGAATGCGGCAGTGCTCCGAAAGTTCTGCTGCCAAATTCGGGTCACGGGTAAGGACAAGAATCACAAGATACCTCTACATTATATTTGCATGTACCACAGCCTAGAGATCCTCTTTTCCACACAGAAATCCGGACCCCAAACACACAAAGCCGAAGACCCTAATGGACACATCTTCGCTATTTGATTTCTCTTCTGCTCATGCTGATAAAGCAGAACCTCTCCCCTTTAGCTGCTGACTGTGAGCCTTTAAAAGAATCATGGTTCGCTTGAGACTCAGATAGACTTTAATAAAAGCTGTACGTAATTATTGTGCCTGGTACCAAGAATGCATTTTCCGTGTCTGGCTAACTTCGTCAGACCTAGTGGAAATATGTGTAGGGATGTCATCAAGTGGTACATTGCGGTTGCAAACGGAAGAATGTTGATCTGGATTCGAGCAACATGTGGATCGCCGATGATTCACAAATGACAAATATCTTGTAAATCTGTGTTTGTACTCTGCAGTTGAAGATTGAGCGGATGCGACGGGAGCTGAAGTCGCGTGCCAATGAAATCTCAACGCTACGCATGGTAATGCAGGCCAATCGGAGCACAGCGCAGGCCGCTCTGCAGCGTGAAAAGGCCATTGCCGAGCGCAAGGTGCGCGAGGCCGAGGAACGAGTGGTGCGAGCACGGGCAGACCTGGAGAGAACCCAGCGTGACAACTCTAATTTCACAGTGATGCGCAGCATGTTCGCAGAGCGGTAAGTCTGACCAGCCCGCAGGTCTGAGGTAGTCTTGCCGAGCGTGCTACACCTAGAATACCTGTAACACAACTGTTTCCTTCTGTGCTCTTTCTGCAGATGTGAGGAGTATATCAAACAGGTCGCAAGCTTCCGCAAGACCATAGCTGAACTGACGAAGGAGAAAGGAGAGTTGAGCATGCTCTTGGAGAGAGCCATTGCCCAGAAAGTGCGCTTGACGGAAAAGCTAGAAGAGTATGAGATCGAGAATGAGCGCATGTGGAGCATTCCTCAAGCGCTTGCTGCAACCAGGGTATAAAACCATGAAGGCTGGTGTGTGTAGCCTCCGGAGCGACTGGACATCCTGGACTGCTACTCGCTAACCTGCAGTCTCTCTCAGTCTGCAAAGTGATCATCTCTGTGCTGCCCTCTAATAATCACCTGGCTCATACTTTCCTTGCCTATTAGAAAGTTGGAAGTTCGAAAAGTCTCGGTTAAAAATTAAAATATTGATGTTGAGAGTGCCCGTGCCTCCCCCTCCCCCCCCCCCCCCCCTCCCCACTACTTTCAAGTAGTATTAACTATTGTCTTCTTTGTGCTTTCCCCAGGGGCACCTTTAGTAAGTATAGACTAATCATAGTATTTGATGTGCAAGAGCTTGTGGTTTGGCCATGCATCCCAATTGATGTTTTGTGTATTGCAAAGTTTGAGAGTTGTTGATACTAAGCAAGCTTTCGGGACTGTCCGTTTGGAAAAGGGTAAATTTAATTTACCCAGCCAATTGCCTAAGCCACCGAATGTAGCTTGAAACCTATTGAGTGGCAGATTTTCAGACTGCTACACTTGAAATGACTAGTGAATTGCCTTTATATAATTCCTGACTGAACTATATTTCTACGATACCCTCGGAGTGTGATTGAGACAGCCACTGGATATGGATGAGGATACCGATGTGCTTTGGGGAGTATGCCTACTCAGTAGTAATGGTTTTGATGGGGAAAATTTCCCAAATTACTAGTGACTCGGCAGGCTACCAGCGCATGTACTTCAGTAGTGAACTGGGCACCCATGACATCGGTCTAACATTAATTTTACTGTGGGTTCTGATTGCACCCATTGGTAACTTCTCACTTCTCGAGCGGTTGGAAGTTTCCGCCTGCCCTGCTGAGCTTTTTAACTAACGACGCTGAACCGGTACAAATCTGACAGACCTCTGCAAGAAATCCTTTTCGCACTTTTAAACTTCCACATAGGAGTGTTTGAAAAATTCAAGATAATCATACAATAGGTATCGTGCAGCCAGGGTGGCGTTTCTCAAATGGGCCGGCCACAGTTACAGAAAGCAGGGAGTCACAAAATAGTGATAATTTAGTACTGCCTGGGCCTGGTAGAAAGTAAGTGAAACGAATAAGATTATGATAATTAAAATTCTCTCAGCATAGGATATTATAGGAACTGTAGTTTTTTATAAAGTCATCACCGGGGAATCCTGGAATGTGCTCAACAGCAATAATCAGGCTTGTGGTTACGTCCATGCAAATAGCTGGAGCAGCATTGTTGATGTGCTTGGGTACAAATTACGAGTTGTCTGCTAGTGCCGCGGCATAACAGGGGAAGGTTTGATTGCTGTTTCCAGTATAAAGTGGGAAAATAGTATTCAAAATACAACTTGTACCGTTCATTAGCTACCCTTCCATTGAAACACCACCATTTAAATTCTCAAGTTTGAGTCGATTGTCCCATGGGCATGCATTCCATATTAGATCCTCAGAGCAATGACTTCACAGCAAATAAAGTGCACGGCATCCTGAACATGTTTTCATTCACACCATCGACCAGCTTTTTCTCCAGTTCTCTGCTGCCTATAGATTGACGGACTCGTATGAAGTTGGTACATGCGCCCGGACTGACGTACCTCCTCGCAGCGGTGCCTGTTCGTAGTCAGTAAGCTCCGACTTCTCGCGGATACAGTTGTAGTAGACAATGGTGACCATGGCAACTAACACTATGAACCCACCGATGCACAGCGCAATGAACTCCCATTCAGTCAGCGGACCAAAGCGCCCGCTAGCCTGGGGCAAGGTGGTCGGCACTGCTGCCGATGATGATATGCTACCGCTCTGGGCTGGTCCACTCGTTGTCACCGGGCTAGCTGTTGGGGATGTGTTGCTGGTGGTGACGGCTGCTGTCGTTGGAACAGCCGTCGGTGTCGTTGTTGGTGTTGTCGTTGGTGTGGTTGTCGGTGTCGTAGTTGGAGTGGTGGTTGGTGTTGTAGTTGGTGTGGTTGTAGGTGTAGTTGTTGGTGTGGTGGTTGGTGTAGTCGTTGGAGTGGTGGTTGGTGTTGTGGTTGGTGTAGTCGTTGGAGTGGTGGTTGGTGCTGTGGTTGGTGTGGTTGTAGGTGTGGTAGTTGGAGTTGTCGTCGGTGTGGTGGTGGGAGCAGCAGTCGTGGCAGGACTCGTTCCGTTCAGAAACAACAAGAAGACGGACTTGGAAGTCGTAGATATGGCAATCAACTCGTCATCAATAATGGACGGAGAAGCAACCACCTGAAGGACACATGAGACAAGCCGTGAGATTCTCAATATACCTGTTCAGGTACTGGCATCATAATTGTATGTGTAGTCTTCAGGAAATGATCAGGAGCATTATTGATCTGATGAATCGTAATGAATACCCTCATGGACACGATCTAACCAACCAATATCTTGGTGCACGGTGGATGCTGGCCCAGTCAAATCCTTAAAAAAATAAAAACAATGCATACGAAAAATAGTCAATTTCTTACCGTTCCTTCCAGGTCGTAGTGCCATATCTCTTGCCCTGTCCTACCGTTGAACGCATACAGCTGCAACAAAACACACAACCACACAGGAATTTTATCTTTAGCCACAAGCACGCCCAAGCCGTTGCACAGTCTTTGCTCTGACTTGCTGAGACCTAGGGTCACTGGCAGCATCGTAAAATGAAAAAAATAGCGGAATTGAATTTTGTTGGGGGGGGGGGGGGGTGAGGACCTTCGTCAAAGTTCCTGTTTCAAGTTTCACACCACCCAACCTCTGTTGCATGTAATCGCATGCATACTTATGTACGCGCCTACATGTTGAAATTTACTCTATACATTGTGTAGAGTAAATTTCAGCAAAAAAAAAAATATTTTTGAGCCTTGACTATTTGGGCCAAAACTGAAATTCACTGCCATGGCCCACTGCAGTCTTAGCGTTGGAGAAAGTTCTTACCGTGGCTGGGGATAGCGACGCAATATATACTGTTCCATTGGCATCCACGGCTGGAGAGGAGACAAGCTCCTTAGTACCAAGTCGCTTACTCGTCCACCTACAGCAGCAGCAGCCGCAGCAGATCACAGATACATTAGAAGTTAGAAGCTGAGCACAGATGCCTTGATGCTCTGTGTGTACAGTGTACAGTCATACATACAGCCAACCGGGCAAATAACGACCCTCGCCCGGTCATGAGAAAAGTGTTGTTATGCGCGAGGTTAAAAGTAGGCAATCAAGTGGGTACTTGACTTGCTCTGAAGATAGTGTTGTTATTCGCGACAGTCTGTTATATCCGAGGTTGTTCTTCCCGGGGTTGACGTCACGGTATACATGTGTGTACAGTGTTCAGTCATACAAAATGCATTTTACTTAGTACCACTGTACGCTAATACCTGGCAATGATGCATAATCTAGGTTATCTGCGATCCACTTTGAATAAAGCCCGGGCTATGCCTCTGTGATGTACTGCCGCCTCTGCAGCTGTGGAATACATAGATTGGTAGTGTTCTGTGAATTGCCATGCATCTAATCAAAACAGACATTACAATCACATTAGCCGGCTTGGGGCTGTAATGTACTGCACACTCACAGTATTTCACCGCGAATACCATCGATGCCGCGCAGCTTCCCATCGCTCCATGCACAGTAGACATAGACGTATTTCTTGCCATCATGGTGAATCAGTGACACAGCCGGCGAGGACTGCACCAGATCAACAGGATCTGTAGCACGAGCAAACCAGACTGGCGCTTCATCCGGGCGTGTATTAGCACGGTTGCAACCCTCCAGTCCAAACGAAGTACCCGCGTAGACAAAGCCAACATTCTCCTTGCCGTCACAATGGTACCTATGGTCACGGCGTGGGGTGTCATACGTTTCACCAACTTCACACACCTGGACAGAATGTGAATAATATACACAGCTGTGTCACCCCAGCTACCATGGCTACAGCTGTTTGGCATGGCAAGCTCAGTCAAATAACATAAGCTACATGCAGTAGTGGTCAACCGTCATGATCTCGTCAACCTTGACTGGACTGGAGAAGTTGTACCCACCCTCGACCCATATCATCTCCTCTAAGATCAGATGGACTTCAATGAAGCCAGTGCATGTGAACACTCGGACGACTCTTGATTAGGCTATGCCGCACTAAGTTGACAGCCCCTAGAGCAAGCGGCTGTACGTTCTTTTTCACCACCATTTGACTATGATAGCACCCATATACAGCACCGTGTTTCTGAGAAAAAGAACAACATTGCCCCAAAATTGTAGCCAGCAGTCTGACAGGTAACCATGGTAACACAGGGTCACTTTTCACTGGGCAGGGGACTTTGTAAGCCTTGACATTGTGATCAGACAGAGAAGATACAAAAAAAGTTAAAGCAGTCAGATGACAGCCAGTACCACCTACCCAGACTGCTGGTGATGTCAGAGGAATGCCCTGCAGGTCCCAGGCAATGTTGGGCCGTGAGCCGTTGCGGCGCAGGAGAAGCAGGTGGCTCTTCGGAGTATGATACACTGGTACGTAGATAGATCCATCGTCTGAAGCCACGCTCACCGATGCCTGGATATTGTGCGAGTCAGACTGTAAGCTGGCACTCCATGTAGCGTTCTGCTTTGTGTCGAATGGCAACGTCGTGACATCATATGCATAGACACGGGACAGGCTCTGTGATGTGTATATGACTGTGTTGTTAAAACCATGCACGGCCGAAGTGCACACTCCAGCCGTATCCGTATTCTGCCACACAACTCTAGGTTTGGCCTTGTCCCTGCAGTCGATGAGGTACATACGCAGGTCATGAGCGGAGGACACCATCACAAAGCCTGGTGCCACAACCAGTGGTGACGCAGTGATCTCGGTGCCATAGTGGGTCTGGTTCCGCGGTATTTCCTGGTGGCAGGTTGCGAGTCGCTCCCTGCTCAGCTCCACAGTGACGACAATGGAGTGGGCCTGCACACCGATCAACGTACTGTGATCCGTCAGCACATACACCGTGCCGTCTGCATCCACACTGGCCGAGGACTGCACTTCTGCACCAGCGTCAAACTTCCTATGGTTGATGGTGAAGTTGACGCCCACACTGCCGCGCGCCAAGCCACTCGGGCCGACCAAACTGGACAGGCCGTTGCTATCAAAGCCATGGCGAAACTGTGGCCACAAAGAGGGCAAAGTAGGCTGCTGGCCACCCACTACGATCGCTGATAGCAACCATGTGATACTCAACAGATCTAACCGGCTGCACATGCAATTGAATGGACCAAGATAGTTTTCCAGCAGCATTGTCGGCATCCTACTCATCAATGAAGCACGATCATAGACCAGCCCCACTCAGTCCAGCATACAGCTGCCAAGTATCTGCAATAAAGCTCCAAATTTCATTCACTGAACACCTCCGTGATCGCTACTAGTGTAGCAGCAACACCTTACGCGGCTTGGAGTTTAGAATGCGGGTATACCGGTATGGTGTGGTCAAAGTCACTCATGTAGAAAATGTAGTTGACTGCCCCTTCCTTACTCGCTCTTTCAAGTCTTGCTACAGTACTGAGGTCGTCTAGCGTGCTTCTAATTGCTAGTGATGAGGCGATCCAAATTTCAATTCAGATAGCACGGCAACCATTTCACAGAGCAGCTCCACGCACTCAGGAATGGCGTAGTTGTGCTTCCGACTTTCCGTGATGGTCAGCGCGATCACCAGAATTTAGCAGCAGGTAAGTCGACAAGCCTTGTTGTACTTCTCCTCGCTCAACTCCCGATCGGTGCATTGACCGTCCAGACGGACACAGGGGCACCTTTTGTTGCACCGTCTTTGTGTCGCTTCCTTGCTGGCCACTTCTCAGCAGACACAAAACTCAACTCCAGTTACTAGTATTTCCCTGAAAAGGGCATAGGGACAGATCGGAGCTAGTGCAGTAGTGGGAGAGAGGCAGTGGGTGAAAGCCAAGTTTGAAGTCGTGATGACTTGTTATGTTTTCTTTTTCTGCTTGCAATGCCAACCACACGTGACCATAATTGACGTCATGCAGCACATGCAACAATCTGTTTCTGAATCATCGCTACTACCGCCGATAAGTTAACCCCAAGAGTGTGCAACTCCAGCCAGCTATATATGGGGTCTGCGATAGGGCAGACCCGAATTTGCTAGCAATTCTTCTAGCAAAATATCGAAGAATTTTGAAAGGGAATTTGCTGGCAAAATGGAGCAAAATATTGGTGTGTTGGCTGGGAATTGGGAGATTTTGCACATATACGGTCCACATGACTCATTTCGGCACAGTTTTACCAACACGTGACTCACTTTTTCTCATTTTTGCCAACACGTAACCCACTTTCGGTCAGTTTTCTCACACGTGACACAAATTTTGGAGCAAAAAGGGAGCAAAATATCGAGTGGCCTAGCAAAATGAAAGCAAAATTTCGACGATGCACGAGCAAAATTATGCCGCAAAATATCGAGATTCAGCTGGCAAATTCGGGTCAGCCCAAGTCTGCGACGGCAGAACTTCACATCACGTGATGAACCCGTACACATTATTTGCACTCTGTGCATGATACTTGATAGATACAGGGTTGTACGCAGCCCAGCTTTGGGAGGGGGGGGGGGGTAGTTTGGGTACAACTCTCTTGTGGTCACTTTGCACCAGGGAGTCGTCAAATACCGGTATTTGACGACTCCCTGCTTTGCACTGTTTGCCAGCATAACCTTTTGAACCATGTCACGTGATGTGAAGTTCTGCCGTCGCAGCACAGCATAGAGGTTGTGCAGGCAGTTGCACAGTCTTGGGGTTGGGGTTATGTACTCTTGGTAGTAGCAAGAGTACCGGGTTATGTACTCTTGGTAGTAGTACTACTACTAGTAGTACGAGTACTACTGTCATGGACATGGAAATCCAGTCGATTGACCGGGGCCGGCGCGCGCCGTCAGCGCGTACAGAACGCTGCATGCAGTGCACAATCATGTTGATCCAGCAGCGCATTACATGCATGGCTGTACTACTTACCAACGGCTGCATGGCCAGCCCTCTGGCCCCTGGGGCCGCTAGACGGGCGACCGGATTTCCATGTCCACGACAGTACGGTATCTGAGCTGCACTGCAGATCTACAGACTACGAGTACAGTGCATGCTGGCAACTGAAATCCGACCCCCCCCCCCCCCCCCCCGAGCTATGGGTGCCCTGCGCAGCGCGCTGCCTGAATTAAGTAGTGAAATGACGATCCAGCTGCCTGGATTTAAGTTTTCCTATGGTTTAGCATGCTCAACAATTTCACGTGCAATAGGCGCATCACGTACAAACCCATCCGAAGTCTCCGAGGAAAGCGGATTTGGAAGCAGGAAACCGTAGCAGATCAATAATGACGCAATGGCCCACAGTTCATGGCCACGCAACGCAGGCAGGGTACCGCGCCAGACCCCATATACGGAGTTGCATACTCTTGGGGTTATGCACTCTTGGTATCAGCAATAGTACATGGCATTACGCGAGTACAGTGAATTGAGATTTCAGTAAATGTTGTACCAGTCAAATACTGTAAACCGCAAAACCGTTGCGCTTTTCGTGATGGACGTGAAATCGCAAAAGTAAGCTGGCGCGAAATGTAGAACTGTAGTAATAAACTAATGAAATTGACTTCAATCGCAAACATTTCCAGGTGCAAATTTGTTACGTGAATCGCAAACTAAAACCGGCGCAAACAGTTCCCGCTTTACAGTAGTGACAGAACATAGAATAATAATTATGTGGCTAGGCCAAGTATGTGTACTGGTACAATATACAATATACAATGTACAATGTACAATGTACAATGAACAATGTTATGTACTGAAGTACATTGTAGCTGTTTGAGGTACTGGAAGAATATACAATGGGGTGCAGCTACTTTTACAGTACATGTGCTGGCAAAATGATATGGACTGCAATATGTACAGAGCTCATGGTTGAAGAGAGAGAGAGAGAGAGAGAGAGAGAGAGAGAGAGAGAGAGAGAGAGAGAGAGAGAGAGAGAGAGAGAGAGAGAGAGAGAGAGAGAGAGAGAGAGAGAGAGAGAGAGAGAGAGAGAGAGAGAGAGAGAGAGAGAGAGAGAGAGAGAGAGAGAGAGAGAGAGAGAGAGAGAGAGAGAGGAGAGACAGCGAGGGAGAGAGCGAGAGAGGGAGGGAGGGAGAGAGAGAGAGAGAGAGAGAGAGAGAGAGAGAGAGAGAGAGAGAGAGAGAGAGAGAGAGAGAGACAGAGACAGAGAGAGAGACAGACACAGAGACAGACAGACAGAGACAAAGACAGAGATAGAGACAGAGCAAGCATGCATGCAACACTAAATAGGGCAATGAGTATGATGGCATTGATGCAACTGTATACTTCTGAAGTAGGTATTTACACTGTGTATGTACACAAATGAGCTACATGTATCTTACAGAGGAACAGTCTTGAATGCTCAGTCCTCGTCTGAGAAGTAGCTTTCCTCCGATTGTTTAGATCGTTTGGCTGGAGGAGGACCAGCTTCCGAGTCCGGCCTAGCTCCGGCAGTAGATTCCCCCATGTTCTCTTCAACCTCTCTGACCAGCTGACAATGGCGAATTGCCTGGTGGAGACTGAAGTCGTCTTCTACCTCTTCTTCTTCCTCTTCTTCATACTCTTCCGCACCAGCTGCATCTCCTTCTGTAGTTGATCTGGATTGTAATAAACATACAGGCACAATCCACCACAGTGGACACAACACCAGGAAGGAATCATTTGAAGTCTAGAACGCCAGCAAGGATGTGGCACAAACAGAAAAAACTCCCTGAGCGGACACCTCTCGACAAATGACATCTCCGCATTGAGGACGCAACTGTTCAGTCCCAGGGTTTTAGCTGAAACGACATACACTTGCACTGTAACATGTTGTGTGCCTGGTGAACTTGGGCAGCGCTGTTCCAATGTACGGCGCACATGTGCACGGTACATTGGAACAGCTAGCTCGATCGACCAGCACACAGGCTTGACTTCGTTTTCTGACGACGAATGCACGCGTGGAGATCGAGTCCGGCGTGATGTCACGCTGTATTTCGCGACAATGCTGGGCAACTTCTTTCCAAGACTATGATTTACAAACAGAGGGTGCCAGGTTCAAGACCAGCGGAAGGATTTTCCAGCCGTGCTGCGACCCTGGGAACGCATGGCCTGGCACAAGGGAAGCATGGATGCAGCGAATGGGATTTTCGGTCTTTGACCACTTTGCTGGCGGGCTGATCTACTCACCTCCCACCGCTTTAGGAGCTGCATCTGCGCCTTTGATCGTTGCAGGGTGGTGGCATTCCTACAGA